AATTTTGGAAAATACAACTTCATCACCCTATATAATCTTAACTGTTGATTTTAGAGCGTTGGTGCAATGGAGACATTTTTCAGCACCACGAGTTCTACCATATATAAAAAATTTTAGTGAATTCACCGAAAGCCATTTTCCCATTGATGCGGTGCGGGGTCCAATTTACCTGAAATTATTTTTATATCTGTAGGGTGTTGTTCCCAGATATCGGCTGATGAGTGATGATGCGTTTTTCTAAATGGGTCACACTGTTTTCAATTGCATTTTCGATCACCATCAAAATTGCTTCACAACTGTTTTTTGTTTTCTGTATTTGACTCCACGGTTATCAAGTTATTAAGCTTTTTCCGTAAAAACCGATTTTGTCATTATCATTTTCAATTGGATAGAGTAGAGTAGAGTCCAAGAAGCATTCCATTCGTTCCTACAAAATGAGGTTGAAATATTGAACACTCTCTCAATGATAGACGAAAAATGTGGCAAAATTGAAGATGCCAAAACTTCATTATTTCAAATGGAACACCCTGTACTTTGGCACACATATAACATCTTGGACTCTACTCATGTGAATTTATTTCATTTCAATGTCTGAATGAAAGTCACAATTAATTTTTTTATAGGATGCTACAAAATCAGCTTTTCACGAAAAAAGTTGAATACAGGATACGAATAACAGTTATGTAGCAATATTGATGGTGCATTCGGAAATGCAATTGAAAAGAGGGTGTCCCATTTGAGAAAACTCATCATCAGCCGATATAGTGGAATTCGAACGTCCTATAGAAATTTTTTTCATGTTCTGGTTCCCGCGAAAAGGGATATCCTGTAATGTTCAGAGAACATCGTGAGAACCAAGGGAAATAAGGTAGGGATTGGTGTTCTTCTTAAATTTCTGGAGGTTATATGCCTCGGGGAACACCTCCCTTGGCAATATGTTCCAGAGCCTCGCTGTTCGTTGGATGAACGAGTCTTTGCAGAGGGATGTTCTACAGGTCTTCAAAGTGACCACGAAGGGGTGCGAAGCCTCAATTCGACGGGTTAATCTCGCGGGGACTGCCAAGGGAGGAACAATTGTTGATATTTCAGAAGAGCATCGTCCATGAAAATATCTATAAAATAGAGCCACATCGCCAACTTTTCTACGGTGTTTCAGAGAAGTGAGTGAGTTTGTGAGCGAGGCATCACCCACGAGACTAATTGCCTTTTTTGGACAGAATCCAACAGTTTCAGGGTATGTCTGGGTGCTGCACTCCAAATATGGGAACAGTATTCCAGGACAGGTCGGATCTGTGCCTTATATATCCTAAACAGCTGACTGGAAGTGAAATAGCTCCTGGCCCGAAACAGAAAATCAAGTTTTTGGGATGCACTTTTAGCAATTGATCTTACGTGATTTTCCAGAGAAAGGCTCGGAGAAAGGTTATTGCTGATAGTGATACCAAGCATCGAAATTGATGTCTTCAAAGGTATGGTTACTCCTGACAAGCATTATGATGGGCACAGTGAGATCGGCTTTTCTAGAGAGAAAAAGGCATGATTGTGTTTTGTTTGTATTGAAATCTACCTAAGTTATTGGATCCCCGCATTCGAGAATTGTTGCCAAGTCCATATTTATGTTGTAAACATTTCTCCCTTATTTGTTTCTGATTTGCCTGGCTGGTATTGGAGCCCTGGAAGAGAAGGCGTTATGGAGGGTACTATCATCCGCGAAGCTGTGTACTGGGACTTGAAGTTGCTTCCAACAAATCGTTGATATGGAGCTGAAATAATGTTGATGCTAGAATTTTAGTTGATGATAGTCCTCATGAAACCCTAAAACTGTCGTATTCGAACTTTTTCTATATATCTGATGGTTTGGCTAATATCGAAGGAGAACACACTATTGACTAACCCTGTATTGTGAGCACGTATACGTTGGAACAAATTGATATGGCCAGCGGAGAAAAAATGTATCAAGACACGTTTTTTTTTCAGTGACTACTTATGTTTTTGATGACGTCGTCACTGTCCGAGTTATGACGTCATCATACTTTTTTTTTAAATGGCACTACCCCATTTTGATAAAGCTTCCAAAAAGAACGTATTTTTTTGTATATGAACATCATATTTTCTCTTTATTTTTTCTCATGTTACATATCCCTATTTCCGAGAAATTGAAGAGATTCTATTTATAATAATGTAATTTATAATGATGATGTCATCCATAATATGAAAAGACCAACAAATGCGCATCTGAAAAAGATAATCGACGTATCTTAGCTTATTTCCAATGGCAATATCAAGCTTTTAATGAATTTGTTCCAATTCCAACCTTTTGCGATTTCACTGTATATTGTTGTCTTTGGATTGTTTTCAGATTCATTGGGAAAACGTTTGGAGGCCTGATTTTACGAAAGAAAAATATCTACACAGTCAACAAAGTTATCCAAAGTGAGAAGGAAAGAAAATTTCCACAAATCCTAGCGATTATAACATGTAAGCTCTTCTAATTTTGACATGTAACTCGACACTTTTCAAAACGAAGTTTTGAAACGTCTTACTGTACGTATAACCAGTTATGAAGAGTGAAATATTACATAACTGGTGATGAAATGTTAGTGAATTTTGTTCTGCTTCTTCGATATCACTTGGGAAATCTGAACTTGAATCAGCTGTGTTTTCTAACAATATTTATTTGTAGCAATACTAGATGAAATAATCAGGTATAATTGTAATTTTCAAGGATACGAATTCAAAGTTCAACACATCCACAAGGACGAAGTTATGAGTTAATGACAACTGTCAGAAAATAATTTTATGATTACGACATCTCGATCTCATAATAGTATATTATTCGACGAGCGTGTAATGATGGCCATTACACATGAGAATGAAGTTTGCGACGTGAGCCGCAGGCGAACGTCGTAATCATTCGAATGAGTAATAGCCATTACACGCAAGTAGAATACTATACTTTTTCTATGACTGACTGATGAACTGGTTGAGTTCATCAGCAGTGAATATCTTCGCTTTCTTTGACATATATCCATCAGATTTCCTTTTCAGAAATGCTCGTAATTTCAAATATATGTCAATATTCACATAATTTTCCATTGAAATTGTGCTTCTTAGTATATGCATGGAATACTGTGACCACAAGGAGGATGCTTTGTGTTTAGCTGCTAATTCGCCAAAATAGGATAGCAGTACATTATCCGAAAACGAATTTGCAAGTTTTGCTTCTCGCCAAACCACTTCATACCTTTTTTTAGATTCCTCGGGCAAGAGGCTGATTGTACTTGAATTGGCAGCTTTCGAAACTTCTGATGGTGGAGGAATTCATTTTCGCTTTCTGAATCCATATTTGTACAAAAAGTCAGTTCTAAATCACGCCAGATAGCTATTGTCAAATTATGACATTTCATGACGAGTCTGATTCAAACGTTTCACTGCATGCCCCATATTATCATTACAACTGGTGTCAACTGTTTTGTGGGTAATGAATCTGCTTTGTTGCTGATTGGCCATAGCCTGTTGTGTAAAGGCTCTTACACACGGGGCGTGGCTTGTTTTGTGTAATGCATACAGTTACCCAACAAAAATGTTACATTAAAAGGGTCTAGTTTTCAACAGTCATAGAAAAAAGAATCTTCTTCTTCGACTTCGTATCGAAAATGATGGAAGTTATATATGGTCACGATGGTGTAATTACTGATGCGCTTTTGTTTCAGAAATTTTACTCGACCTCTCGAAAACAGCGAGAGCAATGGTTCCGTCGATTTTCTAATAGATGGAGACATTGCACAATTATAACATCTGTCAGCTTTGAAATTGTCGCAGATATTTCGAATTCAGAGTTGAATAATCCCACTGTTACATAATGTTCCGCGTATTTTGCCATTTCATTTCCACTCGTCACAGCATTAGTAGCATCACCATTTAGCGGGAAAATGTAGAATTAACGTCTCTCTCGTTGTGAGGTAGAGAAATCAAAGTAGGCGTTCGAGTGATTTTTCTGAAATTTTCAATACGTAATAATGGCCGAATACGCGCACCATATCTTACTTCCATCATAGCTTCCATCATTGTATCGAATATCACATCAATGATGGAAAGCACGTCTGTAGTTGAGTACATATAGGTCGCGTGCACGAAGACCGACCCTGGAGGCGAAATATTGAAACACAACCTCATTCTTCTGTGAATTATTGAAACACAACCTCACTTTTTTATTTGGTTACAGAGGAATCAAAAGGTTGAAATAGTTTTTCACAATATTTTGGCATACGAATCGTGTTTCTTGCGTTATTCATTAATTCATCAAGCATGCCTTCGCATTGTGCTGTTGTACAATGCACAAAAAATGCAGCAAGAGACTAGGGAATATGATTTTTCAGGTAAATAGTAATCTCACATAGTTATCATTATGAAATGCTGTCATTCCTTATTAAAATTCCTTCTGCCTTCTGCCACTCCTGCAATACAAGCTAATACTGCTAATAGATTGAAAACGTCTAAAACACACACGATCGTCAGCATGTCAGACCAGTCCTACCGATTGATTGCATGAATCCAATCTTCTTGCATTATTCTAGAAATTTCAGGTATATTTCTATTAGCTGATCCTATTGCAGAAGGAATTCCGATGAGAAATCAGAGAAATAACCAAATTTCAAAAATGAAAACTATGTGAGTGATTATAGTAGGTACTTACTTTTGAATAATAATGTACCATCCGGATTTCTTCATCTTCCGCTGCAGTTTTTGTACATTTTACAACAGCACAATGTGATGGTATTAGCGAATTGATGAATAGCGGAAAAATACGATTCATATGCCAAAATAATTGTGGAAAACTATTTCGATCACTTGTAAACAAATATGTTTTGCCTCCAGGGTCGGTCATCTGACAGTTCTTGCACGCGACCTATTGTAGAAAAATAGAAGAAGAGAATGTCAACCTGATATGGTCTATTTTGACATAAAAAAATGAGCTCTTTCTACATTCTCGTCCCCAGCGCCACTTGACAGACAGACATAGTTCGATTCACTGAACAGAGAATATTATACCTCCTCGCACTAGGTCGCCTACTAGGTTTTCATTTAGATCGACAATGTCTCGAGCATTAATCGCTCTCATTTAATACACTATTCCCTATCATTTTCAGCTAGCCTCTCAGCAATCACTTATGGCATACTGTTCGCCTGGACATCACCCTTCATAGTCAAAATAGTAGCAGACAAAGACGACTATGATATATCGGAAGACCAAGCCAGCTACTTCACTGTGATAGCACCGATACTGATGATCTTCTCCTGTCCAATCTTCAGCAAAATCAGCGATCGTTTCGGAAGGAAAATCACGCTGCTCTTGCTGCCCATCCCACAAATCCTGGCGCTGGTCATGACGATAGTGTCCAATGATCTGTGGATCCTCTACTTGTCCAGAGTCTTTGTGGGCATAGGGGATGGGTGTCTCTACTCGACTCTTCCAGTGTACATAGGGGAGATATCTGTGCCTAGTATACGAGGCGTTTGCGGGAATTTGGTCAGCGTCTTCATTTTGCTGGGCGTGTTTCTTATCAACGTCATAGGGACTTACCTGGACGTGATGATGACTGCTTACATATGCATGATAGTGCCTGTGGTGTATTTTATACTGATGCTTTTTATGCCCGAGTCTCCGTACTACCATTTGACGAAAAGTGAGTTGTGACTTTTGTTCAAGGTACTGTAAAATGGGGTTTCTTGGGACAAATTCACTTTAATTTTTTCAATAATGTGGTAATTTATCGAAGTTTTTAGGGAAGCGAAGCAATAATTCCTGTTTACAATAGTTAGTTTTGTATCTAGAACAAGAAATGGTACTTTGGTGAACGAGATCTGATTTTTTTAACGAGGCGGAATTGATTTTCTCATATTTTCGTGGTTTCTTCAGACGAAATTTTCCTAAAACGGCTCATCTTGCTTATTTACGCGTGAACCATACTCATCAATCAAACTTGACACGACAGAAATTGGAGTGACATTGACACTAAAGACGGTGAAAGTTGTCCCCATTCACAAAAAGTCAAATGCCTCACTAATGACAAACTATCGACCAATCACTATACCCTCGTGTTTCTCAAAAGTCTTCGAATATTCCTTTCTTGAACGGTTTCTGAACTTTTTTGAAATTAATAAGTTATTTTCAGGGAGTCAACATGGATTTCTCACAAATAAATCTATTAATAGCGCTACTTTATCATTTTATGAGAAAGTTATTGAATCAATCGAAGCAGGAGAATGTCCTGTTGGGATCTTCTGCGATCTTAGCAAGGCAATTGACTGCGTTCGCAACACGACATCATGTCTTCTAAATTGTATACTTAAATGGAATACGAGGAGTAGCTTTAGAATGGATCACATCTTTCGTCAAGAACAGACGACAATAATATGTATCAATAAACTCTAAAGAAAATACTTCTTACCGTAGAGTCAATTCTGATTAACAAGCTGTTGGAGTCCCTCAGGGATCTGTTTTGGGACCTATTTTGTTTCTATGCTATATAAACGAACTGGATAGTCTCACCAATAATTCGCATTATGTAATTAATGCTGATGATACTACTATACTCATATCAGACAAAAATGACGATAGTCTATTGGAACACTGCCACAACGTTATGGATACAGTGATCTCTTGGTGTAGTGTTAACTCACTTCTCTTCAATGTAGAAAAAACTAACATAATGAGATTTCATCATCGGCAAAAATGTTGCTCAAATATGGATATATCTGTGCATGGTGATCTGCTGGGAAAGGTTGATAAGTTAACATTCCTAGGAATTCGCTTAGATACATATGTTTAACATGGAAATACCATTGCAACTAAATTCTCTCTATTATATGTTTCGGAGTCTAAAAACAATACTTACAGTAGAACATATAGTGTTGCTCTATAATGTTCAAGTTTCCTCACGAATCCGTACATTTTTGGGGTAACTTGTAATCACCCGATGTTTTTATTGTACAGAAAAGAATTATCAGAATAATAGTAGGCATACCTAGTCAACAATCTTGCCGAAATATTTTTAATAGCCTTAATAACATTTTAACTATCATTGGTGTTTTTGTATTTGGATTATGTGTTAATGTATTTTTGAACAAAGAATAATTCATTAATATTAGGAATATACATGGTATAAGTACAAGACAATGTGACAATTATCACATTCCAATGTGTAAATATGAGATTACACGTAACTCTCCCAATTACGACTTTGGACTCCAAGTTTCCAATAAACTTCCCAGTCGATAAAAAACTTCAAAAAACTTAGTAATTTCAAAACGAACTTGAAGCAGTTCCTACTGGAAATGAATCTCTATACTTTAGAAGAATATTTGTCGGCAGCCTAGTCTTTGTCCCTGTCCCTATAATATCGAAATATTATCATTTTATCTTATGTCTCTGTCTCAAACTGTCTAGTTATAAGCCTTCAATCTGACGATTCCTATACATGTAAAAATGTCCAATCGAAAATAACCGTATTTTGAGCAATAATATCAACTAATATCACGGATATTTCGAAATTGTTAGGACACCAGTAATGATCCGATATATTTGCCATAGATAAAAACTTCATCTATCACTATCCATTCCGTTTTCCAGATGACGAAATCAGTGCCAAAACTTCTCTTCGACGACTCAGAGGCATCCAAAACGTAGACGAAATATTCTCCAAGCTGAAACTAGATCTGGACAACAACCTCTCTCAAGCTGGCACCTGGACAGAACTTGTAACCATCAAGAGCAACCGAAGAGCTCTCATCGCAGGCGTGTTCCTCAGAATTTCCCACCAATTAGGAGGCGCAGCCACGTTCAACGTTTACACCAAGCTGATTTTCGAAAAGTCCGGCGCTGAACTGGGCTCTGAAATCCCCAGTATGATATCTAGCGGGCTGGGGGTCTTTTTCATCCTAATATCCGGTTATTTTATTGAAAAGTTGGGGAGGAAGACCTCCTACTTGTTCTCGCTGAGCAGTTGTGGCCTTGTGCTGATCCTCATGGCGATTTATTTTTACTTGGATCAATGTGTATCAAGTCTGGACCTCTCGGAGGTCAAGTGGCTACCGATAGCAGGGATGATTCTATTTTATGTTTTCAATTCCTTCGGATTATTCAATATACCCACTCTGATGTCTGGCGAGATTTTTTCCACGAGTATTAAAGCTAAAGCGATGAGCATAGTGACACTGACTTTTGGGTTATTTATGTTTTTGGCGAATACTATTTTCCACATTTTGGAAGCTCAGGTGGGGCTTTTCGCTGCTATGTTGTTTTTTGGTGTCGCAAATATTGTGTCGGTAGTTTTGACAGTATTTTTGATTCCTGAGACTAAGGGGAAAACTCTTGAAGAAATTCAGCAGATTTTGGGGGGGTGAATCAGTTAGCTATGAAAATTAAAGTATTAAATTGATCAAATAGGCACTGTGTGAAAATTTTTCCAGATTTCTCAAGAGTTTCTCTCCTTGCTTCTCTGAATGAAAATGAGTATTATTTCATTAAACATGTAGTGAGTACGAATCAGATGATTTGCTTAAAAACCCTTGTCACCGCATTCAAAAATTTCACTATTAGAGAGTCTTGAAGAAAAATTCAAACGAGAATCAGTGACACCTCGTTTTGAATATTGTTTGAAGAAGAGGTATATTGAAAATATATTATTATGCATGCGGATACTTTGATTTTTCTACATGAATAGAGAAATGATACACATATTTTAATTGATAGAGAAGAGGAGAAAATTACAAAAAACTGTAAAACTCAATGTTCCACTTCCTCGATCAACCCATAGACATTATGTATATAGATTTCACATATTTTCTCTTTATAAGAATGATAGAGCTTATTATAGTCAATACAGATTCATGAATGAAAAAAACCAAAGTCATATCTACAACTTTTATTTGAATGAACAGAGATCAATCACGCAGGTACATTTTTCGAGCTCATGTAAGCCAATCATTTGACATTTGACAATGAATGGGCAAAACCAAGACACTATGCACCATGATTGTTTATATACAGATGTGTTTTTCTAAAAACATAAAAAAATCGAATATTTGTCGGTTTGTTATTTTAACAACTTCGGGTTTTTTCATCTATGAACTATAACACTCCATCACTTTGAGTTACCATGGACATCTTCCATAGATCAATGCAGATTATTCCATAAGTTGCGAATTATGGTTTCATATCAAAAAAAGCTAACTGTCAATAAGTTTGGCGCCAGACGAGGCCCCAGTATATTATATCCGAATTTTTTATAAATAAAGTACAGGTAGAAAGACTTTCAACTGTTCACGCTTAGCAGTTATAAGTAGGCTTGTCCTACTCCCTACTCCTAATGGAGATTTGATTCTAGTTGGATCAATGTATTTCAAGTCTGGTCCCCTCGGAGGCCAAACAGCTATAACGATAGCGAAGATGATTCAATTTTAAATTTTCAATTTTTTTTTATTTATGTTCTGGCGATCTTTTTTCTACCAGAATTGAAGTTGAAGCAATGGGTAGGTACAATGACAGTGGCTTCTGGATAGATAATGTTGTTTGGCTAGCCTAGGTGTTGCCTTTCTACTGCTATATGTCTTCTGGTTCTAGAGATCAAGGGAAATACACTGGAAGAAATCCAACATGCTCTGGAGGGTAGGAAACAGTAAGCAGTAAAAATAAGGAGGATACAATATATTGGATGTTTGTTGTGTGTATATATATTTCTGGCTAGACAAATACAGATTTTTTTTAATGAGCTGCAAATTTTGATTTCCACATCTATAATCGAACACGTTCAATATTTTCGAATGAAATGTTTTTCTGTAAATCTAGAAGCTAAGTTCTTAGGTAAAGAGTAACTGTCCTTGACTATATAGATTGAGCTTTACCACCTATAATAAGTCATGTAGATAACCCAGCAAATATCTATTGAACATATTATATAAAATCCACAAGAGTGATTAGAGTTGCGTAAGGAATCTTCGACAACCAATCCAACTATGAACCTTCATATCTATTCAGTGTCGTGGTTTAAATAAGTGTATTGAGTGGATTCACTCAGGGTACTTATTTTGTTGAGAATAATAGTACATTATATATCAAGGAATAGAAATGCAAGATTTTTTCCAAGGTGCGATATGTAGCTCGAGGGCGAAGCCCGAGAGATACAAAGCACCGAGGGAAAGATAGCATTCTGTCCTGAGGTGTGTATACTATTTTTTACGCTGGCGAAACACGAAAATTAAAAAAGAATAAAAATTTGGTCAAAAAATTGATATTGATTTTTTTTCACGTCCTGTATATTTAAAAACAAAAAGAAAAAACAAGGAATGCGCTTGATGCATTCTTCTAAACGGAGACAAAAGCATTGCTTCCTGTTCAGTTGATATCAGTGCCGGATTAATACTCCCTTACGCCGGGGGCTAACTTTTACGATGCCGCCGCGTCGCCGCCAAATATTCAATTTTCAATTGTCAGTTTCAAAATTTAAATAATCCTTCCACTGCTTTTTTTACAGCATATAACAATAACATGAAATCATCATGTACATCGAATCGAATTTTATTTACTTCACACGTTAAACATAAGAAACAGAAAATATTTTTTTTCAGATGAATACTGAAATACTTTTCTTGATTTTTTTGATGCAAAGTCGTCAATGGCATCATCAAAACTCAGATTTAATAACATGTCACTCTACCATGGAATTCCTAACGTAGTTTTTCACTCTTTTTAAAGTTGAGAATGACCTTTCACCACTGGCATTACTAATCATCAGGAATCTGTTGTGATTATATCCCTAAAACAACGCTTAGTCGTGTACATATTTAGCTCATCTATTTTTGAGATCCTAACTCTTCTTTTTCGCGTATTGAATGTAAAAAAATATAATACCATTTCCGTCTTGAGATCGTGAAGTTCCCGGAGACGGTTCTATCGGATCTGTCTCATTTAAATTCAGAAGACATGAATGTATTTTAGGGCGTTTCTTGACAACTTTGTCTAACTGCTTTTATTTATTGATCTTCTGCCTTTCCAGAATGCACCACCTTATTTTTTACTCATTTTATAAAATTTCGGTTTCAATATTTATTCATCATTACTACAATCACCAACAATACCAACGACAACCTATTAAATACCGAACTCTCATTCTGTTTTTTTGTTATTGAGTTACACGAATCACGAAATTACCCCTACTCTATTGAGTAGAATGCGGTTTTTTTCCTCATCATCAAATAAAAGTATGTACCGCCGCCGCTTTCGTATTGTAGAGCGTCCTAGACACAGCTGACGCTAGATTAGTGCATGTTACGATTTTCACAAAAACAGTATCTCAACCAGTCAACGACTGTATTGCTGCTTGCTTTTCCTCTTTTTCTCTACCGCCTCTTGAAATTCACTGCCGGGGGCTGATGGTCCCATAGCCCCCTCCTAAATCCGGCACTGGTTGATAGAGATAGAACATGGTATTCACTACTGGAAACTGAACATGAAAATGGTAGATTCAAGATCATTACACCCTTCAGAAGTCGGAAGGGTTCATGGACGGTTCATATGGGTCCAAGATCCCAACCCTGTGGCACCCCAACATCGCCTCTCCCACAACTACGTCAATGACGAAGACATTCTCGATGGGAATCAACTCGAATGGGGACTTTGGACCATGTCTACCGGTACAGTTGATACATGATTCACTACTTGGATCACTAGAACCGGCGTGATAACTAATTGAGTTGGTCATATGTCGGGTGCATAGAGCATTATCAACGTTCCAAAGCTTATCTGACTTGACAAAAATCCAGTTTCTATAAATAAAAAGTGTGTACGTCGAACTGAGCATTCTCGTATACGACACCGTAACCGTGAACTCTACTTTTGAAGTTATAGAAAGTTCGTCTTTATTCGATCTAAGGTGAGAATGTAATATTTTGTTTGATTTTTCCTATATCTGTTCTTTCACAAGGCTGGTTATTCATGTGAGAGATCATATATTATTATAATGATTGAGTTTTGAAATATTCACTGAATCACATAGTCGTAAAAAGTATAAAATGCACTTGTACCACATGTCATAAACTCATTCTACACTATACCAATTACTTTTTTTTCATTATTGGTATCCCATTTCGCTTATTCAAAACACGTCTCAGCATGTTTGAATCTGTGGTATGAATCTAACTTTCAGAAGCACGTGTTTTTTTAACGTTTCAATTATCGATCTGACAGGACTACCATGTAACGTCAAATAAAATATCACTAACAAATATTTCACATTAATATTTTTCCCCATTTCCATGACAACGAAAGGTATTAATCATTCCAGAATTACGTCATTCGACAGGTTGCTGAGGATCAATCATTGTAGTTTGTCAAGATTTGTCATATAAAACCAGAGTTAGTGGGATCGTTTCCCTTGTAATCCGAGTTGGAACCAGAAAGAATTTCATAATTTTATTTGGTTAAGCTTTTATTATATTGTGGTGTGGATGTGACGTGCCCCTCAAGAAATCATGTCAAAATCACGTGTTCTACAATGATAAATACCTACTGATGTCTGTCATGAATTCAACATTCAACCATTTCACACCATTACCTGTTATTTCTATATTTTTTATGATCTCGAAGTGTTTCAATAAAAAGGTAGCGGCTAGGCCGTCGTATGGCTGCTGGCGAGCAGTGTATATCTTCGATGATAATTTTAGTCTGTCATTGATTGTATCTTCAAACTTTCCCATTCTCCTGCAAATTTCAGAATCCTAACTAAATAATTGAGTACATATAAGGTTCGGGGGTGCTTCTATACAGGGTGTTTCATAATTGAATGCTGATCCTAAAGGGCAATAATCCTTGGATGATGAAAAATTCTTCATGTGAACATATGTCCGTAACAGCTTCGTTTCTGAGATACAGGATGTTGAAATTTAACAAAAAAATCAGTTATTCCCAATATCTCTGAAACCGCTCTGGCTTTTTACTTCAATTTTGGTACATGCCAAGTATGAATAGAAATACAATTTTTCCATAATGAAGAATTTCTTAATTTCCATCAGTGGCGTCCCTGTTAACATACCCTGTCATATTTTTCATCAAATTAATGATACGACACTGTCTTTTTTCCAAATAAATATTATTTTTGTAATCATCCTCTATCTTCTCATAAAAATGGTCTCTTGTTTTTTTTCTTCCGGCGAACGGTTTTTGAGTTAGAAAATAAAATGAATTCATTTGCTTGTCCCTATTCGATTTTTACTCTTAGTCATAATTTCACAATTGTGGTAACCAAAAGATCTAAGCAATATTATTATAATTTTATGGTAACTATTTTTAAGTATTTGTAATGAAGAAAAAAGCCAGAGCGGTTTCAGAGATATTGGGGAATAACTGATTTTTTTGTTGAATTTCAACATCTTGTATCTCAGAAACGAAGCTGTTACGGACATATGTTCACATGAAGAATTTTTCTTAAAATCACCCAAGGATTATCGCCCTTTAGGATCAGCATTCAATTATGAAACACCCTGTATAAAAGTGATACAAAATGTCAATTTTCGCCATGGATTTCCATCAAGTAACGGGACTGGGCCGTAATTCAAAAAATGGAAATTTTCAGACCTAAAAATTGTACAGGAAAAATATGAATAATCAGTGAATTGGATGTCCTAACTTCGAATCAGAAGTGATTTCCAACCTATTTTGCTTCCTTATAACATTTTCATATAACATATAACATATGGCTGTTGGCGAGCAGTGTATATCGTTGAAAATGACCCGCCGCTCCTACAAATTTCAGAATTTTAACTCAACCATTAGTGCCTATGTTGTTCTTTCATTTTCTGATTAATTCTCACACTGAGTATTTTACTCTCTAGGCTATAAAAAATTCCCGGTATTTTTTTTGCTATGAATCTACCAATATTTGCAGCAGCTTTTCAATAGCTTTATTACACATTTTCGCCGCCCCTTGCGGATGCCCCTGCTGATGAAAATCCATTTATCAATTTTCATATTCAAAGTATTCTGTGTTGGTGATTATTGTATCAGCAAAGACAAAGTTTCAGACCATCATATCTGAATTAAGACTTTTGGAAGCCAAGAAACATGTCTGAATTCGAATTCGAGATAAACGATTGAAAAAACAGAAGAAAATTATTCAATAAATAAGGTATAATATTGTTTATTCAACTTGTTTGATTGCTCCATTCGATTTCAATAACCTTCTAAACTAAACTGGATTTTTCTGTCTGAAAATGTTCTAGGTTTGAAAAACACTCATTTACAATCAGTATTTATCATGTTATCTTGGACCTTTCTGTACTTATTGACCTTGTATATCACTAGTAGTTATGCTCGTTATATTCTATTTAAATGTCAATTGGGATATTATTGTTAATATAGTTGTATCATCAGGGGTTAGAGGGTCATAGTTATAAGTTTATCCACGACTGTTGTATAAAATATTTATATTACATCTACTTCCTCAAGCAAAACTGTAGCCATTTTTCACACCAGTGAATAATATAGCAGTGAATAACCATAACTCACTGGTTTAGAGTTCCTAGGGTACGTGATATAACTTATAAGGAACTTTATCCACGACTGTTGTATGAAATATTCATAATACATGTACTTTCTCAAGCAAAACGGTAGCCATTTTTCACATCAGTGAATAAGAGCAGTGAATAATCATAATGCACTGGTCTAACGATCCTAGGGTACGCGATATAACATTATAAGGAACTTCCATATTTGCCGTTATACCAATCATCACGGAAAATATCTCAAAATCGATTTTCAGGTATGGTCAGACATGCATAAAAAATTATCATCATCAATCAAAGTTGGATGCAAGAGCTCTGCTATGCATTTTTCATGCGCAGATATTGAATCATGCCTTTTGTTAGGTTCCCTGTACTTCGTATATAACCTCTCAATAAAAGCATTCATTATTATTATGATTATTACTGAATAGTTATTTATACAACAAACAACAAGGTACTAAAGGATTGCCCAGGGACCAAGGTTTTTCCACCACTAGCAATATATTTCAATCATTTATAGTTCTGTGAAACTGAAATATGGACCTGTAATAGCAGTCCTTTTCAATTCTAGTTAAAATCTAGTAGCCATGACAATGACATCATAATGACAAGTTGTTACTAGATTCGAGTGTCATTCCTGCGAATCTCGCATGAGAACAGTGAATTCAGGGTAATTAAAACAGAGGGGGCTATGTCTTTATTGACTTAGTACCTAGTTCATCATAAAATGACGAAAACTACCTTGGTAGTGGTGACAAAAAATAGTTTTCTCAATACTCTATAATACACTTTTCCATCAGAATAGGACGATTTGCATCCTACTATTCAATATGTTTACATATTTTATTTTTATACAATGAGAAGGATTATTGTTCTTATTTATCAAATTATCATTAGATAAGTAATTCTATCACTATCAGATAGGTCAAGTGGGAGACCAACGTTCAAATGTTTTTATCTGAACCATTGTGAATCCTTTTTTCTGTTAGAAATATTTTAATGAATGTGTCGGTAAAATATTGTAAGTATTCGATTCGAATTTTGGGTATCTGTCTACTACATTTGCGATGAAGACAGCAAAAAATAGATACCTGAAGTGTTTTTAATCCGTTTTTGTTGAATATTTGAGTTCGATACCATCGTTCTCTCGTCCATTTGCTCTCCACCTCTTCTACAGTTCACATCTTTGAATAATTTGCCTTCAACTTTTCCATCCAGACCTAAGGTAAGCTCATTTACCAGAATTGAATAATTTATTTGTTGCTATTGATTCGTTCGTATTATGTATTATCGTATTTTTGAATCTCGGAAAGTATGTTGTTAAACTTGAGGGCCATATTTTTATTGTGATCCATGAAAAATTTTCGCATATTCATTTCTTCTATACCGGGTGTCAACGAATTATTAGGGAAGCCATAACTTCTAGGATATTCAGTGTATTTAAATGATATTCAATGGATATATCGTATGTGAGAATTAAAGTTTTCGCATTTTTTTCACTTCCCGGTCACTTTGAAATTTTTCAATCGAACACCCTGGATATCATAACATTTTTGAATTCCTGAGATAATTCTGGATGAGGAAATGACATTTCCAGAAGTTTCAACGCCTACTTCATTTTTTTAGAGGTATCTATAGAATTCAGGTGATGTCAGAAAATTATGATCGCAAAGTTTCAGTTATAAGTATATGATAGATAGGAAAAAAATGACAAAATTACATTTCCGTGCCTATTATTTTTGAAATGGAAACATTTTTTGACAAAATCTTCAGAGAAAAGGATTCTTTGACGAATCTGACGATACTAATTTATTTGCGATTGTGTTGAAAATAAGAACATAAATCTAATATTACTAAGGAAAATACTGGATGTTTATTTATTCACATTATTTTTCAAGTGTGCCATGGATAGCCATAATGCATGATATTTTGCAGGTATTTTTTTCGATTTTTCTTTGGAAAACAAAACACTCAGGTAATGACAGTGACATAATCCTCATGAACAGAAAGTAAAAGTTTCTTTATTTTCGATAAATTTCAGTTGAGTTTTCTGTCAAATTAATGTATATTCAAAGTGAAAAAAGGATACCAGAGTATTTTGTTTCCCAAAGAAGACCCGAAAAAAATAACAGAAAAATATTATGCAGCATATAGCTTCCTTGACAAATGTGAATAAATATAAATATCCAGTATTTAAAAGTGACTATATAAATAAAGCCGACTCAAAAACTTCTGAAAATGTCATTCTGATCCAGAATTGTCTCAGAAACTGATACAATATACAGGGTGTTCCATTCAAAAATTGAAAAACGGAGCCGTTTCTGGTGAAACCGGAACTGACTGATGGAAAGTGAAAAATATGCGAAAACTTTCCTCTCCACATACCATATAATATTGAGATAATGTTGTGGAAATTGAGAACCATCTTTTTGATGTAATGTTCAAAATTAAGAGTAACTATTATAGTTTCAGAATTCACTTCATATTCCTTGAACAATTTCGGCATGTTTCACTTTTATACAGAGAAGTGCACTAAAGACGGCCAGGACCGTAACTTTTGAATTATTCGCGATAGGATTTTGGTGGGCAGCTAGTATACCGAATGGCTCATCAATTGACGAAACAAGTTTTGATTTATCACTTCCGGTTTTACTAGAAACAACCCCAACTTTTGATTTTTAAATGGGACACCCTGTATTGAATTCCATAATCGGTTAGGGATTGTCATAACGATTTTATCGATACATGGTTTGATAGGGTTATTTCAAACGATTACGAAGATATTCGCGTTCTAAGTTTCCATATGCTCAATGAGTATGACAGAGAAAGAAGATTTGATATTTTCGAAGTCACACCCATTTAGCAAATAGATACTTCGAACGCAAATATCTTTGTAGTTGTTTGAAATAACCCTATCAAACTCAGTATCGTTGAATTTGTCATGATAATCCCTAACCGATTATGGAATACAATATAGGGTGTCCCATTTGAAAATCAAAAGTTGGGGTCGTTTCCGGTTGAACTGGAAGTGATAGAAAAAAAAATTGTTCCATCAATTAATGAGCAATTTGATATACTTGCTACCCATCAAATTTCAAAACCCTATCTAGAATATTCAGAAGTTACAATCCTGGCAGTTTTTGGGGCACTTGTTTGTATAAAAAAATGTCGATTTTTGTTGAAAGTCAGTGTATTTTGTAGCAGATGTGACCACTTATGAAATTTAATGTTAGAATCTAAGCTCAAAAAAGTGAAAAACTATATGTATTGAGAGATTTTAAATGATTTTCTGGTAGGTGTATTTCATTATTCTTATTATTCGTTATGATTGCGAAACGATGCTAACTTTACACCTCATTAATTACCATTGGTTTTTCATGAGGACATTATTGGCACCAATTGCCAAAAAAGAGGAAAAAAAAACTTTCAGTGAAATCTGAACTCGATTGTAAGTGGGTTGAGGATATTTACCTATTTATTTTTACAGAATAAAATGGCCGCCCAACAAACTAACGCAAATGGAGTTCTCGTCTCTTCCAACTACCCTACCTGCATGGAGTCCGTCAACAGGATTTCAAAATTACCAGTAGTTGAATCCACCATTCAGACGGCCACGAATATTTACGGAAAAGTCAAAGTAAGGAATATTTATTTATAATAATCGTAGTTGAAACTGTGCAGATATGAAAAAATACCTACTTTTATATGCACGAATATTTTCGGTTGACTACAGCAAATGTTGCATGAGAATGTTGCATAAATAACAGCGAAAAAAATCAAGGAGTGATTCCTTTTCATATTCTAGCAAATAAGGTTCATATAAACATGTATCCTAACTTGCTCCGTTTTTGAGATACAGGATGTTGAAGTTGGAAGTATCAATTGATTTTATTTATAACCTCCCTGTATATGCTTTCATGGTGGCAAGATTCAGAATGGTTGGAGCCTGAGGAAGCCCTCAAATTTTTAAATGATTGTGATTGGTGTTATTGAAAAATCTCAGTGGAAGCATTGAAAACACCTACAGTAAAATTTGGAGTCAAATTGAATTTTTATTGTTTCCTCAAAAAATAAGCTCATTTATTTAACAAGAATTAAAAAATTTGTTATTTCAATAGTTCAATCTAATAAAAATATGATACTCAGAAAAACCCATATCGATAAATTTACCCACTGTTTCGCCACTGGAAATATTATTCCGAATCTGATTGCACCAGAAGAAGCTCCATATTACTATAAACAAAACCACAACGTTTTATTGGAATTGATGGAAAGACAATTGAGTAATGAATAAAAAAAACGATTTTTCATGGAAATACTGATACCCTGTATCTCGAAAACGAAGCAAGCTAGGACACATGTTCATATGAACTTCATTTCCTAAAATATCACAAGGAATATCGCCCCTTGAATTTTTTCGATGTTATATATGAACTTTTGTTCGAAAATTCATCGTTACGTAGATATAGGGGGTAGAAATTGTTTTTTTACGATTTTTTTATATTTTAATTACCAATTCCATAAAAGAGTACTTGAAAAAAAGGAGAAAACAAATCAATTTAAACACCCTGTATCTCCGAAACGAAGCATTTTTGGACACAAGTTTATAATAACTTATTTTTTGTCTCAGGAATACGTCATTTAAATATTTTAATATACCTATGTCACACCATAACATCAGTTCATAAATCGCTTCTCCCATGTAAATATTAATTAGTTTATTCTAGTGATTTTCTATTCAAATTACACCTGTGTACAATAATCTGATAATTTTGTATTCACTTATCACCTTGTTTATACGTCCATGCTTATTACATTACGTAAACCATAGATTAAAAAGACCAAACGAAATTCCTTTCTTTTTCATAATTTGGCGAGAGAGCCTAATTCCAGAAGCGCTCTCGTCAAAATCAGAAAATAATCTAGTCCAGTTTCTTTATAGGCTTTTCTTTTCGGGCCATCCCCAACTCCTTTTCTAAATATAAAACTGCATATTTTCTACACATTTCTCATATTAGAAGTTTTATTCTCGTATCTGACGATCAAACAATATTTTTCTCTGTAGGTTAATCGAAGAGGTAGTTCATTCATTTTCCTTGATTCTTTGGAGCGAAAATCCCAAAGAATCAAGTGAAATGAACATTTTTCTCATGTCTGGTGAGGTGAGAGAAAAGTATATACCTATAACATTCAATATCATTTTCAATAAAAATGTTAGGAAATGTTAATTCCACTAAAACGTGCACTACATTTGAAGTCAATATTCCTTTTCATTCATTATATATACATGTATAAGAAGAAACTAAAAAAAAAATAAACTTCAAAGCTTTGTACCTGCTGTAGAAAAGAGCCACTTGGCTAACTGAGATTTCAATGAAAATGTCAAAATTTGCTGACAGTTTCCGAAAAAAACTTTTTTCACTGTTCACACCATTCACATTAATATTTTGTAGGAATATTGCGTAGTTTGTTCCAAAAAAGGTAGTTTGAATATACATTTTATGGTTTATTTTGTAAAATTTGTAAAGGTCTCAATATTGATTTATTTGCAGAACTCCAAACAGAAATCAAGTATTGTATCTTAGAATAAATGAGGCAATAATATACCGGGTGTCCCAGTATACCTGTTCCAATAGATTATATCTCAGTCATTTCGAAAGGTGGAAATTCGAAAATTACATGATCTACCACAATTCTGATAATTTGAAATTATTATTGAAGTCAAAATCAAGATTACAAAAATATCGTAGCCTACTGCAATTCGTTCAATTTGAAATTTTAATTGTCGTTTTCTCCATCAAATCAAATTCAAAATACGAAGTGTGATACATCGTTGGGACGGTAATTTTGAGTAGAAATCAAAAATTGCAGAAAATATACAGGGTGCTATTTGAAATAAAAAAGTTAGTCACTTCCGGACAAACCGGAAATGGACATGGAATTTTCGAATTTTATTTTTCGAAATGGCTGAGATAATTCATTGGAACAGGTATACTGGGACACCCGGTATATTCATTAGATACTTCCTAGGAATATGATTCCGACTTCTATATAATATTTCAATGACTGGACTTATTATATTACGTAATTTCTCAACATATTTGTACCATGAAAGTGTTTTATCAATGAACAATCCTAAAAATTTCGAAAATTCTGTATAATTGATTTCATTAACACCAACTTTTACTGGATCAATTTGTTCCGCAGGTTTCTTCCTTTTCGTTATACAAGGTGTTTTTGAAATAAGTACATATAATCAGAACATCGATATGATGGTCTAACGAATATTTTCATGATATCAGATTTTTTCTAATTCTTTTAATTAACAAGAAACTTCATCCCGAAAATTGAACAAAAAACGAGAAAAAAATCAAGTACGCCACTTTAAAACATTTTGAATGATTGAAATAATCTGCGTGATTGTGCCTTCTGCACGAAAATTTGAACAGAGGTGACGTCAGAATGGCTACAGTGTGGAACTTTGGGTGGAAAAAGAGGTCTAACTTCAAATTTTATTTTGATCCCATTTTTTTTTATTAGTGCCATTCGATTGTACACGTCAAGCTTCCCCAGTGTTTGAAATATTTGCACTCATTTCAATGCCACTCTGTATACATAAATGAAGATTTTTCGTAATTTAATGATAATTTATGTGTTAGTAGCCACTGGCCTATTATCTTCAAATCATGTTCCATATCACTGTGAATTTGAACTACTCAACACTAATTTCTTCGCACACCAAAATGTCGCCCATGTTAAAATGTGAATAACTTTTTTCAGTTCAGAACAATTTGAATTTGGTTCACACTGTAGAGTTTTCTTGAAAGTGACCCAAATCTGGAACGCCCTCCGAATCTCGGTTGGGAGGAGAATTGAATGAAAATCAACTTGTTCTCGGAAAAACAATCCATTCTGGATGCGTCCATATTTTCCTCGCTCTCAGTACTCAAGAATGTGCGTGAGAAAACACAATTGAAACATGTTCTTGCAAAAACATCAGACCATTTCTCCTCTATAATGCATGGCCCGTAACCAACGTTACAAGAATCACATAGTAACTTGACAAGTCAGGTTAGACGTCGTTTTCGAATCATAAACAGATTTTGATAGTTTCGATGCGGCATCTGACGCCCGACCAGTTGGAACTGATTCCACGAATGAGGGAACAAGGGTTATCTTCCCTCCAAATCGCGGATCTGCTAAACACGAAGTGTCCATTCAAAGGGCTTATCTCCGACACGAATTGTTTGGTTATTACTGTCGATTCGTTCGGCGCATTATTGCGACTGAAAACTTTACGTAATTGGCAAACTGTTTTCGTGAAACTTTCACCATTTTTGAAATGCGTTTTTACAATAAATAAACGTTGTTTGCTTGAATACTTCTACATATTCTTAAATCGCATGTTATGTACGTAAAAACTGTTACAAAAATCACTTTATTGAAAAAATCCGTTGCTCTTGTACACCATTTATGATGAGCCTCAGCTGGTCGGGTTTGTCAGTCACTCATTGTGATTCTTGTAACGTTGGTTACGGTGGGCCATGCATTACAGAGGAGAAATGATCTAATGTTTTTGCAAGAACATGTTTCAATTGTGTTTTCTTACGCACAATTCTTGACTACTGAGAGCGAGGAAAATATGGACGCATCCAGAATGAATTGTTTTTCCGAGAACAAGTTGATTTTCATTCAATTCTCCTCCCAACCGAGATTCGAAGGGCGTTCCAGATTTGGGTCACTTTCAAGAAATCCGTAGATCTTTGATAGCCATCTTGAGTCAATTCTGATATCCAGATCTCTTCATCTGAAGTTTTATCTTCAGAATGAGCCTAAGATTTCCAAAATCGGTTAACGTGGAAAAAAGTTATGGCTGCAAAACCAAAAAGTTGATTTTTTGAGATCACTCTGTGAATAAGAGAGATAGCGAGTTGATTCGCGAAATATCTCGAGGTAATGAGATCATCTTCATGCCTCTATTGTCGAAGTTGAGAAAACATTTTTTTTCACCATTTGAGAGCCTTTTGAATATTCCGAAATTTCGCACAGTGTCGGAAAACACCATGTAGAGATTTTATGTGAATACCCTTTTGTTTCAATGAAGTACGAGATTATAGCTGAAGGACTGGGCTATCGAACAGTGCGAACCAAATTCAAATTGTTCTGAACTGAAAAAAGTTATTCACATTATAACAGGGGCGACATTTTGGTGTGCGACGAAAATAGTGTTGAGTAGTTTATTTAGATGGCTCTGTAGGCTAGATTGTCCTGCTCCCCCATTCGATATTTTTACAAATATTTCGTAAGGTCCAGTTGAGTCTGATTAACCCTGTATAATTATTATTTTTGTCTCTCATAGGATTACAACAGCGTGACCAACTGGACCCTTACAACAGCCGAAAGCACAGTGAACATGGCTGTGGAGGTTGGGAAACCCATCGCGACTCCTGTCATCAAAAATCTCGAGGGCCCAATAAAGAAAGTGGATACCGTCCTGTGCTCAGGGCTGGACTACGTCGAGAGCAAAATGCCAGCTGTCAAATTACCTCCATCAGAGGTAAGTGGGATTGTCTCATGTCCATTTTATCGTTGTCATATATCATCCATCTCATCGTTGCTTTTGTGAAATTGTAGAGAAATACTATAATTTCCAGAATCTTTCATAATTATCCAAAATGCAACTGTTATATTCAAAGGAAATATGTTTTTCTGTTAACATGTCATCATTTTGAGAGTTATTAGAGTTCTAGAAATCATTATACATGCGCAAAACTATGTCAGATGAATTGAAAAAAAAAACGCGAAATAATAGATTTTAATTAATGGGAAAACTGCAGAAAAATCTAAATATAATAAGTGAAACCTTGAAAGAATAATACTGGAGAAATTATGAAATCAAACAAAAAAGACAGACCAAGATTGGTCACCCACTAACTTTGTAAAGATTTTGGTAAAATTTCGACCAAATCGTAGATTATTGTCTCGAAATCTGATGGCTTGATCATTATACTCACCGGCAATGAAGAAAGTTAATAACAAGAAATAAACAAAAATCAGACCTCCTAGATGTACCTAGTCAATAACTCAAGCTTGAATTACAGCATTCAACCGCCGTGGCATCAAGTTGATCAAATTTCGATAATAATATTATTATTATAGTGGTTATTAATAATTCTACTCACTGTGCAGTTGTTGAGAGTGACAATAGTATATCGTGCAACAAGTGGGGAAAGTTCAACTTTTCCCCACATGTTGCACACTATACTTTTTCTACAACTGCACTTATCCAAAGAATCCAAGTAATGTAACTCATTGGTATTTATTTCATAATGTGGCACTATGCCACATTGAAAATTGTGACCAAAGAGTAGACGCCAGAAGAATATGAAAAAAAAAGTTCTCATTAACTTACCCTCTAAAATGCACCATTTTCGAGATACGGGGTGTTGAGATTTAAAAAAATTCATTTTCTGCGAATATCTCTGGAATATCTCTGGAATGTTTCGTGTGGAATTTATTTTTTTTAGTAATATTGGTGAAGATTCTAAAGGGTGAGTGAATGTTTTTCTCCCCAACTTCTACGACACATATTACAAAATTGAACAAACAAAAAAAACAATAGCAATAAATGATACTCAGTCAAATTGAAATAATATAATATATAATAATGATAATTGAGAAATAACTATTTTGTGTAGGAAATATTAGCAGTACAAATGGGTTGCTCAAAACGGTACGTTTTTCAGTGGCGTAGAAGTTGGGGAGGAGGACACTATCACTACCCTTTCAAAATCTTCACCAATTATAACTCAAAAAACACACACAAAACATAGCTCATTATGAGTAGAAAATGCCTATGGAAGCTGTTTTTTCCTGAGTGATTTTTTGTAAGCGATTTCGTATCTTTCACGAGACTTCAGGAGTAGCAACTCATTTGTTTCCCTTCTTGCTCTTTCCACGATTTTCGGTTGCTGTAAAAATAATCTCATCGTCATCGCTTGACATTTTTAACAGAAATTGAGATATACCAACAGGAAATAATGATTTTCAAAAAATATTACGTGCTTGCTGTCGGTTTTGATTGATTGATAACATAATAAATATTTAAACACAACCTCACTCTTCTGTAAAACATTATTGAAACACAGCCTCACTTTTTTTATTTGTTCACAAGTTTTTCACAATATTTTGGCACACAAATCGTGTTTTTTCTCTATTTAATACAATACACAAAAATGCAGCGAGAGACGAAGGAATGTTATTCCGATATTCAAAAAAGTTTCTCCATTTTTCCATGAACCAGATTCTTGTTGGTCAACAAATAAATTTCCATGTGAGGTTATGTAACGAATTTCATAAGCGCCCTTAAAATTCGGTCCAAAGTTGTTTTTTTTTTGTCGAACCGTGTACAAGATTAGTTTTGAACAGTTTTCAAGCGTGACGTAGTAATTTATCTCATTAAAAAAAACAGACTATTTTGAAATGGTAGCTGTCATAAGTCAGATACATTACACATAACCTGAAAACCGAAATAGATAAATATATTTTTCAAATTGATGATTAATCTGTGAGAACTTGAGAAGAGTAAAAGAATGGAATCACTAAAAGTGGCATTTTTAATTGATAATCAGCAGATGAGGCAAGGTGTTTGTCTTTCACAAATGCTGAACCAGTCCAGAGAAATAATAATAATCGGGAAATGATCATTCTTCACGAAAATTTCCAGCATCCTGAAGTGGAAAATGATGTACGATACCCTCATCACACTCCATTTTTTAAGCTATAGTCAATTTCTCAAAAATATTTATAACCTCAAACGCTCAAATCATCAAATTTCGACGTATTCCCACTCTTTCACTGGTTCGAACCGTTCATTTAGAAGTTTTTGAACCGGAATGAACCGTATTACTTGGTGACGTCATAGCTTGCGCAAGAAAATGCTTGCTTTCAAATCATTTTGAACACGGTTCAACAAGAAAAAATAACTCAAATCAATAGTCGTCGAGTCGAAGCTTGCAAACCAATTCGAACCTGCAGTGTCTAACACTAGCGCGCTCAAAAAAATAAGCTCAATTTGAACCGTGGTGAATGTATCGTCGCCCCCATATTCATGTCCGTCTAACCCCCGCCCTCACACAGCTCCTCCTGCAGATCTACACCTCCACCAAGGACTACGTCACCAACCACGTGACCCCGGCGGTGGAGACGGCACGATCGTACGCCGAACCGGCCATCGGCCGCGCTCGGTCCGCCATGGACGCCGTCGAGCCGGCCCTGGAGAGGGCCCGAAACGCCGTGGAGCCGGCCCTAGAGAGGGCCCGAAATGCCGTGGAACCGCTGGTGGAGCCAGTGGTGGAGAGGGCGCAGGCGCTGAGGGAGAACGTCATGCAGAAGGTGGACGAGTATTTGCACAGGGGACACGAGCACGATGGACACGAAGGTGGGTATTTAGAATATAATAGATCTTCATTGTCTGAAATGTAGTACAGTGTGTCCAATTTTCGATGCTTTTGCATGATATCTCAATTCTCTTTGGAGATAGAACCTTGCGGTTTCCGCGGTCCTGTGCCACTTTTTTGTGAAACTCAAGATGGCCTTATCAGATTTTGCAAGACTGTTTCCGTTTATGAGATACAGGGCGATTTTGAAAATTTATACTTTTTGGACCCCCTCTATATCCACGAAGTTTCTCAACAAAAATGTCAAATCATAATCTTATCGCATAGAGAATTTCACGCATAATCCAGTGGCGCACTTAAATTTTTTTCTCGGAGTATGGTCTGGAGATACGACTCAAACTTATGATTTTTTAAATGGAACACCCTGTATTTCATAAGCTCATTGAATTCCTTATTTTTATGTCTTCAAAATGATATATAAAGAATGAATAAAAAATTTTCAAAATTGCTCAAAATCACTAAAATATTGAATTTTGATAGTTGGTTATGGATTTTTCTTATAAAAAACGTTCTAATTGAAGAAATATTTCTTCAAATTTTTCCATGGAGAGGTCAAAACCAATATCAACACTTATTAATTAACAAAACACTAAACTTGGGTACCTGATAGCAACAAATAAATAGTAATAAAAAGTTCATAATGTAGAATAAGCACCTGATTTACTATTTACTAAAATAATTGAATTCCGGAATTATTCAGTAACTTATTCATTGACATGTTCAAATTGATATCCATTTCCCCTAACATACAGTTGACAAACTTTCTTAATACTTCTCAATACAGTGAGTGGCCCAACATACTTGAAGAACTTTGTGCAACAACAGAGGCAGTTTTACAGGAATTACAAAGACATCTTTCAATGATTAATATGTATTGAGAAAGTTTGTGATGGAAAATGGACATCAATTTGAACAATTCAATGAATAAATCACTGAATAATTTCGAAATTCAATTGTTTTAGTAAATATTCAATCAGGTGCTTATTCTACATTATAAACTTTTTATTAGTATATATTTGTGGATATCAGGTATCTAAGTCTTGTGTATTGCAAGTTAATTAGTGTTGAAATTGTTTTTTCCCCCTTCATGGAACAATCAAACGTAATATTCCTTCAATTGTCAATTTCTTTTTATGAAAATCCCTCGAAAAACCCATAGCCCACTATTAAAATTCAATGTTTTAGTGATTTTTGAACATTTTTGAAAATGTTATATTCTCATACATCATATATCATTTCGAAAGGAAAAAAATAAGGAATTCAATGAGCTCATAAAATACAGGGTGTTCAATTTAAAAAATCATAAGTTCGAGTCGTATCTTCAAAACCACACCCCGAAAAATGATTTTTGTGCGCCACTGGATTCTGCATGAAATTCTCTATGGAATGATATTTTAATTTGACATTTTCGCTGATAAACTTCGTAGATATAGAGGGGGTCCAAAAAGTATGAATTTTCAAAATCGCCCTGTATCTCATAAACGGAAACAGTCCTGCAAAATCTGATTAGGGCATCTTGAGTTTCACAAAAAAATGGCACAGGACCGCGAGAACCGCAAGGTTCTATCTCCAAAGATAACTGAGATATCATGCAAAAGCATCGAAAACTGGACACACTGTACATTTTGTCGACAAAGGGTGTCATCTCTGGTAGAAGTCCATGTTTGCTCAAAGTGGAGTGGAATTTTTAAAAGGAGGAAGGAAAGCTCAAGGTCATCTTCACAACTTTAATAATGATGTGGTTATTCGACGGGACATTTCGAATATAAATATTTCTTTTTACACTATTGATAATATCTCTAGAATCTCAGTTAATACAAAAGATAAAGTTCCTTTGGAATTATATTATACCGGGTGACACAGGGTATCGGGCCACCCCTGTAACTTCTGCATTCGTCAACGGATTCTTCTGTAATTCGGTACAGTTATATAAGCAATCATTTCGGATTCGATCACATTACAATCCAATATGGCGGACTTCCGGTATTTCTGGAAATGCCAGCAACTTTGTTTTTTTAAATGAAACACCCCGTATATTTTTACATATTCAAGTTCAACAGGTCGAAACAAGTGCAATCTTTATTTCAAATGTCATTTTTTCGAAAAAATTTATACTAAAATTGTTTTTTCATTTTACCTCGTGGATAAATGAGATGTGGTCAAGACTATTCACAATGAGTCACACATAACAGAAGAACCTAATTTTTTCTGAAAAATTATTTTTTGTGTCACTTATCCAGGAATCAATTCAGCCACATCACTTTTTGATCAAATATTATTTTTTTTCAAATGGAACCCCTATGGGCCACCTACCCGTCTCTCTAGAACGTACATTAAGGAACAAAATGACATATCATTTTTGTTTTTCGGTGCAGTAACAAATTGTATACATTCAAAAATCAACAACTAGTTAATCAATTTCCTTGCAGTTAGAATAATTCTTCAACTAGGTAGGCTGTGAAAGAAATGACATTTGATATCAAGATTGCACTTGTTTTGACCTGTTGAACTTGAATATGTGAAAATATACAGGGTGTTCCATTTGAAAAAACAAAATTGCTGGCATTTCCAGAAAAACCGGAAGTCTGCCATATTGGATTGTAATGTGATCAAATCCGAAATAAGTGCTTAAATAACTGTACCGAATTCCAGAAAAATCCGTTGACGAATGCAGAAGTTACAGGGGTGGCCCGATAACCTGTGTCACCCGGTATGCATATCTTTATATGACGGAGAATGCAAATTCTCTACTTCAGAAGATTTTGTTTTCAAATTCTTATCGTGTGTGTTCAATAGATGTAATTCAATATTCGTCGTGACATATAGCCAGGAAAGTAGTTGTTTTCTGTTGAATAAACCGAGAAAGAATTAATATTTTTATCACATCACATTCTCAATGTATTTCTTTATATATACAGGGTGTTTCAAAGAAACCTGACCCCCTTGCTAGGGTAGGTATAACACTGCAAAATAAGTTGGGTTTGATCAGTGAAAAAATGTCGTAACGGCATCCGTTTTCATGATACAAGGTGTTGAAAAAATGATTTTTTTACACATTTTCACGATTTTGTCGAAACTACTGGCAACATCGTAATGAAATTTTGTATGGATGTTTCTTGAAATCTGACACATCGCATGAATTCGTTTTAATATCTGACTCTCATAGAGGGCGCTAGTTACACGGTTCGTACCGAGTAGTATAGAATATAACTTTTGGGGTTAGATTTTTCAATCCAAATTTGAAATGAACTTGAACATCATTCAATTTTACACCAAAAAGGTACTCCTGGTGAAACAATAAAATTATTCTTGTGCTGAAGTTATCGATGGAACAAAGAATCATAAGTAGAAAATTAAGAGATATCTGACTAGAAACATGGAATATTGAATCAGTTAGAGTAAGTGTTCAAAATGTCCTACGTTTCGTCGAATTCACGATACTATATTATTTTCTTAAGAATGTATTATTCCTTTAAACAGTTGAGAATCAGCTGTTAGGTCATTCAAGTGATGTTCAATTATGTCTTACAACTCTTGACGTGAATTTACCTATGTAGCATAGACTTTCTGCTCAAGATACAACAAAACTGTGTAATCCATGTTCTTAGTCAAATCTGTTTCGATGTTATTCTTGTGATTCATTATTAAATCAATAAGTTAAGCTTCAGAAATGTATTTTTGTTTTTCGTTTCCAATAAATAGGTGATAATCTTTCATAATACTCACTCTAATACATAGTATACCAGAAACAGTTATCACTTCATCATTTTCAAATCGAAATATTCCGAAAACGGTACACAGTATCGAGTTTCACCAAGAGTACCTTTTTGGTGGAAAATTTCATAATACTCACTCTAATACATAGTATACCAGAAACAGTTATCACTTCATCATTTCCAAATCGAAATATTCCGAAAACGGTACACAGTATCGAGTTTCACCAAGAGTACCTTTTTGGTGGAAAATTGAATGATGTTCAAGTTCACATCAAATTTGGATTGAAAAATCTAACCTCAAAAAAGTTATGTTCAAAACTACTCGGTACGAACCGTGTAACTAGCGCTGTCTATGAGAGTCAGGTATAAAAACAAATGCATGCGATGTTTCAGATTTCAAGAAACATCCATACAAAATTTCATCACAATGTTACCAGTAGTTTCGACGTGATCTTGAAAAATGTGTAAAAAAATCTAATTTTCAACGCCTTGTATCTTGATAACGGATAACGTTACGAATTTTTTTTACTGAGTAAACCAAACTCATTTTGCAGTGTTCTACCTACCCTAGTAAGGGGGTCAGGTGTTTTTGAAACACCCTATATATCCATTTTTTTGTGTTCATAAATATATCTGAGAATATTCCTTTTCAATAATTTCACCTATGCTTTCACCCAGTCAAAGGGTTCAAACCTGAACGATGGAAATTTGTATAGACCTACATCGCAGATTCGTGATTATGTTTTTCTCAATTCAGAATTTCTTTCCACGTCCTGTATGATGAATGTCAATTTATCATACATCCAAAAAACATAATTAATTAATTTGAAAAATGGTATTTAAATTGGGAATTTTGAAAGGGAGGCAGAAAGCCAATCCCTCAAAGAGAACATTAAAGGTCCAAACACAATGCAGAAGAATAAGGAATAGGAATATGGAATAGCACTATGATTGGTTCCAAACAGGTTCAAGGTTAGAATTGACCAATAGCAAATCCGCATTTCTTATTTTTCATTCCTTATTCTCTATTCCTCTACATTGTGTCATGACCTTTACTTCTCCATAGGTAGCCGAGGAAGATCTTTTCAACATTAAACTTGTGGAGACGACATCGAGTTTACTTCCTTAATCATTACTGATTTTTTCCCCTAATTGAATGTGTTTCCTCCTGAACGCTTCGTGGAACGGATTTATTATACATTCGAAATTGAATTAGTCACTGATTGCCTATGATCGTTGAAGGTCGTATGAGTGAATGGTATCTCCTCTGTACGGAGTATTATCTTCTTTTGAGGTCGAAATTTGTTGTTTGAAATTTTCACATGTTCATATGATCAAGGGGTCAGTACCCAAGTGATTATAGCATCCTGTTTGGTATTCAGTAAGTTCATTTGAATGCTGAACTGTCTCGTATTTTTTTGTTATTATAGGCCCATACCACTTTCAGCTTAGATAGACTACTACTTGGTAATTTTTGGTAGTCTGTGACTTTCACATTGGGTATTAGTGGAGGTAATTAAATTACCTGGCGCCCATATAACGAACCCTCCCATCTCCACTGAACCCGCTAGTCGAAGACCTTGGACCTTCGGGTTCATTTCAAGGTTACAAGTATATTGGCCTTACTGAAAAATTCAATTGGGCAGAAATGAATTATTATTTATAGGCATTCAGAATCTATTACTAGAAAATGCAAAAGAGCATCGTAAGCCTATGAATTTTACATAAACTGGTATTTTTAAAATAAACACCCTTTTTTTCATTTTCCTAATCGATAGAGCACTTCATTGAGGTTATCTTCGCCAGTTTTCGGAAAATATACAGTTCTCAACACACTGAATAGACCACTCATAATTTGACTCTATTTCGACGACCTGTATTTTTTTAAAATACTGACCGATCGTCATGCGGTTTTCGATATCAGATGTGATATTTCATCGGCTTCAAAGAGAGCTAGAACACTTTGAAAAAGTCCGCAGAACAAAACTTACACAGGGTGTAAAGTGGAACCATTACACCATGGTCTACATTTCCAATACTGCCAGAACTCGAGAAATTGTTTTCTGATCAAAAGTCAGTCATATTATGATACACTGGGACCTCATCTCGGGACGTTTTCGTGATTTCTCCAATTGGCCATTGGAACAAAAATTCGATTTTTTTTCGAAAGTCTTGCATTTCTTGGAATTTTTCTCTACAACTCCACTTGAGCTAACTATTGGGAAGAACTGTTCTCATGTTCTGTGGAGGACAATGAAAGACGATTGTGGAATATACAGGATGATAAGAAAATAGGGAAAAATCTCATTTCAGTAAAAAAAAATCGAAAATGGTGACTAAAACCATGGCCCATTCGATTCAGTATATTCAGAAACGGCCTTCTCGATACCCATTATTCATATTAGACTATTAACTCGAGAAGTTTTCGAAAATTCGCCTCTAATTGAAATACAGGATGAACATTTTCAATTCAAACTTGTTTCCTGATATCGATGATTCTTATCAACTGATTTCCAATATTCATTGAAATATCAGGAGCCTACCTGCTCAATTTTTTAAATAAAAACCAACCACATCGCAAATTTTTTAGTAACACCAAATTACTGCCAATTTTGAGTTATAGGAATTGAGTTGATTTCGTTTTATGACTCGAAATTGAACTGATTTCGTGTTACAGCTCGGAATTATAGTTGGCCACCATGTATGTACCTATATCATTAACTCGGATCCATTGAGGAATATATTTTAATGTTTTATATTTTCACAGGAGATGCTCTTGAATGCGAGGAATGCAAACAAGTGAGGCAAAAATTGATAGAAGAAGAAGAGAGGAAACAGCAAGAGCGCACACAGTCATAAAAAATACTCTCAACATTAAATTGTTATATATACAGAGCTAATTATTGTTCTCCGTTTTAATTGTTTCAGTGGTTTTAAGTCTTCAATTATTATTATTATTATTATATTCAAGACTGGTTTTGTTGTATCTACTTAGTGTTTTAGGATTATATTTTTTTACATGTTAGAATGATTTTAGTATACATATATTGAATACAGTGATATTTGAATAAAATACATTTTTATTAAATAGGTTCATCACTCTTTCCGATCAAAAGAAATTATTCAGTTATATCCTATATAGTACCTACACAGATATAAAAGGATAACGGCCGCCATGTCTTTGGATATGACCAAATCAATGTCATTCATTTCCTTATTGTCTTCAATCTATCCTAATGATAACAATATATTACCTAATCCTATGAGACACAAAGGATTCATTATCTTGTTCTAAGATAAGAAATAATTTAAAATATTTGATCTGAAGGTAATCATTTCTTTGGTCCAAGAAACTTCAAAGGCACTTGATCTTTTTGAATGTACATGACTTTACTCTACCCATAGATCTAAATACACACCTCTACCCCAAAGACCTATTCTTGATAGAAATGAATGAATAATCTTGTAGTGAATTGATTGCACTAAGATATTTACTTTGAAATTTGATTGGATATTTTCAAATTCTCTCTTCAAATGAAAACCATTTCTTGTCAAGAATTAATTTCTCGACTCTAGAATATGTGTTCTTTGTCATTTGACCCTAACATCTGAAATTTGATCTTCAATAAGGGATCTGATATCTTGAATATATTTAAAAAGAATATCCACAAAATTTACAAAATATATAACTCACGGTATCATTTGTTTATGTTCATTATAATATAAACATTTTTGATAGTAGCGTCTGGGGAGTATACTTGCCATACATTTGTGGTGGGGGGAGTGCAGCGTTGCTAGTGATCGCTTCTTCGTTCGAATCCGAATACTAGCGCCTAGAGATGGGTAACTATAATATAATCAGCGCGGCCAAGTGCGAGTACAGCGACAAAAACTCTTCTTTCATACTACCACAGTTACTACTACTCGTGGCGTAGTTGACTATTCGTTTGATTTCCACGTCAGCGACCCGGGTTCAAGACCTGTGACGGTCGGATTTTTTTAATTTTGTTTTCTCGAGTGATTTTCCGAAAAATTCAATTTTTAGGAAGGAGGTCCATTCAGGCCGATCAAGGTTAGATGGTTCCAAAAAAGTATAGTGCCCTTTTTCATGTAGGAGGGATATTTTCCTTCCTCCCTGAAAAAGTACTGTGTTTTTAGGAAGACGGTTCATTTAGGCCGAGTAAGGTTAGATCATTTAGAAAATGTAGTGTCCATTTATGCAGGAGGGTATTTTCCTTCCTTCTTGATAAAAGTACTGTGGACTGTGGAGGCATTTACTGTCGAGAAAGAGTTTTGACAAATTTATTCTTTAGAGTAAAGGTTTCTTTTGACCGAGTTAGATTGTGTTGTCTTTTTTCACTTCCATGTGAATTCATGAACATGATTTTCTTCTTCTTGGGTTATCCCTTCAATTCAAGATCATTGTAATACTTCCTTCCTCAAGTTGAAGAAAATCAGCACAATCTGGCAACATTGATTTGACTGACACTGGATTACGAGAAGTTCCCACCACATTCCATTTTATGACGCAGACTCCGCAGACGCAAAGCATTAAATTTGATTGCTTGAAACGTCACTACGAAAAAAGACAGCTTATTTTATATATTCAGTAATGAACCAATTAAAGTGTTTCAGAAAAAAATATATGGATAATAATAATAGGAAACAATCATATATTAAACAGAAAATACAAAAATTTTTTATGTTCTGGTTCCCACGAAAAGGGATATCCTGTAATGTTCAGAGAACTTCGTGAGTACCAAGGGAAATAAGGTAGGAATTGGTGTTCTTCTGGAATTTTGGAGGTTATATGCCTCGGAGAACGCCTCCCTTGGCAATGTGTTCCAGAACCTCGCTGATCGTTGGATGAACGAGTCTGTGGAAATAGATGTTCTGCAGGTCTACAAAGTGACCACGAAGGGGTGCGAAGCCTCAATTCGACGGGTTAATCTCACGGGGACTGCCAAGGGAGGAACAATAAATTGTTGATATTTCAGAAGAACATCGTCCACGAAAATATCAATAAAATAGAGCCAGATCGCCAACTTTTCTACGGTGTTCTAGAGAAATGAGTGAGTTTGTGAGCGAGGCATCACCCACGAGACGATTTGCCATTTTTTGGACAGAATCCAACAGTTTCAGGGTATGTTTGGGTGCTGCACTTCAAATATGGGAACAGTATTCCAGGACAGGTCGGATCTGTGCCTTATAGATCATAAGCAGCTGACTGGAAGTGAAATAGCTCCTGGCCCGAAACAGAAAACCAAGTTTTTGGGATGCACTCTTAGCAATTGATCTGACGTGATTTTCCCAAGAATGGTTATTGCTGATAGTAATACCAAGCATCGAAATGGATGTCTTCAAAGGTATAGTTACTCCTGACAAGCTTGTGTTGGGCACATCAGTGAGATCGGCTTTTCTAGAGAAAAGGCATGCTTGTGTTTTATTCGCATTGAAATCTACCAAGTTATTGGATCCCAATTCGAGAATTGTTGCCAAGTCCATATTTATGTTGTCAACATTTCTCCATCGTTCGTTTCTGATTTGCCTGGCTGGTATTGGAGCCCTGGAAGAGAAGGCGGTATGGAGGGTACTATCATCCGCGAAGCTGTGTACTGGACATGAAGTTGCTTCCAACAAGTCGTTGATGTGGAGTAGAAATAGTGTTGGTGCTAGAATTGATCCTTGCGGAACACCAGCATTTATGATAAAAGAGTCAGGTGAAACTCCGTCGATTACTAAGTCGCTGTAAGTCAGTCACAAGAAGAAAAAATATTTTGGACCAATAATAACATCAAAGCAAAACTGAACACTGATTTTTTTATCAGCAAAAACAGAGATTGTGGTAACACATTTGAAACATACTTATCAATACCAGAGTTAGCTATAACTTCATTCAGTGGTTCTATGGTAGATCCTACCTTCAAAAGAATTTCACGTCGATTAGCTCATTTGTCAACTCGTTTCATGTACCTCAAAGCTGATAATGAGAATGAAGAGACAGCCACGAAAGAAATTCAATATCTCGTGTTGGAATTGAAAGCTAATTTTGATTTGAAAGTATCTCCTCCTCCCAGTACATCTACCCTTACCCTTCCTAATAATGACTGCAATATATTTTCTTCAAATAAATCAGTTGCTCCATACAAATAGAATATCTTTTTTACTGGCTCAAATCTGAGTGAATCAGTTATCTCTTTCTTAGAAGAAGTTGAATTGCTCTTCTCGTAGCAATTCAACTTTAAGAGGTGTTTCAGAACAGGAACTTTTTCAGTCTACCTGTGATTCATTCAAAGGTTTGTTGATAATGAAAGTAAATTCCAAACATGGAACAACTTGGTCAAAGAATTGAAGAAAGATATCCTTCCCTATTTCTATGAAGTAGATCTAGAACGAGAAGTAAATTCTAGAACTCAGGTACAATGAAAGAGTTGCGTATTGTGTTTCTCTCAACTAGGGCTGGGCAAAAATATCGATATATCGATACATATCGATATGTATCAATATGAATCTATCGGCACATTTCCAATTCACCATGAATAAAAATTCAGGAAGATCTAACGACTGGTGACTGAGATATATGGATGGTTCCGTACATTTGATTAACTCTGTATATTACATAAACAATAGCTCACCTTCGTTATGCATCTCAATAAAATCGTTTTGTTACTCTATAGTCAGTATATTGTCTATAGAAGAATCAATGAAAACTTATGTATTATTCAATGTTTTGTGTAATATCATGCTAACTTATTGTATGATAATGTGGATAACACATCATTTTATATCTTGTTCGGGCAAAGTTTCATTGTTGATACACAAATGAAATAGTAGTAATATGAGAATAATTCTCCTTATTTCTATTTTGAAAACCGACAGACCTAAATTACGATTTGGAATAAAAATAAAAGGGACTTCTCCTAAATTAGTTAATTATGAGACACATGACAGGCAACTACCTATATCCATACACGATCATTAGCTCACTCAAAGTAGTGGAAGTATATTGTTTTCAGACGACTGGGAATGAAATAGGTATATCCGCTTTGGGTGTAATTATTATTATTATATTTTAATGAAAATTTCACACCAAACATTCTCGATCAATTCAAAGCCTGTATTTCGTATCATTACCATAGCAACTAAACACATTTCTTCTTCAAATAATTGAAGCTCTCGTGATATTATAAGTGGAGATTTGACACCTCACATGCATTTTTGAATAATTAAAAGCCTATATTTTGTATCGTTACCATAGCAACTAAACAAATTTCTGGAAAATGTTTCCTCCTCTTTGGGGGAAAAGGAGCATGAAATTACACTTGAAATTTTTTGACGTTTATAGGTAAAATGACATTTACATTTGACTTTAGATTGTCGAATTAATTCTATGAGTTGATAAGTTCCTTGTAAAAAAATATATTTCTACCAACTTCAGCTAAATGAACTAAAGTCGTTTAATCATATTTTATTTAACCTAATGATATATTACGTCTGCAAATCTCATTGATACCAAATAGTACTTCGAGTTTTTTGTGAGAAAATATCTTTCAACCAACATTAGTAAAATGAATTTGTGAAAAACTGAGGAAATGAGCTACATCGACTTATTTTTCATTATTTTGTTTAACTAAAGTAAATTAATTGTGTTTCATTCAGCCCAACAATATGATGGATATAAGTTATATTAATATACTACCACTGTAGAGTTCCTTGTAACAAAATATATTATTACCACCAACTTTAGTGGAATGAAGTTATTCAAGAATAAAAGTTTGAACTACCACCTGCTGCCTTATTTAAATTTTGCGTAAGTATATAAAGTCAGTATTTTGTATTGTATCTTATCCAAGTATTTTTCTATATTTCGGTGTGAAATTTTCTTACCGAATACCACTCTAGCTTCAACACTCGTCTTCAACTCGGGAAAATTGTCAAAATATTCGTGTTCTCGAAAAATTTCCCGGTAATAATTGTAGCTATCGTGGTATCGTTAGTTGAAATTACCCTGTAACTATTTGAGATTGATTTGACAGTATCAGATATTATTTTTTTATATTCGGCGTTAATGAGATATTTGTTCAAATTTCTCTATTCTCATGGATTCTTATGTGGGTGTGCGAAATTTTATGTTTCCACTCTAGAGAAGAAGAAAAACTCTGAATAGTGGTTCCTAATTTGGATGGAGTAATGTCCATTTGAAGCCAAATTTCCACATTTTTCCATATGAGGAAAATGATCTACTTCATTTTCCTCATCATCATAATGTCGTCGTCATATTTGAAAATGAGAAATGTAATCACGTAATTAATTGTCATGCACCAGTTTCGAAAAATATGAATTTGAACTTTTTGTGGTTCTGGCAAAAAATCAGGTTCGTCTAATAAATTATGTTGAGTTGGTTTTGACAAATTTACAAAATCAGACGTTTATAAATCTCTGAATTAACTCTCTATAGTCATCTTTATTTTCAAGATATATTATTCTCCATTCACATTGGTAATTTTTGGAGAATTTTTATTTTTTTTTGAAAACTCCATTCAGTTTTCGAAGCGATTGATGCGGAAAGAGAAGGCAGTTTCACATCGTAAAGAATATGAAAATCTACGCATCGTGTGATGCTGCTCGTATTCTGGACATTTTGAAATTGAAAATGATAACTGGAATGATCAAAGGAACTAAAAAAAAAAAAATAACACCATGAGTAAGTGTGAATAAATTTTTATTTTCTTTTAATATTTCATCATTGGAAAGCGTTACTTATATTTTTCTTTGAAAATGGGGTGTTTTTCCGTTTGTTTCCCCATAGTAGAGTTCTACGACGTTTTTCAATCTATGACCCCAGTTTTGCAATTTTATAATCCACGCAATATCCGATCGAAAAAATTAAAAACTTCATCAGTAACCTGTGACCCCCCTTCTATTGTATTTTATGTAAATGCTCGGTTACATCGAGTGTGCCATGGGTCCGCGTCAATAGCTGAGGAACGCCATATAAAAGGTAAAATGCCATCCCCGTAATGTCAGTCTAGTTCAAAGTTTTCTATCTAGGAGGTACGATAGTGAAATACTAATACAGTGATATTTTTGTTCCCTTGAGGATTATTTAAGTCTATTGGGGTTTGTGTTTTTTTTTTAATATTAATGCGTTCCATTCAGCTTTTTTCTGTGAAGAATAAATATCATCACTCAGTAACTCGAGACATTTTTCTGTGAAAATAGTGACACGACTTCAGGATACCTACTTAACATTTTGGACTAAATACAGGTTGTATCATAAAAAATTCGTTATCCGAAAAAAATTAGTGATCAATACTTTGGGTTTCATCCTTCAAATTCGCGAACCTGGTAACTCCCTTCAGAATTTTGGAAGGATTCAGTCATACATTTTACCTAAGAGGTATCATCCAGATAACGAGATGAGAAAAAAATGTTTCCTGGTTGAAAGTACCAGTTTGGGTAGTGATATCAAATCTATTGTGATTATCCTTCAATTTTTGAAATCACATGAGAAATAGCGAAACTGCAGCGTATAGATGAACAAACAAAAAAAGAAAACTAATCCCAAAACTAGAGCAATAATAATTATAAAAGTTGTGCAATTTAGATCAGTATATAACAGAGAGATTAATAGAAAAAATAAGTTCATGATCAATTCATATAAGATGTATACCTATCTACTGAAGAAACAAGCGTATCTTAGTATCTTAACTAACCCCCCATTCCATTTAAAAAAATTGGAGGGGTTGCCCAGACAGCACAGAATGTTCTCACAACGTTCACAATATACCTCCTGCAGAATATTCCGAAGAACGTTCATAGAATATGATGAGGATGTTCATAGAATGTTTTACGAGAATATTCATAGAGCATTTCATTGGAATATCCTAGGAACGCTTCTAGAATTTCCCATTATATCTATGAATGTTATTCAAGAATAATCATTGAATATGTAGTGTTCTAGTATTCTAGTCATGTTCTCCAAGTATGTTGATTGAATATATTATTCAGGTACTCTGAGAATGGGAAATAGTTTTATTACCGATGAGCATATATGTTCTAACTTTCTTCGTGTTTGAGACACAGGGAGTAAAATTTTTCAAGAACTCGATTTTTCATTGATTATTCCAAATCCTTTTCGCTGATTTTTATAAAACTTGTCATGCTCGTCTGCAGTAGCGATGTGGTTTAGTGAATTCAAATTAACCGCTATTTCTCCCAATTACTTTCTTACTACCCTACCTGAGGAATATTAGGTATAAAATTCTGAGCTATGGAATTCCGAGATTTATGGCCATCATCTTGACGAAAAACACTCTGCAAAATGTCGAGTTTATGCATCACATTACATTGCAACACTTATTAATTGGGCTAATCGAATTTCAGACTGAAAAATGTCGACGACAACCGCAAGTCCGGACCTGGCCGCTCCCAGCGCCCTCTTGTCGGCCAGCAGCGTTTTCTACTTCCTGCTGATCCCAGCCGCCATCTTATGGTACGCTTACTGGAAAATATCCAGAAGCCACATGTTGGAGTTGGCAAATAAGATTCCCGGACCACCAGGCCTACCAATTTTAGGAAATGCCCTGCAGTTGCTCGGATCTAGCCCACGTGAGAAAATATTAAAAATGGACTGTTGAAAACAATAGCTATTAATATTTAAAGGGAGTGAAGGTTTTCATTCCCTCCCGCGTGACAGCGAAGAGCATTAAACACACATGGAAGGAAATTAACCTTTGCTCCCCCAAGATATACATATACAGGGTGTCCCAAAATTAGCCTGCCAAACCTCACCAGCGGCTCCTGAAGATGATATTTCTTGAGTATTTCCGAAACTCCATGTGAAAAGAAGGTACAATAATTATAGGTACAAGAACTAGAATTTTCATGCCCAATGCAGTGAAAATGAAATCATTTCATAATTTAAATCAGGAGTGTATAATACAGGAAGGGACTACATTAAATATTGCTCAAAATTTTATTTATGCATATTTTTCGACAATTCATCTCGGATTATGAAATTTCACACCTCTTTACAGACAAAAGGTTCTCTTGTTCCGTGACGATCAGATGTATTATTATCGAGTTAAAGCATCTCAGATATTATGTATAACATTGCGATGAGGCGTAGTGGAAATGGAAAAAAATGCACAAAAATTGAAATAATTTTTCATCATCATTTTTTCGATTTTACGCGCTTCCATGAGATTGTTTGGTAAAAAGAAAGTACTTGATTTTTTTATTGCCACTATGATTTGAAAATTGGCAACGTTATGCATAAGATGTGAGTGCATCAATATTTTTAAATCGATTTCACTCGAGAATGATACATCTGATCGATGCGAAACAAGTGCAATTTTTTTTGTGAAACGGTGTGGATTTTCATAATCCGAGATTGCATTGTCAAAAACTATGCATTCGAAAAAGTTTGAGCCATATTTAATGTAGTCCCACTCTCTATTATACACTCCTGAATGAAATTTTGGAATGATTTTATGTTCAGCGCATTGGGCATGGGGAGTTTAGCTCTTGTACCAAATTGCATCATTTTAACACGTGGCGTTTCGGAAATATTCAAGAAAACATTTTTTCTGTGACGGGAAAAAAGTTTGGCATTTCATCTCTGTTGGCAGGTTATAAAATATCACTTTTCATAAATTACTTCTTTCCCGAGAGAAAAAATAGTGTATTATACAAGGGAAAAATATTTTAGCCACAACCTGATGGAGCTAAAATCTACTAGTTTTTTCCCTTGTATAATAAATAACTATTTTTGGCCATTCGCTTCCTGGGAAATATCAATAACAATAAACTACTTGGACTAAACAGAGGAAAGACCTCTTATACGAATAGATTTACTATTGGCATTTCTAGTTCGAGAAACCCTGAACTTCTTCTAAAAATTCTACTATTATGCCCATTTCAGGAAAATGATGCCGACGTTCTCATTGCATTCGTAACCATCACAATTGTAACGAATTAAAGAAACATTTATTTTTCTTGCGAAACATTGTCTGTAATATCTAGTGTATGAGCTGGTTGACCTTAAATACTTATAATACCTAATATAATGATACAGATATCAATCTGCAGGTATCACGTAGTTATGACAAAAACCTCTCGAAATAATATCTTTAATATCTGAACAATGAAAATTACCTATATCTTCAAGATATCAGATAATAAGAAATTTTTGAAAATGCAGCTTATCCTTCTTCTTCAAGATCTCGGGTTTTTCTCTCAACTATGGAGTTGCTTGATGTACTTATTTGACACTTTTATTTTGACGTTTCCGTTCACAAAAACGTCAACACAAAAGTGTCAAATACATTAAAGAATCCTATACCTTCATAAAACATCAATAATTCACTGTTCCAGAAATCTTCAAGAGAGTCTATGAACTTTCCTACGATTATGGAAACACCGTCAAGATGTGGGCTGGACCCAAACTGATCATCTTCTTGATTGATCCCAGCGATGTCGAAATCATCCTCAGCAGCCACGTACATATCGACAAAGCCAGTGAATACAGGTAGGAATAAATGTCACATTATACAGGGCATCCATAAAGTAACGCATAAATTCATCATTGCCTAAAGGGGCAATAAAATAAGGAATTACTATTGTTTCAAATAATAATATACAGGGTGAACCACTTTCGTGTAATGACGTCATCACCATTTTTTTAAATGAAACCTCGATTTCCAAATTGCCCTTGCTGAGCTGATTCCAAAAAAAAGTGGTTCACCCTGTATATCAGATTATGATTTGAAACAATTGTGAATTGATATCAAAAATCGACCTGTTTCCGGAATTTCTAATTTATTGTACATTTAGCTAATAATAAATTTATGCGTTATTTTATGGAGGCACTGTATAAAGGTAAGTAGCAACTTCTAAATACGGCTGAAGATGGACTTTCATGATACCGAAACATGTCCGCTTGATTGATTTACATCAGTAATAAAGTAGTGGAGATGACTTTAAGCTTTCCTTCTTCCGTTTGTTATATAAACGTGTTGTAAATAAATAGAAAAGATGAACTAGAAATCGTCTACTCAACTTCAATTCATTTAATCAAATGGGGATATGGTAGATTTCGATGCAAAAAAAAACACAATCATGCCTTTTCTCTAGAAAAGCCGATCTCACTGTGCCCAACATAAGCTTGTCAGGAGTAACCATACCTTTGAAGACATCCAGTTCGATGCTTGGATTACTATCAGCAATAACCTTTCTTGGGAAAATCACGTGAGATCAATTGCTGAAAGTGCATCCCAAAAACTTGGTTTTCTCTTTCGGGCCAGGAGCTATTTCACTTCCAGTCAGCTGCTTAAGATTTTTTAGGTTCAGATCAGACCTGTTCTGGAATACTGTTCCCATATTTGGAGTGCAGCACCCAAACATACCCTGAAACTGTTGGATTCTGTCCAAAAAAGGGCAATTCGTCTCGTGGGTGATGCCTCGCTTACAAACTCACTCACTTCTTTGGAAAACCGTAGAAAAGTTGGCGATCTGGCTCTATTTTATAGATATTCTCATGGACGATGCTCTTCTGGAATATCAACAATTGTTCCTCTCTTGGCAGTACCCTCGAGATTAACCCGTCGAGTTGAAGCTTCGCACCCATTCGTGGTCACTTTAGAGACCTGCAGAACATCTCTTTCCAAAGACTCGTTCATCCAACGAACAGCGAGGCTCTGGAACACATTGCCAAGGAAGGTGTTGGCCGAGGCATATAACCTCCAGAAATTCAAGAAGAACACCAATTCCTACCTTATTTCCCTTGGTTCTCACGATGTTCTCTGAACATTACAGGATATCCCTTTTCGTGGGAGCCAGAACATAGAGAAAGTGCAACAGCCGAAATGATAATAAAGAAATACTCACATCAGCTGATCACTTCGCATAAAGAGTTCTTACTTACTAAACTTTGAGAACCACGAAGTTTGGAAGATTATATTCAATTACACTGGGAATGTGATAGATCATCTGACTCACGTGCTATAGAGAGTTCTTATTATGACTTATTTTTTATGCAGATTCTTCAAGCCATGGTTGGGAGATGGTCTGCTGATCTCCACTGGCCAGAAATGGCGTGCTCACAGGAAACTGATCGCCCCCACTTTCCACTTGAACGTTCTCAAATCCTTCATCGATCTATTCAACGCCAACTCTCGCGAAGTAGTCCAAAAGCTCAAGAAAGAAGTCGGCAAAGAATTCGATTGTCACGATTACATGTCTGAAGCCACCGTAGAAATCCTGTTGGAAACTGCCATGGGTGTCAGCAAGAAGACTCAGGACCAGAGTGGGTACGATTACGCGAAAGCAGTCATGGACATGTGCGATATCCTCCATTTGCGTCACACCAAGATCTGGCTCAGGCCAGACATCATCTTCAACTTCACCAAGTACGCGAAGGTCCAGGAAGGACTCATTAATGTTATCCACAGCCTGACCAGGAAGGTCATCAAGAGGAAGAGGGCAGATTTTGAGAAAGGTGAGTGGATTCAATAATGGTGAAGTCCTGAGAATTCACCAAGTCAAAAATCACCTCGTTCCATCATCAGAAACTGGATGAGAAAGAAAATCACTATAGAAAGAAGTAATAGTAATTTTTGTTGATCTCGAAAAAGCTTTCGATACAATAGACCACATAACACTTTTGGAACATGATAAGGAACCTTTTAGATTCGTATCTTCAAAATAGGACAATCAGTACCAAATCTTCTAACTCAGAGTCTCATAGACTACGGATGACTAAAGGTGTCCCTCAAGGATCTGTTTTAGGACCAATCTTATTTTCATTATACAGGGTGTTTCAAAATTCAGTATCAAGATTTTAGGGGCGTATTTTTCAGGTCAAAATAAGACGTTTTTGTCCATAAACATGTGTCCGCAAACGCTTCGTTACCGATCTACAGAGCGTTAAAGTTAAACAAATACACGATGAGACATCCACCAACTTTCAAATAATGTCAAATGCTTCAAAACAAACCTAAACGTCAAAATGAAAATAGCAGTCAAAGCCCACTAATTCGCTTTTTCATCGTTCCGTTGAAAATTTTAATTAAATGTAGCGAATTACAAAAATTGATGTTACTTTTTTCTCGATAACGATCGCAGATGCGTGAAAATTACAAAAAACAAACAAATTTATAAAAAAAACAAAGAATTCATTTCGTATCTCAGAATTCACCAGCGGCGCACCACAAAAAAGTTTATGGAGTAAAAAAGGGCTTGACCCCTGAAAAAAATATCTCCCTGTAGATTCTCACAATCACTCGGCATGCTGGATGATGTAAGCCCTAGAACGTAACCTACATTCCAAATTTGATCTTAATATCTCAAAAATTGAAAGAGCTATGAAGAAAAAAATAAAAAAATCCTGAAACTTTAACGCTCTGTAGATCGGTAACGAAGCTTTTGCGGACACATGTTTATGGACAAAAACGTCTTATTTTGACCTGAAAAATACGCCCCTAAAATATTGATACTGAATTCTGAAACACCCTGTATATTCAAAATATCACGAAAATTGAAACATAAAGTAATTACACTATTTATGCAGATGACACGGTACTTTTATATGGAAATAAAAATCCTATTATTTCAGAAAATATAATGAACAGAGACTTGATGAAATTTGAAAATTGGCTGCATTCAAACCTTTTATCAATTAATACTGATAAAACTGAATATATGATTTTTCAACAAATAGAATATAAATTTAAATCTCAGAATTGAAAATGAATCTTTGAAACAAACTAATGAGAAGCAGTATCTTGGGATTTGGTTTGATGATAAACTAGAACACAGTTGAGAGAATATTGTAATATTCTCTCAACTGTGACTAGAATATGAATGTTTTGACGAAACAAATATCTCCTATTATTGGAGCCCTGAGAAGATGTCCCACTGAATCATTCTCATTAGAATAAGGAATGTTCAAAATTGGGAATATGAAAATTACATACAATATCATAAATAAAAGATTGAAATCCAATTTTATTTTAACACGAAACAATGAAATTTATGATTACCAAACTAGACAACATGGTTTATTTCATTTTGATATCGCTAATTCTTCTATAGACCAAAGAAAGATTCACCCATGCTGCTCTTATAGTTTTAGGTATTATTGTTAACTATACTTCCTCATACAAGAACTTGATTCTGACTGGAAGTCACATTTCCAATAAATAAATAAATAAATAGATAAATGATAAATAAATCATTGATGTAACGTCATTAAGAGAAAGATACCTACTGATGTTTTATTTTGTAGCTTGGTGAACTTGTGACTTCAGGACTTTAACACTACTTACCTCGTATGCTTTCTATTGTTTCCAAAGTCACTTGATTGCGTTAGATGGCAAAATAGTATATATTATGTCATAAGGGCAGAAAATGAGCTTTGGCACCCCGCGGCTATTAGCTGCACAAGCGCAGCGAGGGCAGTTAGTAGCTAAGCTTTATCATGCTACTAACTCTCAGTCACTAATTATCAGTAGTAATACTATAAGTACTTCAAAATATCCGTTTTATACATCGATAGCTTGTTGCATAAACACAAAGAGTGTCAGTTAATTCGACAGTTGAAATATTTTTCATCTTTTCTGAACCAAAACTCAAACACCCAAGTCGAATTTCAAAATAAATCATTAATCTAAGTTTTTCCGATATGATGCCAACTTATGAATGACTATACTGGAATGACTATACCACACTGATACCGATATTACTATCCAAATATGTGTCAATAGGTATCAGAGGATCAACAGCTGAAGTACCAGAAGAAGCAAAGACCAACTCCGTTGGATCCGTAGCCTCGAAGACAGTAGTCGAAGGACTCTCCTACGGCCAATCTGTAGGTCTTACAGACGACTTGGACGTTGATGATGACATTGGTGAGAAGAAGAGGATGGCTTTCTTGGACCTGATGATCGAAGCTTCACAAAATGGAGTTGTAATCAACGACGAAGAAATCAAAGAACAAGTAGATACCATCATGTTTGAAGGTCACGATACCACAGCTGCCGGTAGCAGTTTCTTCCTGTCCATGATGGGTATCCACCAGGATATTCAGGATAAGGTTATCCAGGAAATCGATGAGATATTCGGTGACTCCGACAGACCTGCCACGTTCGCTGACACTCTGGAGATGAAATACCTCGAAAGGTGTATGATGGAGACCCTTAGGATGTACCCACCAGTACCAATTATCGCTAGACAGTTGAGACAAGACGTTAAACTTGGTGAGGATTTGTTCAATCTTGTCCATGACCAATACTGAAGTTCTTTCTGTTGCAGTTTCTGGAGACTACACTCTTCCAGCTGGTGCTACCATCGTTATTGGAACTTTCAAGATCCACCGTCTTCCTGACATCTACCCTAATCCAGACAAATTCGACCCTGACAACTTCCTACCCGAACGTACAGCCAACAGACACTATTACTCCTTCATCCCATTTTCTGCTGGACCCAGGAGTTGTGTCGGTAAGTGAAACCGGCACAGTTTTTACATTTACTATGCACTGAGGAAAATTCCTATTAACCATAGTCAGAAATCGAATTACCCCAGCAAGAAACTCTAATAGCATAGGAGACAAGAAAGTGATCACCTGTGATTATAAAGTCGACTTTTGCTGATTATAACCCACCTACGATTATTAGATATAGAACCTAGCTGCCACTAGCGAGTGCATCTGTATATTGCTATTAAACGATGTTGCTGTAGTAGGTATCTGACTTTGCTACGGCTAGTGAGTGCATCTAATAATGGGAGTAGGGCAATGTTATAATCGTAGGTAGGGAACTTTGCTACTCTTGATGTGTGATCATATAGATAGTTGCATGACCTTCTTGCTGTAGTTATTCAGTTATCTTCCAGGATTGTTGCCATCAAGAAATTGATGAAATTTTGACTGATATCCAGTTTCACTCCCCATAATTTCCACCCTGATGTTTGGTATGAATAGCAATATATTGATTTCGGACCAATGATCTCTGAAATTCGATAGATCAATTGATTCATGCACCCTTAGGAAAAACAAAAGGTTTTTGAGAAATTATTGAGAAAATGAATTTTCTGAAGCCATTGTATTTCGAAAACTAGGCAAGTTATTACAGATGCATACAGGAAACCAAAATGTTACCACTAAAATCATTCCAATAATTTCATAACCTGAACATTTTTGCTCACAATGTGTTTCTAGACCACATTCTATAGGGAAGCCCTGGACCATATTTGACAATTTCAAAGTTCAATGGTACCAAAAAGAAGGAAATGTTGAATGTAAAATATTTGAATTTCAGTCGAAATACCCCGAAAAAACTCACCTTTATTATTCAATCAATCCTGGTAATAACTGAAGCACTCAGATCAACGAAAGCACTGAAAGGGACTCAGAAGATTTATTTATTCGTTTAAAAATGATTCCATATTATATTTGAATCCAGATTCAGATTTTATATAATGAATTGAATTCAAGAGGAGAATTATTCGTAACTGTCGTGTCGTCGAGATTGTCGTCCTGTACATGGGTTTGCATCAAGAGCCCAACTTTGAATGATTGATGTGAAGCAAGATGTCTGACAAAAGCTTATATAGAGGGGGAAAAATCAGCAAAATATCGAATAACGATAAATAGGCGCTGAATAACCCCAAGTAGGTTCGTCAATAGTTATTTGTTAAACTAGGGAGCAAAGTAGTAGATTAACTGCCGTGGCTGAATTCATAGCCGAGCGTAGCGAGGCTAGGAATCCAGCTAAGGCAGTCAATCTTCTTTGCTGTCGAGTTGAACATATAATTTTTCCTCCGATTGTTCATAATGATATGGGAGAATATTGTATTTGCGAATTAATACAATTCCCACAATCTCGTTATTCTTCCTGTATAGTGTTCAATTGAAATAAAATTTGATGGAAATCGCAGTTGTTGGTTTGACAATTCATGAAATTTCTGACAGTTGTGCGAAAAAATATCGGTATATTTGAATTCTTATATAATGGACAGTGATAGCGACCTGGAAGTATACTTACACCTCCATTAATAAGGGAGGTGGCAAAAAATATAGAGTTGAATTTGTTGCCGGAGAAGTCTCGGATGGAATATGAAGGAAACTATAAACGATTTATGGATTTTTAATTTTGCTGATACAAATCAATCAGCAAAGCAACCACTTTGCTGCCTAGGCAGGAAAAGTAATACTTTGCTGATTGATATGTGTCAGCAAAATTAATATTTGCTGCCAATCGGAGGAAAATTTACTTTCAGCAAAGTCGTTATTGCTATCATAGGATTTGAAGGTGCTGCTTCTATTCGAAAATGTATAACGGTAATATGATTTCTTGTAATGGTAGCAAAAATTATCTCAGCAGATACTCTAATAGCACAATCAATTTTCCTCAGTATTTATTTCCATCAAGTAACGGCCGAGTCGATTCAAACAAACATTGTAACGGTGATTCAATATTATCCCAACAGCATTAAACCAGCGTTTGTAATTTACAAATTTCAAACATTGCCATTTCAGGTCGTAAATACGCTATGCTGAAGCTGAAGATTCTCCTTTCCACCATCTTGAGAAATTACCGCGTAAGGTCTGATATTCAAGAGAAAGACTTCCAACTCCAGGCTGATATTATCCTCAAGAGGGCAGAAGGTTTCAAAATAAAGCTGGAGCCCAGGAAGAGGTTAGCGGCAGCTATGTAATTTATAATTCCTTATTATTCAATAGCGAAGTCAGATATTTATAGTAGAATAGTATTTTGTAAAATAATGTATAAATAATCTATATTTAGCAATTATGGACAAGATTCATTGAAAAATGTATGTTTTATTGATGGTGTTGAGTGTGTCTTCTCCTAACGGTTATCTTCAGGCCATTTTTAGGCTTGAGTGTGACGTCGGGTACTAGTACTAATTCGTCCTCTGATTCTGGAGCAATCAAATGGAAATTCCTTACAATTTTGGAGATGCAACTTTTCATTTGCAATATCGCGAACTTCTGACCTAAAAAGAAATAAGGACTATCATGTAGGCACTCAAACATTGGGAGTTATTTCTTAGAAAATAGTTTTCAATATTCACGCATCTTCAGCAATGATACATATACAGGGCGTTTCACGACGAGAGGGAAAAACTTGGGCTGAGAGAAGACGACATATCTAGAGGATTCTGAATAAACTTTTCAATAGGGTCAAGTATGTATTCGGTTCGGAAAAGACAGGGTGACATAAAAATAAATGCAAATAATTCAAACCCAAAGGAAGCTCGACGTATATTCTGGGTGTCAGGAGAATACATGGAAAGATTTCAACGACGGATTCTAGGAACAGAAATAGTAAAAAATATATTCATGAGTGCAAAAATGGCCCCCTTTGGAGTTAAAGCCATCGGAAAGAGGGTCCGAGATGATGTTTTTTCTTGTAAATATTTACGAGAGATAGCGGAATATCGTACCTGTATATGACTTCTCAGACCCGATTTGGCAATGTTAAGGATTTTCCGAAATTTTCATCAGTGGTGTGGGAAATATGTGGGGCTAGGGCCATTTCTTCCCCCAACTCTTTTTTCTATGCCATTCTCGGCAGTTTGACCAGGAAATATGATAGTATCATTATTTTTAACTTTAAAATGATACTCTTGTTTAGTTTCGATAGCTCTCACCATTTTCGAAATAAATCGCTTCATCATTTGATTATCAAGCCAAACCCAGTGGATTATGGAGAGCAATAGATTATTGCTATTATTATTGTTGATATGCTCACTAACCTAACATTTCCCACGCATTTTCCTATACCTGGCACTGGCGCGGTATTTCCTATTAGAGCACCAGATCCATACACAAATATGTCATTCCGTGGTTTTATTTTTATTGTAACTACAATTCGAACATTCTTGAAAATTGAATAGACCTGATCTGTTGATTATTTGTTGCATTGCATGCATATGGCACGGCATTGGTGGTTATTTCACATAGTCATCTTAGTTGAGTCTTCTAACTCGCAGATTTTGATTTTGCTCGTGATCCTAATAAAACATTCTAATATTTTTCTCCAAGTGGCATGAAAAGGGGCTTTTTCCTGACACTTAACAGACAGGAAAGGTGTACTTCCTCTCCGTAGGCAGGAAAAGTTTGTTGCTATGCAACCTTCCACGTATTTTGAATGGAATTGATAATCAAAATGGACACTGACAATGCGTGAACAACACAAAATGATGGAGTTTTCAATAAATAAAATACACAAAATTGGTTTTATTTCATTTGAGAAAAAATTATATGTTTCACAAGGCAGCAAATGTAGATTGACTGCCTTGGCTGAATTCCTAAACCTCGCTTCGCTCGGCTATGGACTGTCAGACTCGGCAACCAATCTACTACTTTGCTGCCTTGTAAAACCGTTGGTTGATATATCACGCTTACGCTATATCAATCAACGGTAATGGTATGCTGAACAGCCAAAACTGCTTTGCGATTTGATATTAAATATATTCATATGGAATATCCATATTTCTTCATTTAATTTATCGATTACGAGTAGGCAGCTTGTACAAATATTTACCTAAGAAGAAAAATGACTTACCAATACAGTTCCTGGGTCCCCCGCTGAACGGTAAATGGGTGAAAGGGAGTATATCGTCAGACATGAATCTATTGGGATCGAACACTTCAGGATTAGGAAAATATTTGGGATCACGATGACAGCCGTATATGAAAATTCCAACGTTAAGATTTTTGGGTAGAACTGATCCGCCATCTAAAAGAATATCGAGTCAATTCGACTGATGGCCCTCAGGACTTCCAGAATATAGTACCTAGTATTATGTCACCTGTCAGCTCTCGAGCAATAACTGGTATTGGGGGATATAGTCTTAATGCCTCCTTTATCACCATTTCCAAATACTTCATTTCTTGTAGGTTATCGTACGACACTGTCTTTGGTTCAGTGGCATTGCCAAAAATATGAATCTGCTCTTGATGTACCTTTTCCTGAAATCAGTTCAGTCTATGAACGCCCAATAAGGGGGTGTAGAGGACATTGAATAGGACAGTTTTTTTGAGCCTAGGGATATGTTCGGAGTAGATAGGAAGAATACACTCCAAATGTCCCCGAAATTACAAAGTGAGCTAATAACCGTACATTTCTCAAGAACGGTACGTCACTGCAAAAAAGTCAGGCCTTTCAAAATTGTAGCTGATGAAATTGTCTACAAAATTGTATCAGTAGGTTTTTTCCCTATCTTTCATAGTTAGATAGCTAGCAATCAGTCGTTTGCAGATTTTGTTCGTTATGTTAAAAGTTCGGGGGCACAGATAATACAGATATCATATTCATTTTAGCAAGCTTATTATCTGCGAACGACTTTGATTGTAGCAGTCAAGTTGAAAATGGGCCATCCTATACGATGAGAAGGGTAATGAACATGAATACGTGACCAAAATATCAACATGAAGAAGGAAAAAACCTGCAGAACATGATAATTCTGATATCTTGGACTATGCATGGATGATATGGAGGGGCTCCAAAATGATTTTAAAATATCTCGTAAACCAAGCAAAATTCAGAATAAAAAAGGGGTCAGAAAAAAGATAGATAATTGATCTTTTTATTCGAGTAGATATCAAAATATACAGTGTGTCCCACTTACCATGCTCACCATGGGTATCTTTTTAACGGTGAGAGATACGGGGTCGGTTAAATGACACCAAATGTGGAGTTTTTCACGGCCAACTATAATGTGAAAAAATATTTTGATAAAATCTATTCGTTTTTGTTTTATACGCAAAAAACAGATTTTGATCATTTTCCTGTCTCCTCCGTAACTTCTTTATTTATGAAAATATTCAAATAGAAATTTCACATTCTCATGGCAGTTTTTCAAAGTGATTTCGAAAAAAATATGAAATTTAGACCAACTCTTCTAGAATTTGAGATATCAGCACCAACTTTTGTTTTTCAAATGTAGGCTACTCCTAGCTCACTATGACTTAGTTACAGATGGCGGACAAGATTTGGTCCGATTCCATTCAAAATTCGTAAGTGGGGGTTTTTGAGGTCAGAGATCATGATTTTTTTGTTAAAATTTATAAATTCAAGATGGCGGCTTTCAAATAATTCTTTGTTTTTGTATAAATGACGATAACTCCGTTGTATCAACACAAAACTATTACTGCGACATATCATCTGTGAGAGAAAAAGAAGTTATTTGTAACTAAGTCATAGTGAGCTATGACCTACATTTGAAAAACTAAAGTTGGTGCTGATATCTCAAATTCTAGAAGAGATGGTATAAATTTCATATTTTTTTCAAAATCACTCTAAAAAACTGCCATGAGAAGTGAAATTCCTATTTGAATATTTTCATAAATAAAGAAGTTACGGAGGAGACATGAAAATGATCAAAATCTGTTTTTTGTATATAAAACAAAAACGAATAGATTTTATCAAAATATGTTTTCACATTATAGTTGGCCGTGACAAACTCCACATTTGGTGTCATTTAACCGACCTCGTATCTCTCACCGTTGAAAAGATACCCATGGTGAGCATGGTAAAGTGGGACACACTGTAGTCAGTGGTGTTCTTGAAAAAAGTTCTATGATTTTTCTCCAATCATAATGCAAAATTTGTATCCCCTGTATATTGATACTCGAATGAGAAGATGATTTGGTATTGTGTTCAAGTTTTAATAAGTTAGACACCAATTTCAAACCTTCTGGAATTATGGAAACCTCAACAGTATGAAACCCCCAAAAGCAAAAACCTCACCTGTATGTCAGGATGATGAGCTAAAGCATACAGGGTGAACGATAAACCAATGGAAGTAGTGTCGTGGCCCTGAAAAATAAAGTGGACTACAGATTTATTATTTCAAACTAAATACCCTCTATTTTATGACTTTTGAAAGGTCCGCGAACTATATGAAAGTGTGAAAAGAAAGTGTCATAGGCCAGAATTTGTTAAACTGATCCATGTATGACAAAAGACTGAGTTATAAAATGAAGTACCTACAAAAAGATCCTTAATATCATATAGAGTGAGCATAAATTCATCCTGATGAAAAGTGTTCTTTTTTCATGAAACAGCCAATATTTCGAATCAGATTGCGATAATTTTCTTGTTATTTATTTTCAATGCTTTCCGAAAAAAACATTTTTATGGAGATGAAAATAATTATATCAATAAGGAACACTTTCTTGTGCAATCAATGAGTATGTCACGACGAGATATTTTGTTTTTTTGTGTCGAAACTATTCATTATTGGTCAAAACGGCTCACAATATATGTCCGTATCATTACTTTTGATTAACTATCTCTAGTGACATTTAATTGAAGCAGATACAGGGTGATCAGAATTCTGATTCTTGAATTACCCTGAATTTGTTCCAATTATAGTAAATCAAAAGTCAAGATAGGGACATATGAAAGCCGTTTAGACCGATTATGGTTTCGACATAAAAAAATCCTCGAAAATTTTCGACTTTGATTCATTGAAATCAGCTCTTCAGGAAGGATCTGAAAATGCAATGAAATTCTATTTGAAATAATAAAGTTGTTGTTACTTTCTAGTAATAACGGCACTACTGCATTGTCGAAAATATTTCAAACAAAGAGAGCGTTATCTGAAATAGGTGTATGCTTGTCGGGACATACCCTGTATAATAGCTTTCAGATTCTGAATACTGGTATCACTTACTCCCAAAATCATGGTATTCACTTCATCCTTTATATTTCTTACAGTAATGCTACTGCCCTGACGAAATAGTTGAAGAAGCATATCCAAAAATGTGAGCTGTGAAGACTCCTCTGTTTGCTGGGCATTTTTGTTAGATTTTTCCTCCATGATGACAGTGAAAAATTCATCATTAATTCTCAGGTTCTCGGTCAAAATTTGATGGTCTTTGGTTAGCTTGAAGATGAAATCGAAACGCTTCAGAGTTCTCATTCTTTTCAACACTATTTTGAAAATGGTCTCGATACTATGCATGTACTGATAGTTGTGATTGTTTTGATAGTTCGATGATAGACCCATAGCCGTTTCTGAAAAAATGTTTGAATATACAGGGTTTCCCAAAAGAACCGGAACGGTCGAATATATCAGCAACGACTTGACATAAAAATATGAAATTTGGTATATGGGGGTTATCAGTAGTGCCGGATCTGAAAATAATATTTGCAACATTGCCAGATTCACAGTTTTTCCTATGGAGCCCTCAACTTCAATTTTTAATGCCTTTTTTTTCTCGGTAGCTATCGACAGTAACAACTCCAATGGGAATAGTGTAATAATAAGTGAATCAAGACATCATCTGAATTCTGAATTGGAGCTTAAAGCTCCAACTCATACTTATCATTTTCCAATAATGAAATGATACAATACAGTTCTTAATATTTACAGAAAAGTCAGAAAACCAATAAGCTGCAGTTAGGCAAGAAAAATCTGGATTATGAATAATACAGCCTAATACTTTTTTTTGGATATGACCATATTATTATGTCTGGTCCGATGGGGATTTTGACTCTGATATAATAGTCCTTTTGTCTCTAGATTTGTGTTCGTACAAATTTTGGTTCCTCACCACAAATAACATCCATGGTATACATTTTCATCATCGGCAACAAGTTAATATGGGAATTATTTGACTCCTCTTTGATTTTTTCAAGGAGTATATCACCCTTTGATTCGAAAGTTGTGATACAGTTCCTGAGGAATGAGATACGTCCAAGACTAGGGTTAATTAATCTCCTGTGGCTTTTCCAACGGTCTCCTGAAAATGTCAGCAAAAATATGTTTGAAAAAAAAATTAAACAGATTTATAAAAACATTGCATGCAATGAGTTATTTTGTTCTCTATTTTTCTGTTATGTAACATTTTTATTGTTTTGTCAGTTTTGTTATTGTTTTTCTTTTTCATATTATTCGTTAATCCTTATATGTCTAAGACTTGTCAAGATCTTCAAAATTTTATGGAGATGAGTAGTACGGTATGATGCTAATTCAAAACAGTACGCTTGTTTTCATTTGAGCTTTCGGAAATACGCATTTCCTTCATTTGCAAACTTCAAATTATAATGATGATATAAAATTATTGATTATACATTGTACGGTATATTAATTGATTTTTAATAGATATTTTTTTATGTGACGGGAAAAAAGTTTGGCATTTCATCTCTGTTGGCAGGTTATAAAATGTCACTTTTCATAAATTACTTTTTTCCCGGATATATATCACATATATATACACTGTTGATGGCTTTTGTTGTGCTATAGTTCAGAAAAATGAGTCAATAATACCGTCTCCGAGAAAGAACTGCAAGTCCTTTTATCTTCCATTCGACTTCGCGGTTACGTATATTACTAAACAACCACTAAATTCGCAATTTTTTGAAATCAAATCACAGAATTAGGCTGACAGAAGTGACATCAGATATTTGATTACTTCGAAAGAATGATAAAGATGCCTACAACGCTGGTGTCCCTACTGTTAAAAACTTAAAATTTCACGTCGATAATATTCAGATTTCAAAATAATGTAATATCTTCTCAATATTGATTCGTCCTTTCTTCTGTCACAGAAAAAAATAGTGTATTATACACGAGAAAAATATTAGATTTTAGCTCACGGTTTTTTGTCTCTCTCCGCTCACAACCTGGAGCTTAAATCTACTACTTTTTTCGCTTGTATAATAAATAACTATCATTTCAAAATCAGATGAATGATAGGGATTTTTTCAATTCCGTGTACACCCTTTTATCTCTGATATATCAGTAACAAAACTAATTATATAGATATTAACGCGTATTTTAATTTTATTTATGTGTACCCACCCATGTTTACACTTTCACTAAAGAAAAGAGGGTGAGGGGAATAAAAAACAGAACGAACCACGAATTTTATAAAAGGTACTGGAAAATAAAGAGTCGTAGATCGGTAACGGATCGTTTGCGGACACATACTTATGGGAAAATAGTCTTATTTTGACCTGTGAAATGAGTCACTGAAATCTTGATACTGAATATAGAAACATCCTGTATAATCTTACCACTTATTGTTAAGAGTCCCTCTCCCAACAGAGGTTTCAAGAAATTGTAGAATCTGGATTTACTCAATGCTTGTTCTGACATTAATAGGCTACGTAAAATTCCAGGATCGGTGACTAGGATTCCAGGTTTCATTGGAGGTAAATGTATACGTATCATTCCCCCATATTTAATAGTTATGTCTTTCAATTTTTCCAGGATAACTACAAAATAAATAAAACCGGGTAAATGCTTTATCCTCGTTTCACTCTTTTGTTGGGACTTGGAGGAAATAGTTATTTGTTTAACTAGGCAGCAAAGTAGTAGATTGATTGCCGAGGCTGAATTCATAGCCGAGCGTAGCGAGGCTAGGAATCCAGCTAAGGCAGTCAATCTACTTTGCTGCCGATGTCAATATATCTATATTTCTTTCCTTCAACCATTTTTTCAAACAAATTGTCACTGAGAAGCTACTGGATTCTTCTTTTAGACCACCTGATAGAAAAATTTGTTAAAGGCAGTGACATTTTGGGGGAAATCATCTGATTTGTCCCACTACAAATATATTGAAATAATACGAATACTTTCATTTTATAGAAACGAGGAGAGAAAATCCCAAAGAATCAAGTAAAATGAATTGATATTCAATTGAAATAGGTACAGGGTGATTCAAAACTAATTGAATATCAATTGATAGTACATAAAAAATTGATATGCGGACATAAAAATCCTTTTGACTAATTATGAATAGTGTCGACACAAGAAATTCTTGAAGTTGAAAAATCTCGATTTTTCACATCCATTATCTTTGTTATCATTCCCGCTAGACCCAAAGTGTAATAGGTCCTCAGTACAAGAAGTCAAAAAAATCACAGGAATGCGTGAGTGCCTTGATTCTTGTGAAATTTTGGGAAATAGACCGTTTTCTAATCACTTAGTTGAATTTTTTCTGGTACACGTGCATCATATATTACGCCTCAAATCGGATTAAAAAATATCGATATTTGATAAAAAATCAACCTTGAACTCAACGAAGCTATCTACTGCTGTTTTTTAACTTCTTTATTGAATATCAATATACTTACATATCTTTGAATACATTTGGATGCCGGAATGATATGGTTTCGTCAGCATCCAATAAATAATTCAGGGGATTACTTCTTTCCTCGAGAAAATCAATTCTTCGATTGAACTTATCAAAACGGTGTTTTGTTTTTTGAGAACCAGAATGAATGTTTCGAGATATGCAATGATGTCCTATTGGAAAACAAAACACCTCACGAAACTCCATGTATAAAGTCGAGAGAGTTACATTTCTATAAATGTATGAGATTTTCTCTCTTCTCTCAACCTGTATTAAAAAAAATATTAGTATTTTTTCAAATTCCTCGCAGTAAGAACAAATCAGATGATTTCCTTATTAGAAACCTCATAGATGAATACAAGGTGACTCCTGAGGAACTATACAAACTCCTCGTATATAGAGGCCCCTGGTCCCTCGGTAAAGCAGTCGGGAGGAATTTCACTAATAGTTCATTTCTACCACTCTCCAAAGTTGACGGCACATTAGCAACAATATTGCAAGAGAAAGCAAACAGCATTTTTGCAGAGATGTTCGCATCAAACTCTACTTCAGAATCTCAAGGAAAAGTGCTGCTAGATAATTCCAAACGTTGAAAGTCAAATGCCCGAAATCGTCTTCCATCAACGCACTATCAGACGCATTTTGCTTAGTCTCAAAACGAAAAATGCTATATTTTATTCCGCTGTTTTAGAGAATATCTCGGAACTCTCTAGGAAATTTTGCTTGCAAAATTCAGATTCAGCACCATCAAAAACATATCGAACCGTAGAGAAACGGACTACTTGAATTTTGTCCACGAGAGGACTTTTTTCTGACTAGGCAACAGCCGGTTAAATGTAACAAATATATTTCTGATTCGAAATCTGTGAATATAGGTGTGCCGCAAGGATCGATTCTTGGTCCAACACTCTTTATTATTTATTTCAATAATAACGATTTGATTGAATCGATGAGACCGAACTCTACTCAAGTAGTAGCTTATGCTGATGATACAAGCTTTCTGTTCATTTCAGACACTGTTTATAATGCCAAAAAAACAGGCCGAACTATAGTTTACATGAATGTTTGCAAGTGAGTTGATGTGAACAAGTTTTGTCTGGATAATGATAAATCGACCTGTGTTATTTTCAAATCTTCTGGTTCAGAATATCCTAACCACATAACTCTTAATAATACAGAAATCACTTGCGCTCTAAATACTAAATTGCTTGGTGTTATTTTAGAAAGTAAACTGGAGTGGTATGAACATGTAGATAGTTTGTGTTCGAAGCTAGCTAAGATATGCTATGCCCTTTTAATTTCATCACAACAATGTAGCAAATAAATAATGGAACAATTGTATTTCGGGTGCTTCCACTCCAATCTGAAATATGGAATCATATATTGGGCAAATTTCGCAGGAGCTCATAGGGCCTTTACCTTACAAAAAAGGGCATTCCGTATCTGAGAGCAAGAGATTCATGCAGGGAATATTTTAAAAACCTGGGTATCTTCAGAATGTTTTCCCTTTATATTTATGAAGTGACCTGTTTTGTATATAATCATGAACGTTATTTTGAGACCAAAAAAGTTGAACATAATTACAATACGAGGAACAAAGATTATCTGTTACCTCCTCAACACTCATCTGCTCGGTATTAAAAGAGATTATACAACACAAGAATCGAAAAATAAATTCCAATTCGATAATAAAATGAAAAAAGTGTTTCTGAAGAAATCTTATTACACCTTGGATGAATTGTTCTGTGATATTCAATCATCGCTAACTGATGAATAATGTTCGAGTAGACGTGTATATACTTTTTATGTTTATGTACCTGTGAAATCTTGTATATCATTATGTTTGTTTCATACCTACGATACTTATTTATGTACTTTAGCCTAATTTTGACGTTTTAAACTGTATGTTTAAATTAAGATGATACGTAAGCTTTAAACACAAAATTACGATGATGCGTTGCAGGATTCTCACCTGTGTAATCTTGGAATAGACCGTAATGTCCAAAAATGAAGTGACATGGTGGTTTCGGTATCCAGCTCAGATGAGTATGACGCCTGTACAGAAAAACAGTTACAGCAGCAATTACGATCAAAACCACCACACTCAAAACATGATCCATAACCATCACCACGTCGCTAGAATATTAGGCTTAGGTGATTCCATTTCTTGCAAGTGGCCTAGCTAATTATACCGATATGATAAAAAATAATTGTTTGGTCGCAATTTATCAGTTGGTATAATTTTTCGCCCAATTAATATTAATAAATTTCAGCGTTATCTGTGGGTTGTCGTAAGCCCATAATAGTAATTCACGTAACACGTATGGAAAATACTATGTTTGTTATTTTAGACGATTAGACTTTCCTTCGATTGGTCCTGGATGTCTGCGAGAACAACAAAACAATCATCATAAGATCGGATAACAGCAGCAGCAGCAGCAGCAGCAGCAGAGCAACAGCTTCGTATGATTTTGAACCCATCAGTACGTTCAAATCAGATGATTTGCCCCAAAATGTCACTGCGTTCAAAGAATGTTCCTATCAGAGATCCTGAAAGAAAAATTCACTAGCTTGTCAGTGACAATTTGTATTGAAAAAGGTTTGGAGAAGAGAAATAAAGGTATATAGAAAAATATCAAATTCCTACACTTATCTCTGGACGTTTCGGGAACGAATCTGGTCCCGTTTTCAACATAAAAAATGGATTTTTTTCTGTGACGGGAAAAAAGTTTGGCATTTCATCTCTGTTGGCAGGTTATAAAAGAATTCGCAATTTTTTAAATCAAATCACAGAATTGAACTGACAGAAGTGACATCAGATATTTGATAATAACTATTTCATATGGCAAATTCGAATTCATCCTGACATTTTTCAGTTCTCAGTGACAATTGGTGACCTTGGCAATCAAATGAGTTACAGGATGTTTTCATTAATTATTCTTGAATTCACCATTTTAATTCTCAGATTTCAGTAGTGAATACCATGTTCTATCTATATCAACTGAACAGGAAGCATTGCTATTGTCTCCGTTCAGAAAAATTCAAGTAGATTCCTTGATTCTTCACTTCTGGTTGTTATCTCCGTTTCCAATGATTTTAATATTATTCCACTCTACCATATGTGGTCTTTCTTCAGTAAGGATATGTTCAGCTAGTTTCGATTTGCCGATGTGTCTTTTCTTAATATTGTAATTATGTTTTTTAGTCCTTACTGAAAGAGGTCTCTTGGTTTCACTTTTGCAAGGAAAAAAGCGGTAAGCGCCCTCTAATGGCCACAGTGAAAAAGTGTGTGTATTCGGGTTTCGCATCCCAAAAAACCCTACACTGTTATTCGTGAAAAAAATTTCTTAAATTTTGAAATATTCGAATTTTATTTTTCAACTTTACCACACTATAACTCGTAAACGGAGCAATTTCGGACTGAGGTAAGTTGCTTGAAATCAGGAATATTTGCTTGGATTCTGTACAGAGACATACCCTATATAACAATTCGATTTTTACAAAATTTCACACAGAAGATTTCTTAGGTGAAAAGCTTGACTTCAATGGACTATACTTTTGACATTTTGTTTCATTTTAGTGCTGCATCCTGATTGGAAGATCAAATTGTCTATACATTATGATGATGTTATTATAATTATTGGTGTTGATACGAAAACCCAATAATTTTTACAAATTTCCATGAGACAAAATCAACGTCCGTAAAGCTGTGATTAAAACGCAATGATAAATCGATTGGAAGCGAAACATAGAGAAGCTATTAATTTGAAACTTATTACCCAAATTACTATTTTAAAAAAGGTGACTCGATATTTTTCTGCGTATAAAAAATCAAGTTGCGAATTCGACGAAATTAGTGTTACTAGAAATTCAGTATCGAACTCTATATCAATATGCAACGGTTAGTTGTGTTTGCTGTTCTAATAGTAGCTGGTCAAAGTGTAAGCATAAAATTTACCTCCTATATTCATATAATGTAAAGGGCGTTTCACAATTTATCCAGCTTTTAAACACATACTTCAAGGTGGCTAACCTCTTTTACTTTTGCCTAACTATTGAATATTTAGTGAAACGAAATTTGGGGGTTGAGAAGTATTGACCAATTATTGAAATTTGTTGATATATCTACTTGCTTTACCGTACTTACGGTCTGACCGGAAATAACCAGAACTTTCAAGTCGCAAATCGGACATCCTGTATTGTATTCCATAATCGGTTTGGGATTATCATGACGTATTCAACAATACCGGGTTTGATAGGGTTATTTCGAACGATTACGAAGATATTTGTGTTCGAAGTTTCCATATGTTCAATGAGTGTGACAGAGAAAGAAGTTTTGATATTGCCAAGTCACACCCATTGAGCATATGGAAATTTCGAATGCAAATATCTTCGTAATCTTTTGAAATAACCATATAGCAATCCCGGTATCGTTGAAACACAAAAAAATTGCACCCTTCATTTTTCTCTGTCACCTGAAAAATAGTTGTTTTTTTTATATCAACTGGTGACCTGCTCTCTTACGCCTCACATATATGGCAGCAATCTATTGAAACATATGGTGAAACCTTAGCCGTGGCACTTGATATCTCCAAGGCATTCGATCGAGTCTGGCACCACGGACTCCTCGCCAAGCTTCCATCTTATGGCTCGCATTCCCAGCTGTGTTCTCTTCTAGCTAGTTTTTTCTCAAACAGGTCTCTCCATGTAGTGGTCGACGGAGTTTCATCTGACTCTCTTATCATAGATGCTGGTGTTCCGCAAGGATCAATTCTAGCACCAACACTATTTCTACTCAATATCAACGATTTGTTGGAAGCAACTTCATGTCCAGTACACAGCTTCGCGGATGATAGTACCCTCCATACCGCCTTCTCTTCCACGACTCCAATACCAGCCAGGCGAATCAGAAACGAACGAGGGAGAAATGTTGACATGAATATGGACTTGGGAACAATTCTAGAATGGGGATCCAATAACTTGGTAGATTTCAATGCAAACAAAACACAAGCATGTCTTTTCTCTAGAAAAGCCGATCTCACTGTGCCCAACATAAGCTTGTCAGGAGTAACCATACCTTTGAAGACATCCATTTCGATGCTTGGTATTACTATCAGCAATAACCTTTCTTGGGAGAATCACGTGAGATCAATTGCTAATAGTGCATCCCAAAAACTGTTTTCTGTTTCGTTTCGGGCCAGGAGCTATTTCACTTCCAGTCAGCTGCCTATGATCTATAAGGCACAGATCCGACCTGTCCTGGAATACTGTTCCTATATTTCGAGTGCAGCACCCAAACATACCTTGGAACTGTTGGATTCTGTTGAAAATGGCAATTCGTCTCGTGGGTGATGCCTCGCTCACAAACTCATTCACTTCTCTGGAACACCGTAGAAAACTTGGCGATCTGGCTCTATTTTATAGATATTTTCATGGACGATGCTCTTCTGAAATATCAACAATTGTTCCTCCCTTGGCAGTCCCCGCGAGATTAACCCGTCGGGTTGAGGCTTCGCACCCCTTCGTGGTCACTTTGGAGACCTGCAGAACATCTCTTTCCAAAGACTCGTTCATCCAACGAGCAGCGAGGCTCTGGAACACATTGCCAAGGAAGGTATTCCCCGAGGCATATAACCTCCAGAAATTCAAGAAGAACACCAATTTCTACCTTATTTTCCTTGGTTCTCACGATGTTCTCTGAATATTACAGATTATCCCTTTTCGTGGGAACCAGAACATAAAAAAAATCCACAAAAAAGTTGTTTTTTCACTGATGAAGGCAGGCCTTAGAGTGCCTTGGACAGGGCGGAATGGGGTGCTATAACATCCCCTTGCCTCAAAGCTCAGTATGATACTGTAAACATATGAATGCAAATTCAATAATACAAAAGTATATCTTTCTTTTGAATGATGAGAATTTTTACATTTTCAATCAAAGAAGACTCTGATGTACCCAGCTAGTTGTGGCCAATATTTTCACCTAAGTAGGTAATCTGCAGTTTCGCTATGTACCTTTGAGGATAGGAGCAGTGAAAATTTTGTAAAGTGAAAATTAGAAGATATTTTCCTTTTTTTTGTAATTATTTTTCTTCAGTACCCGATACTTCTACATATTTTGGTTAGGACAACCCACTGAAATATATTTGGCAGCCACAAGTAAATTATTTACCCTGTATAAAAACACTTCTAGAGAAACCCAGATATTTTAGTTTAGAGTATAGACCATTATCATATTTTTTGTTTACCGTATAATCAATTTAAGCGTTTTATTATTACACTGAGAAAAATGGGTCAAATGATTATTTCATTCAGAAATTTGTATTGATCACTAGCGAAACTATTACTGCCTGTGAAAAATAAAATAACTGGACCAAAATTATTGATTCATTTGGTATCGCTCACCTACCATAAGTAAAAGTTTCTAAATTTGAAACAAGCGTCTACTGATTTGCGGTAAAACAATTGAAATAATCATTTTCATCATTTGTAGTGAATTCTCAACGATTTTGTCTCAAATCATGTTATTGATGGAGTGAATAGTAATATCATTTGTTCTGAATGAAAATGATTGTTCGTCAGAATAGAAACTGTTTGCAGCCAATCAGATGCTTTTCAAGTAACAAAACTACACCAGTTTGAGATTAACGATTTTTCATTGTGCAGAAATGAAAATTAATTGTCCACAACAAAACTACAATAGGTTGGTCAATAACAGTTGATTTGAGAAAAATGCTTTCCTATTCGCCATTAAATTGCGGTCCTTTCGATTCCGCAAAATATATCTCTAATTGATAACCAGTTCATTCTCATTTCCAACAAATCAAAAACCACTTGGCCTTCATGAGCCGAAATCCATTGAGCCTACATCGTTGCCGATTGCTAGATATAACTCCCCAAATTAGGTACGCAAGTTTGAGATGTATTGGATCATTTTCTAACCTTATCAGTAGAATATCTAATTCAGATAGGTACATACCAGACAAACAACATCAGATAATAGGTATATATAATTCAACATAAAAATAATAGAAATGAATAAACAATCCAAGATATTAGGTAGGTATACAATAATATATATATTAATAATCTCTTATAGGTCATGCTTTTCGCACTGATACCGTATTGTTTTGTTTTGAACGAAGTCCATGTGGAATAAAAAGTTTCAGTCTCAACGTTTACTGATAGATGGCGATATATTATGAGGAAATGAACACTAATAACGCCAAGATCAAAGATTACCATTGATTCTCCTACAGACTCGTAGGCTTCTGTTGAAAAACAAAAAATGATTATATTCTTACAAGAGCTCATATTGATTTTTGATACTACCTACAGTACCTACCTAGTTAATTATAAGTTATCAGAAATATCCTGATGTAAGGGTTCTTATATTTTCACCTAGTCGCCATTTTGTGTTTCTTCTTACCAAGAACTCGTCATGAATATCACGATGACATTCAATAATTATTTCTCTCATTCTCTTTTTTAATTAAAAAAGTCCAGAATTATTGGCAACATCGCAATAATGTTCACTGATGGGCGGTGTGGTGGGGTCGATGTCGGCTCGGAGATGAGATTTGTTTTTAGTTACTGTGACCGGCTTTCATTCTGACCAAAAAATATAGGAGATCAGGATAATTCTTATAAATACTATACGAATTTTTGCTTGAATGGGGACTTGAGAGTTTCTACGAGGACTTTTAAGGTAAGTGTGAATATAATAATGATAACATGTGAATTAAATATAGGGTTTAGGTGAGGTAAAGGTACGGATGTACATCCTAGGTAAATAATTTATAGGATAGTTATTATAGTTGATGTTCGTATGTTCTTTGTCTTAGAAGTCAAATGAAATTTCAAGCTATTGTGTTTGTGAATTCAGATCATACAATCAATAAAACAATTTAAGTCTTATAATTTTTTTATGTTGCAGCTATGCCATGGATAAAAGTGGAATTTGTGAAGACAGGCGAAGTGATGGAGGCTATACCTTTCAAATGGAATGATGACAACGATCAGATGGTTGTCTACCCTTCATTCAAGAAATCGCAGATGGAAAAGGCAATCAAAACAGAAATGGAACCAGAGCCATACTAGAAAAATTACAAAGTTGTTTTGATGAGGCCACAACCGATGGAATATTTAGAATGGAAAGCAATGGGAACAAATCGAAAAATATATGTGGCAAATAAATGATGATTTGAAAGATGTAGACAATGTTCTTTGCAGTAATACAAACACCCAGTAGTAACAAAATTGAAACGATTTGCTTCCAACAGAAAACTGATTTGTCTCAAATAATGTGCTAATACATCATGAATGAAACATACATTAATGGGCAATGAAGGTGATGCTGAGAGCTAATTGAGTGATGATTTGAGATTATACATTATGGTCACTTGAAGCAAATGCCAATCACTAGATATAAAAACGCGACCATTAGTGTTCATCATATATGTTATGAGTTATAAATATAAGTAAACATTTCGTCTTAGTTGAACAGAGTTATTGCTATAAAATAATCTCAAATCATTGGTAATTTACATTGAATATTTGAACAATTGGTTGTAAGTATCAAAGTTATTACCTCGGCAAAAGTTTCGAGTCATTTGCTTCAAATGCATAGTTCACTCGTCCCCTATTTTGTTGAGGTTTTCGCTTGGTAGAAGTGGTTTTTGATTTGTGATCAATGAAATTTTTTCTCCGTGTACTTTTCAGCTGGATTCTAAGCTTGTAGCTGAATTCGTTGAAAAAGCTACGGAAATTGGTACAGAGTGTGCTAAGGAAACGAAAGCTAGTAGTGGTATGTAAATCTTGGAATTAAAAGCATATCAATCTCAACATCATAAAAATTTCTTTCCTCAATTAATTTTTTTTTGTTTCTGGATGTATGATAAATTGATATTCATTATACAGGACGTGGAAAGAAATTCTGAATTGAATAATTACGAATATACGAGGTCTATAAAAATAACAAGTTTTCCTCGTTCAAGTTTGAACCCCTTGATTATAGGTGGAAGTATTGAAGAGGAATATTTTCAGATAATTTATGAACATGGAAAAATACATTGAGAAGTCGCATTCTCTATGTAATGAAAATATCAATTCTTTCTCGATTCAGTCAACAGAAAACAAAATTTCCTGGCTATATGCCACGACGAACATTGAATTATATCTATTGAACAAACACGATAAGAATTTGAAAACAAAATCGTCTGAAGTTGAGAATTTGCGTGCACAGTATATCATCCTGAATATTCAACAAAAAATAACTACTTTCCTGACTATTTGCAAATAGCCAGGAAAGTAGTTGTTTTCTGTTGAATAAACCGAGAAAGAATTGATATTTTCAAGTCCTTCCATTTCCGTTTCCGAGATTAACCTATGCAACCTTATCTTGGTCACACTGTATAGTGTTCACACAAACTTGAATTCGTCAAGGATATTTACAGTTTTCTGAATTCAGAGGTATCGTTAAAATTAACTTTCAAGTCTTATCACCTGCCGGGTATTCTTGTCGTAAATTACCTTTAGCTCTTCTGAATATTCTTCGTCGATCTAACACTCATTTCATTTGTCTGAAAAAACTGACTCACCCTGTATTGCGACGTTAAAAGCCTATATTATATATCATCATTAATACGGACATTTTCTAGTTTCGAGACATTGGTAATATCATAGATTAAATATCAGAACGTATCATTAGACGTACATGTAAATGTCAAAAAACTGCAAACATACATTTCTAATTTGTCGAAAATGGTGGAAAAGAAAGCAGATTTGGAAAACTATTTCTCCACACTGAAAACATAGAATTGTGTATTTCACAATTGAAAAAAAATGGGTTTCTTTTGCGTATAGAAATTATGAATATTATGACCTTCTATATCGTTGGCAGAAGTTTATCAGCATATTATGTGTTTGTGTTATAAAGGTCACTGCTAATTTGAGATTTTTTCTCAGAATTTTAAGATTCACCAGAAACGTGTGAATAACAGTTTTCATGAAGTATAAGACTATTTCCGTTTTGAAGAAAATCATGTTGTAAATACACTACATTTACATAACAGAAAGAAAGCAGCCAACTGTGTATTGTTTACGAAATACCAAGAACATATTCAATTATTTAAACAGTTTTCCTCTAGTAACATACATCTACTAACCCGAATACTTTTGGCCATATCAAAAGTAGTAGGTAAATCATCCGAAAATAAATCTTCATCTTCATCTTAGGATATGAGATGGAAAATTTGTCAAACGATTTTATTGGCCAAAAATCAGATAAATCGAAGAAGCTGTTGGAGAGTTATTAGCAACAAATGTTTTTGCGAAATTTCATAATTCACCCTATATATTAGTTTCTTCTTTCAATGTATTCTTGAATCCTTCTATGATTTTGGGGAGGGACAATTCTTGGGTTTTGGATTCAGTAAATAAATATGAGTTTTGCGATTTACTCAACCTATACCGGGTGGCGATTTTACTAAATATAAACTATTGCAGCACAAGACACGCCCACCATAATACGTCATATCTCATACTGTGCTCCAACGCAAGAACTGAAGCTTTCTCGTTGTCAATCTCTTGCACGCAGTAAATTCATACACCCAAATGGTCTACTGGTTAGCGCTGTCGACTCTCAGTCTGAAGGTTCATGGTTCGAATCGCTGTGAACTCGATCTTTTTTTTGCAACTTTTTTTTTTCACCAATGTTTTTTTACTTCATTCTGGTTTTCCTTTTTCATAAAATATTTGAAGTCAAATAGGTTAGTGCGTTTAGAATAAACAGTCTCATTTTATTCAATTTTGTTGAAGAACTCAACTTTTGAAATATATTATTAATCAATGTGTTTCTACACTCCATTCGGTTTTCCTTCCTCAAAAATATTGCAATCAGGGATAGGTTAGTTCGTTGAGGATAAATAGTCTCTGAGTTTTGCCTAACTAAAGTACTTTGAAGATGAGATATAACGTGGTATGTGCTACTTTTTCAATCGATTTATTTATATGAATCAGCTACGTTGTGCTGTCAAAGATTAGATTTTGCAGGATTGTGCTGGGCTCGATTATATTTTGCAATGCCGTAGTAGGGGGCGTGTCTTGTGCTGCAATAGTTTATATTTAGTAAAATCGCTACCGGGTGACCCGGGACCAATTTACACCCCTGTATCTTCGTTGTTATTTTGTATGGATGTTTCAAATTCGGTACTTCGATTTGATGTTATGAATGTACAATTTAGCAAGTATCAATCTGAATATGTCACTTCCGGTTTGACCAGAAGCGCATCCAATTTTTAAATTTCGAATATGAAGTATTATTTTTTTTTGAAAATAACAATTCGGTATAGAATTACCTTTACAATGACATATATCACAATCATACTTTCAATTCACAATCTGCTGGTATAATTGACATTTTATAAAAAAAATACTTTTTGTGTTCCCCTCGTAACGGAACATTTTCATGAAAGTATGCTGTGGAAGATTGAACAATATCATGTAAGCAACAATAATTCAATCTTCCACAGCATACTTTCATGAAAATGTTCCGTTACGAGGGGAACACAAAAAGTATTTTTTTTATAAAATGTCAATTATACCAGCAGATTGTGAATTGAAAGTATAATTGTGATATGTCATTGTGAAGGTAATTCTATACCGAATTGTAATTTTCAAAAAAAAATAATACTTACTATTCGAAATATAAAAATTGGATGCGCTTCCGGTCAAACCGGAAGTGACATATTTGAATTGATACTTGCTAAATTGTACATTCATAACATCAAATCGAAGTACCGAATTTGAAACATCCATACAAAATAACAACGAAGATACAGGGGGGTAAATTGGTTCCGGGTCATCCGGTATATTTGGGTAGTCTCAAACTTGTTTTGGCCCTGGTATCATGGTAGTGTATGTCCTCCTGCCTGGTAACTTCATTTTCACCTTTTAATTTTTTGACATAACACAAACATTCATACATGGAGCAAGATCGCAGAGTTGAAATATAAAGATATTCGAACAAAGGTCGTCATATTTAGCCTGTTTCATATTTTTTTTGTAGTTTCAATATTATATCTGAATGACATGATGAGCCCCATAGTATCAGACCATATGTCTGCTGTGAAAAATACCAAAATAAGCTACTATTAAACAGTCTGCTGTTATTATTTTGCTGAGTTGTCTAATTATATAGTACAGTATGATGCAAATGTATGGAATGGATTCATTTCAAAACAAGACGACTTTCGAAAAAAAAAAAAAAACTAGAGTTTAGAACTTTTTTTTCGACGTATTTTTTTAACTAGACGACCCTTCGATGTTCAATTCTCTGTAGCAGACCTCTGCAAGATTCAATTAATCACATGATAATCCATTTCAATTTCAATCTTCTCATGCAACATTTCGACTGTTGAATAGACGATCGGTAGACCTTTCAATCAAGGTGTCACAATGACATGACCCCTATTTGTATTTGAAAAAATCGTCCATTACGTCTTTACTCCAACACCGGTGACGTAACATCTCTCATATTAATATCATGAGATGAGGCTTCAGAAATAAAAACACATGTTTTTGGAATTTTTTCAAATGTCGCCCATTTCTGAAATAATGAATTCATTCCATACATTTGCATCATACGTATATACACGTTCATAGGCGCTTCGATAATTTTTGAATATGAGATAAGAAATTCAAATACATACTTAGTTATCACATGTTATCATTATTATGACATGTTCCACACCTTTGAAGGTTTTTCTTTTTGAAAAAGAACATATAAAGATTTCTATCTATTAGGTATTCCCTCAAGGTAGGAGTATGTACAGTTCCTCATGACTCACCGTGTATATGTACAAAATGTTTTCATTTATCATATTCCCCACTCACCCATTCGTAGGTACCTTAATTGTAATGTCGTATGGTAGAATGGTTTGATGCTGAATATTATAATCTGTGAAGAAATATTTTTCTTTCTTGGAAGATGTTGAAAAAACTTACGAGGATGTGATGAGATTGATAGATTTTATGCTGGATACTTATACACGTACAAAGTAAAGTTTTGTATGTATATGAAGTTTAATAATATCATTACATTTTTTGATATTGCTGGGGATGTATATCAAATTTCGAAACTACTGACTATAATATTTCAATTGACATTTTGAGTTTTCTTGTTTCAGATGATATTGCCAGAATTATCAATCACCAAATGCCAGAAACAAAAGAAGGAAAATGTATGATCTCTTGTTTCTATAAAACTTTCAAAATGGTGAGTATATTGTAGGAGAATAGATAATACATGAATAGTTCAATTCCTAACTCTCTATATAGTTGCTGCGGTGATCTTTCAATTTCAGATTATCATAATAATTATCTCTAAACATCTCTCAAATTTGCTTGTTCCCAATACCCAAAACTTCTTAGATCTCGCTTCAGAGAATCAGCGATCTTACCTTCCTTCGAATCATTTCATGATGAGATTATATCTTTTACGGAGAGACGAAATGCACATTTTGGATAGTTCGATTCAGTTATTCACAAGCCCACACGGTTCAGTTCTTCAAAGGTCTAATGGTTTTGTTCAACCATCTCGGTTTCACAATTCCCAACAGATCAGTCTTGGTTATCAACAAGTTGACTTGTTCCTCTAACATTCCAAGAACTCGCGTTCGCGACACATGCATTCATATTCACCTCTATGTATATCGCAATCACTTAGTTTTCATGATGACCATTCTCATTTTTTATTTCCGGTTCAATTTCAGCAAAATGAAGATGGTTCCTTCAATCCGAATGGAGGATCAGAATGGATGGAAAGAATCAAAAAAAGCGATGAAGTTGAACATGGAAAGATCCAACAAATTTTCAACGAATGCATGAAGCCAGGTAACATGATATCTTTTGAACAATCAATATATTTCATTACGAAAGCAGGAATCTGTTTCACTCTTTTGATATAAAAAAAACAAATTGAAAAGCAATTGCTTTTGTTTTATGTTTTCAGATAACTACGACTCATCCGATCATTGTCAAACTGCAGCAAATGTGGCAACATGTGTATTTGAAACAGCGAAAAAGGTAAGAAAAACAATGATATAGATCAACGAGCGCATAATCATGGCTATCATTCACACGAATAAAAATTGCAGTACAAGATGAAGTCGACTGCTGTAGTGTCTAATTTGTCTAATTTGAGATCAGTGTATCGTCAAATTCTTAATAACTTATATTGATAATTTCTATCGTGAAAATGAATCAATGTTGATGAACTATTTTTAATCAACAGGAAAAAATGTCGTGTATCACTTAACCATAGAAGGTTCATTCCATTTCAGTTTGTGGAATGGATCATGGTCTATAATTAATTCGAATCGCCCATACTTATGTCGATATGTGAGGGCGAAATGAATTCTTATACATTCTACAAACCCCTAATGATTTATCTACTATCACGCACGTTTGATAATGGAATAAAATATTGTACTGTCTTTATTAGTTTTATAATTGATCACAACAGCTGTCATTAATTGTTGAAACTCTATAAAGCAATAGATGATTTATTCGATAATGATATTTTTGTCAATATTTTAAACATCTCTGAATTCCTTCTTGGGTCATACTGATTTCGTTTTTTTTTTGTTCAGGTTGGACTGTCATCTGAAATCATGAACTTCTGAAGCCGAGTTCTGAAATATTTGAATATATGTATAATAGACCTGTCCTATCATGTGACTTGATATCCGATAATACTTGTATTGTAGTGTCCATTGAATAAATTCTTGAAATTTGATAAGAGTGTGTTACTTCAAGAATTGTGAAAATTTTAAACTGATGTGAATGCCGAAATTCATCAGAATACAATACATAAGTAATTCCATGCTCTGAGAAGATTATCGGTATTCCCTTAACCTTCATTATCAAATTTTTTTATTAATGAATATAATTGATTATATTCAGCCGTAAACAAGTTTTGCTCAAGTATAATTATCAATCACCTAAATATAATTGTTACAAAATCAACATTTCTCGCATCCATGAATGTTTTTTTTTGCAATTTTGCACTCTACACTACAATTACGACACGTGCTCTTACTCACCAACAAACTCATCATTCAGCAAGAAAAATAGAGTCATCTCCACAAGTATCAATATAAATTATTGAGAAACTAGTTTCGGGTATTTATATACCCATCTTCAGTCCAATTGAACAAGATATACCTACAAAAATGCGATTTAAAGTAATACTATACTTATTAATATGAATAAAAGGCAATGAAACATTGAGGTTTGGTAATGAAATTAAACGTATATACAGTATGATGCAAATGTATGGAATAAATTCATTATTTCAGACATGGGCGACATTTTAAAAAATTCCAAAAACACGTGAGTTTTAATTTCTGAAGCCTCATCTCATGATATTCATATGAGAGATGTTACGTCACCGGTGTTGAAGTAAAGACGTAATGGACGATTTTTTCAAATACAAATAGGGGTCATGTGACACCTTGATTGAAAGGTCTACCGATCGTCTATTCAACAGTCAAAATGTTGCATAAGAAGATTGAAATTAAAATGGATTATCATGTCATTAATTGAATCTTGCAGAGGTCTGCTACTCTGCTACTGAGAATTGATCATCGAAGGGTCATCTAGTTAAAAAAATACGTCGAAAAAAAAGTTCTGAACTCTAGTTTTTGGTATTTTTTCGAAAGTCGTCTTGGTTTGAAATGAATTTATTCCATACATTTGCATCATACTGTATATACACGCTCAACAAGAGCGTAGATGCGTAGATACATTTAATTTTACTACCATTTGGTATGTTGCTGCTTATTATCATTGAATATGTTTGACCATGCTCGCCTTTTATTCATTTTACTAAGTGAAGTATTACTTTCGATTTTATTTTTGTAGGTTTCTTGTCCAATGACACTGAAGATGAGTATATACAGGGTGTCTGTAAAAGGTTGGGACATGGCTCGGCTGTGGACTCCTGGGATAAGATAAGAACAAGTTGATTCAGGCCAACTTACCTATATCCAAAATCGTCTCGTTGAGTTGGTACTTGGCTTTGAAGTTTTTTTGGAGTGAAATAATTCTGCTCATAAATAAAGTAGAGTGAAATCGAGTTTCATAATTTTTGGCATGACATGTTCTGTCACTGTGAGTCACGTTTTGAGATGTTTTTGATCATCATCAGTGACCTGCAAGTGTTTCAAACAATCATGTTGCCGTATAAATTTGGTGATAACTTTTCAGAGGTCGGACTGGAAACTTCCATTTATTTCCAGAAAGATATTCCCTTCAGAAATATTTTTTGTATCGTGTTAATATTTGATAAGTCTCGAGTTTCATTTGCAAATAAATAATTTCTGATCTGAGGCATCTTATGGATTTTTTAGAAAAATAATCTGGTTGGGACATGGCTTGACTGAAGACTCCTGGGATAAAAATAAGTTGATTTTGGCCAACTTACCTATATCCAAAATCGTTTCATTGAGTTGGTACAAGGCGTTAAAGTGCCCACCTTAGGTCCTGAATAGTTATCGCTGAATTTGTAACACGAGAGTTCATGTAAAGCCCGCGAGGACCAGCAACATATCAGTTTGTTTACAATAAGAATACATTGTAGCCATGATCAACAAACAGTCCGACTGATTAGATTAATTTTCAAAAATGCGCAGGATGCATCATATCAGAAATTATTTATTTGCAAATGATTGTCGAGACTTCAAAAATTAACACGATACAAAAATATTTCTGAAGGGAATATCTTCCTGGAAAAAAAACTGAAAGTTTCCAGTCTGAACTCTGAAAAGTTATCACCAAATTTGTAGGGCAACATGGTTATATGAAACACTTGCAAGTCACTGATGATGATCAAAAACATCTCAAAACGTGACTCACAGTCGCAGAACATGCCATGCCAAAAATTATGAAAATCGATCTCACCCTACTCTTTTTATGAGCAAAATTATTTTTCTCCGAAAAAACTTCAACGCCTTGTACCAACTCAACGAGGCGATTTTGGATATAGGTAATTTGGCCTGAATCAACTTGTTTTTATCCCAGAAGTCCACAGCCGAGCTATGACCCAACCTTTTACAGACACTCTGTATATACCCGAAAATAGTTTCTCAATAATTTGAATTAAAACCGGTTGATATGACTCAAGAGTTTTTCTTCCTGCTGAACAATTCTACTCTAGTTCGAGCATGGAGTATTTCCGTAATTTTTTAAACTCATCATTTACATTTGCCTGAATTGGTCTGCAGTTTCGGTTTATTTTTGAAAAAATCTAGAAGAATGATGATCTAGAAATGATCATTCTTGCTCAAGAAATACCGGGTTTGAGGAATAGTTCAAAACTCATCGACATGAAAAATCGAAGTTTCAGAACCCATCTTGCAATCATGGCATGAGGTGATGTGATGAGTTTTCGAGATATACCTCAACATTCAATCCATTTGATGTGCTCATTTCTCATGAATAGATTTTCGTCAAACTTTTCTGGTATTCTTAAATTTCTGAAGGTTATATGCCTCGGGGAACACCTCCCTTGGCAATGTGTTCCAGAGCCTCGCTATTTGTTGGATGAACGAGTCTTTGGAAAGAGATGTTCTGCAGGTCTCCAAAGTGACCACGAAGGGGTGCGAAGTCTCAACTCGACGGGTTGATCTCGCGGGGACTGCCAAGGGAGGAACAATTGTTGATATTCCAGAAGAGGATCGTCCATGAAAATATCTATAAAATAGAGCCAGATCGACAACTTTTCTACGGTTTTCCAGAGAAATGTGTGAGTTTGTGAGCGAGGCGTCAACCACGAGACGAATTTCCCTTTTTTGACAGAATCCAACAGTTTCAGGGTATGTTTGGGCTGCACTCCAAATATGGGAACAGTATTCCAGGACAGGTCGGATCTGTGCCTTATAGATCATGAGCAGCTGACTGGAAGTGAAATAGCTCCTGGCCCGAAACAGAAAACCAAGTTTTTGGGATGCACTTCTAGCAATTGATTTCACGTGATTTTCCCAAGAAAGGTTATTGCTGATAGTGATACATGGTAATACCAAGCATCGAAATGGATGTCTTCAAAGTTATGGTTACTCCTGACAAGCTTATGTTGGGCACAGTGAGATCGGCTTTCCTAGAGAAAAGGCATGCTTGTGTTTTGTTTGCATAGAGATCTATCAACATTTCTCCCTCGTTCGTTTCTGATTTGCTTGGCTGGTATGGAACTGTATTGAATCCCTAGAAAGCCTGGGTGCTAACAACAGAGTTACTTTCCTGTAGGTGCCTGGACATCAGAGGATGAAGGGCATCAAGAATACCGGCATCCTCGCCAAACAGGGAACTGAATCTTTGTTCATAGGACCAGAACCATACTTTGGAGTCTCCGCAAATGCGGCCAAAATAACTATCTCCGACTGGGCGGAGGGGAAAAGACTCATTACTGGTTTGAATTAACAGGATTAACCCATTCGAAGGCGTTCCTGTCTAATCAACGTTCAGATCCTAGGATAGAGCAGGAGTTACCTGCGAATTCTGAACACATACGAGATTGAGGTTCGACATATTTGGCCTTACCAATTTGGAACCTACCGATTTTGGACCTCTCACCTCATCCAACCATGGACTTTGTGGAAAAAAGTGAATTGTACAGTGAACTGTATCCTCTGTATCTGCGGTCGTATTGGAGGGATGGTATTTGGTCCACTCACAAACCTGATCTAACCTATTAGATATCAAAATATCAAGTCTTCTTTGGCCTTATCTTCTGACGAAGCTCCAATCATCATTTGAACTTCGTAATATCATCTCGGTAGTCTGGGATGTCCAAGAGACAAATTATTGACCGTCTGCTTCATTCCTCAATGTCATTCCACAATCTTTATCGATGAGGAAATCGGTCAGAAGAATTACCAGGAATATTGTTTCCACAAGAACCCATATTATTTAAGAGAACGTCAGAGAATTTATCCATAAAAAAGGTCACACCGATTATAATGTCCATTACAACTGTTGAACATCTTCGTTGATAAGGTTGTTATTAATTAGGAGATGTATACAACATCATCGTAGTTAGCACTCTCCGTGTGTATGTGTGTGTCTAGTGCAGTCGAGTTTGCTCCATCTGTGAAGATGTTAGCTTTAGCGCTGTCGTTCTTATCGGTGCTTCTGTTGGTGCTTCTTTGTTTCGCTGTAGCTATCGTGAGGAACCACAATTACCTGAAGGCAGTACCCAAACCGCCTGGACACTGGATTCTGGGTCATCTTCTGGAATTCGGAGACCCCACAGGTGAGTAAACTATCATGCGAAAGCTGTGTGTATACACAAGACAGCACAAGACATCACAAGGTGATTCTATAAATTAATGTTCTCAGAATATTCTGAAACTATGAATATTAGACGGAAACTTTCTTTGCATATTCTATATTTTTCAGAATATTTTGGAATGAGTTTCAAGAAAATCTCCACCCAGACTCAACCTTATGATTTTATCAGCTCATTAAATTCCTTATTTTTTTCCCTTCAAAATGATATATGATGTATAGATATAATAGTTTCAAAAATGCACCAAAAATCACTAAAATATTTAGTTTTAATAGTCGGCTATAGATTTATCATGTAAAAAAGTTTCGATCAAAGGAATATTCCTTTTGATTTTTTCAAGAAGTGGACAAAAACGATACCATCACTAATTAACTCTAACAAAACACAAAACTAAGGTACCTGATAGCAACAAATAAATAGCAATAAAAAGTTACTAAGGTAGAATAAGCACGTGAATATTTACAAAACAATTGGATTTCGAAATTATTCAGTAACTTATTCTATGAATTGTTCAAATCAATGTCCATTTTCCCTGGAACCATGACGCGGAGGTCTGACGAGTAATCTTAGTCGACAAGGACAAAGGACAAAGGAATAAACATTTGAACCTGTGCCCGGCAGCCTTCATAATCAATCAGATGACAGCAACTACTGAAGAGGCCAGCAAGTATGAAGAACTCGTCTCTGCTGCAAGCGACTCACTCAACAACTGACAGAAGGAGAAGTTGACCAAGTTACTGCAAAGGTATAGAACCAATTTCATACCAACCAATGGAAAAACAGGTATATAACTAGCATCGTCAGTCGGAAAATCGTTACAGAGGTGATACAAGACCGTTTCGTCAACCAGCCAGGAGGTTGCCACATGCAAAGAGAGAAAATGATCCAGAACATGGAAGACGACGGGGTAATCGAGACATCCAATAGTCCTTGGGCTTCACCAGTGGTCCTAGTTCAGAAGAAAGATGGAAACACCTGTTTCTACGGGGACTATCGTCGATTGAACAACGTGACGAAGAAATACAGCTATCCATTACCTCGTGTTATCGACACACTCGACACTTTGGCAGAATCAAATCTTTTCTCCACGTTGAATCTTTAAAGTGGATATTAGCAGGTGGAAATGAACCCGGAAGACAAAGAGAAGACAGCATTCACCATCGGCACTGGGTTATATCAATTCAAGGTTATGCCTTTTGGACTCTGCAATTCTCCGGCCACTTTTGAACGAATCATGGGGAATGTATTGAGAGGACTCCCCTGGTTTATGTGGATGACACAATCGTGGACGGTGAAAACTTTTGAAGAACGTCCGGTTAACCTATAGGAAGTTTTCAAGAGCCTACATGCTGCAAAGCTCACGCTCAGTCTGAAGAAATGTCATCCGCTGCAGAAACGGTTTAACTACTTGGGAAACGTCGTAGGAAGCCAGGGTGAAGAGGTCGATCCTGAGAAGGTACGAGCAGTCAAGAAATGGCCAGTACCAGAAGATAAGCACCAACTCAGGATCTTCCTCGGACTCTGCACTTATTATCGACGTTATGTTCGGATGTTTTCGGATATCGCAGAGCTTCGAACTCGTCTCACCGCGGAACACGCCCCTTCCATTGGAACCTGGAATGCCAGGCCACCTTCGATGCTCTGAAAGAACGCTTGAGGACGACACCGATTCTTGGATATCTGCTTCCACAAGGACAATTCAGAATATCGGCATTGAAGGAGTTCTTCTGCAGTATCAAGATGGGCAAGAGCGAGTCGTCGGTTACTTCAGCAAGGTGCCATCGAAGGCAAAACGAAACTACTGCGTTACCAGGAGGGAGTTTTTGGCTATGGTCAAATTGGTGTAGCACTTTTCGAAGGCATACTGCAGTCAATGGCACTTCTTGATATCAAAAGACGACCTGCTGAAGTGAAATCTCGACAGCAATGGCGGAGCGAATAACGGGATGCTATTAGTAACTCCTAGGAACCGAGTTTCAGAGGTACTCGGATATGTACATGATCGATTTCAGGGGGCATCAAGTAGAGGAGAAGACACTGCAGCGGGTACGTAAGCGGTTCTACTGGGTGAACTTCAGTGACGGAGTGGTGCCGTACGTTTCGCCAGCAATGAGCCTCATCGTAAACCAAGGACCCTCATGAAACAGTACATTGTTGAAAGCCTTTTCGAGGAGATTGCCATGGATATTGTTGGGCCATGTCCAGTAGGGGGAAGCCTGACCTGTCTGAGTTGACAATTTGTATGCTCGTGTTTATCATCGAATGGTTGAATAAGATATGGATCTTTCAGCAACCGACTCCCTATTGCTTTGGTGCAGGATGGTAGATCACAATATCATGTAGCCAGAGCTTTGGGAGTTTCAAGGTCTAGAGTGCAGAGAGCTGTAAAACGGTTCCGTGAATTTGGTGTATTCACGAGAAGAGATAGTTGTGGTCGAAAAAAATCTGCGAAGGATCGATATAATCATTTCATAACGCTCAAAGTTCTTAGGGACAGGAGACTCACTTCTGTCCAAGTGAAAAACGAATTAAAGGAGGTAAGGCATGTTTAGGTCAGTGATAGAATAATAAAAAGGAGGCTTTTCGATATTGGTTCCGAACAAGAAGACCTGCGAGTAGTCTAGAGTTATTGAGGAATCATCGAGTTAAACGCCTCAGATATGCCAGGGAACAGGAATATTTGGGTAATGAATAATGGAGCAATATCCTATTCACCAACGAGTCAAGGTTTTGTCTCACATCACCAGAAGGACGTGAAAGAATTGACTTAAGAACTAGAGAACGTTTTTTCGAAAACCATTTTCAGCCCAGAGTGAGTTACAGAGGCGGTTCGATAATGGTGTGGGATGGCGTGAGTTTTGAAGCTCAGACGAACTTAGTCATAGTGGAAAGGGGATCCATGACAGCCGATAGGTATATGAGAGACGTTTTAGAACCACATGTTGTCCATTGGCGCCGTTCATCGGAGACGATTTCATGCTGATGGATGACAATGCACTCCCGTGTTGCAATAGCCGATGTTGAAATCCTAGTAATGAAATTGGCTTCCTCGTAGCCCAGACTTGAACCCACTTGAACATGTTGGGGATGCTCTTGGGAGAAAAGTACGATCCCGTTTTCTAGCTCTTGCAAATTCACAGAAATAATGTAGAAATGTCAAGTTTTTCTAAAAACCTTGTAACTTTCACAAAAGAACAGTTATCGGTACAAATAAGAAAAGAAGTAATGAACGTAGGTAGATGATCAAATATGAAATTACTCGATTTACCAGCTCAGCCACTCCACAGATTGTTTTAAAATTGGATTAAAAATGCACTTTTTGTGTCACTCTGTATAATTTGGAGATATGCCTCATTTCTTGAAATCTCAACCTTGTGTGAGATTCTTTATGAATTTACCTACGAAATAAAAGAAAAATCAAACAAATCAGATTTGAATTGCCAAAGTTATTGTTGATAAAATTTTATCAATATTTTGTGTGGATCGATTATTTTGCCGGTGACTGGATAATTTTAGCGTAGGTACCCGAAAAAAACTACTCCACTACTTTTATACTGTGAATGGCTCAACCTGTTGAATAATTGAATGAACAAAAAAATTGATTAAATAAATAGATAAATATATGTATAATCAATGTAATTAATTTTTTATCCTAATCATTGACCTTTCTTCATCCGAAACGGCTGATAGGAAATCGTTGACTCGAACGATTTTTTGCAAAGACTATCACTTAATTCAACAATTTTAGGGTCATGACATCTGAAAAAGTGATGAAATTTCTCAAGTGATCAATATACTAGTTGTATTAAAAATTCACTCGTTCAAGTCAAATAAGTCAAACCAATGACTTACCCCCTTTGATAATATCGTTGAACTATTATCAAATATGGAATTCTATGCAGGGTGTTCCATTTTGATATCGAAAGTTCCGAAAACAATCGTGAACCTATACCCAAAATATCAATCCTGTTGATTTGAGTAGGTATTATAACGATTATACCCAGGTTATACTAAATACTCACAGAAATGTATTACTTTAGAATTCGAAAGACACAATATGTTATAAAATCAGATGTCATCTGTGGAATCAGTTTTTCTGAATATATTATATACATAGTCTTATCACCATTGTGAATTGCAAGATTTTTATTGTAATTTTACAATCAAAATATAGCTATAATTTGGACATATAGGTAGAGCCAGTTAGTCTTTATATTCTTTTCTGAAATACATATTTAGGTGTTATATTATTGTCGCATTTTGGGTGTAATTTTTGTTCTTGCATGATTTTTCAACTACAGTCTCCATGAGTTCACTTTATAATTCTTTGAATACAAATGATTTCAATGTAGAGTAGAAATCAGGGAGTATGAATTGTTAAATCATTGGACAAATTTTGAATTCACAAAGGTTATATTATCGATGATGGCGCTTCCCTTGAACCCAACGACAATTTTTTTCAACCACCTGTTTGATTGGAAGTAGACCCAACTTTTTCATTCCAAATGACACCTTATACCGGGTGACACAGGGTATCGGGCCACCCCTGTAACTTCTGCTTTCGTCATCGGATTTTTCTGAAATTCGGTACAGTTATATAAGCAATTATTTCGGATTTGATCACATTACAATCCAATATGGCGGACTTCCGGTATTTCTGGAAATGCCAGCAACTTTGTTTTTTCAAATGAAACACCCTGTATATTTTTACATATACAAGTTCAACAGGTCGAAACAAGTGCAATCTTTATTTCAAATGTAATTTTTTCGAAAAGAATTAAATTAAAATTGTTTTTTCATTTTACCTCGTGGATAAATGAGATGTGGTCAAGACTATTCACAATGAGTCACACATAACAGAAGAACATAATTTTTTCTGAAAAATCATTTTTTGTGTCACTTATCCAGGAATCAATTCAGCCACATCACTTTTTGATCAAAAATTATTTTTTTTCAAATGGAACCCTTATGGGCCACCTACCCATTTATCTAGAACATACATTAAGGAACAAAATGAAATATTATTTTTGTTTTTCGGTGCAGTAACAAATTGTATACATTCAAAAATCAACAACTAGTTTATGAATTTCCTTGCAGTTAGAATAATTTTTCAACTAGGTAGGCTGTGGAATAAATGACATTTAACATCAAGATTGCACTTGTTTTGACCTGTTGAACTTGAATATGTAAAAATATACAGGGTGTTCCATTTGGAAAAACACAATTGCTGGCATTTCCAGAAAAACCGGAAGTCCCCATATTGGATTGTAATGTGATCAAAGCCGAAATAGCTGCTTATATAACTGTACCGAATTTCAGAAAAATCCGTTGACGAATGCAGAAGTTACAGGGGTGGCCCGATAACCTGTGTCACCCGGTATATTTCTGATGTTTATCTTATGCGCCTTAACATTCTCTATTCAACTATGTATCACATATGATATTCGTTCATTGATTGACTGTTAAATTGCGTTTTATTGAAGAAGATTGTCATCGGGTATTTATTTAACCATGTTATTGTGTTATACGCAGATTTTTTGAAGAAAGCATCGAATTGTGCAAGTAACTACGGTGGATTGATGAGAATATGCCTGCCACCTAGCTGGACAGTCGTCGTAATAACTGATAGAGATGTCACCAAGAAAATATTCGAGGAAACCATAGATAAGTCTACAGATTATGACTACTTCAAACCATGGCTAGGTACTGGACTTCTGACAAGTAAAGGTAAGATAAATAACCATCATAAAGGACCCCGCACCATTTACATTAAAAAATCTTGTATCTTAGAGTAAGCAGTATTTTGTGAAAATCTAGGATTGGATAGATCAAATCATGCTGAACAAGAAATGTCCTCTGGTCCAAGGTCCGTTATGCCCGTTAAACCATGTGTGTGATATGGTTTTGGCATGGCTAACATGATATTTTTGAGTTGCCAGAGAATGGTCATTCATTTTATGACAGTAAAAGTCATTGAGCAAAAGCGGCTATAAACAGTACTACTACCAATATCTAAGTCGGAATTTCCGAGATCTAAGTGGGAATTCCGAGATCTAAGTCAGAATTCCGAAACCTAAGTTGGAATATTCCATTCGAAATAAAAATAAATATTATTGTATTCCTTCTACGCTTTCGTAGAAATGACCATATAGAATGCAATTTTCAATTCCTTTTGTGCAATCTCAGCAGTAATCAAGCTGATATTGTCATGTAGGATACAAGCATATTGGCATGCTCAAAGAAAAAAATTCTCCCAGCATAGTTGGTGCCCTAAAAATATGTCCAAAACTTATCCCAAATATAGCAAATACCGTTCTATACTCCCACATCCTTAGTAAAATGAACTATCTCATAAATATTTGGGGTTCATGTTCCAAGAATAATTTTAACGAAATATAACTATATAAAAGAGCATTAAAAGTACTGTATCGTCTTCCATATGACACCCCAGCAAATCAACTTTATGAAGAAACAAATATATTTTCTTTGGAAGAGCACTATCTGATAAATACTCTCAAAATGTCTTTTGATATTATCAACAAACACCTCAAATCTAACTTAATATTGGTGAGGAATTCTCAAATCCATGAACGTCATACTAGACAATATGACTTGTTTCATCTTGATGCTGCTAATTCTACACTTGGCCAAAAAAAGTCCACTCACGAAGCTATCTCAAATTTCAATAAATTAGCTGATGATATCAGAAGTTGCACAAATATCACTCAATTCAAAATAGAAGTCAAGAAACATATCCTCTTGCAAAAAGGAAATCAAACCTGTGTGAATGATTTCTCATTCACTAATTTATTTCATCATGTCATAATGTACTTTTCATGAGTTTTATAATTATCATTTTTGAATCTGTTGTTTATTTCAATAACTATAATTTAATTTGATAACGCATGAATAATATCATACCAGATATGAATCTGTTTGTTTATTCATGTTATTTCATTGTAAATGTTAATAAATATATTTTTCTGAGACGGGAAAGAAGTTTGGCATCGCATCTCTGTTGACAGGTTATAAAATGTCACTTTTCATGAATTACTTTTTTCCCGTGGGAAAAAAGTGGGAACTTTTTTCCCGGATATTATATCACATATACATATATATTCACACTGATGTTGATGGCTTTTGTTGTGCTATAGTTTCGAAAAATGAGTCAATAATACCGTCTCCGAGAAAGAACTGCAAGTCCTTTTATCTTCCATTCGACTTCGCGGTTACGTATATCACTAAACAACCACTAAATTCGCAATTTTTTGAGATCAAATCACAGAATTAGACTGACAGAAGTGACATCAGATATTTGATTACTTCAAAAGACTGATAAAGATGCCTACAACGCATCAGGTGTCCCTTCTGTTAAAAACTTGAAATTTCACGTCGATAATTTTCAGATTTCAAAATGATGTAATATCTTCTCAATATTGATTCGTCCTTTCTTCTGTCACAGAAATAAATAGTGTATTATCCACGGGAAAAATATTAGATATTAGCCCACGGTTTTTTATCTCCCTCCGCTACGCGTCGGGAGACAACACATCCTGGAGCAAAATCTACTACTTTCTTCCCTTATATACCTAATAAATAACTATTATATTTATATGATATGCAATGTAATGATAGATAGATAGATAGATAATTTATTGATCTTTTAGGTGTACATGTGATACAAATAAGACAAGTCAAGCTTCGAAAAAAATGAGGTACAGATAAAAATCTTAAGTATTAGAAACATATTGAAAAAGTTGCACAAATACAGACATATTAAAAAAAAACAATATTCAAAAAATATACATATATGTAAATTGCCTATATTTAATTAAAAAAATACACTATAGATAGTATCATTATTGAGCACCAGACCTCAGGGCAGCCCTATATTCATCTATGGAGTAGAGGGCATTCGAAATTAAGAAATCTTTCAAATGTTTTTTAAAGTTGTATGAATTAAGATTTTTTACACATACAGGGAGTGCATTGTAGAGATTCACATCCAGAGAATTTTTGCTAGATTTATGCAATCTGAATCTGTTTGGCCTGATCAATTGACAGCTCCTGGTGAGATAATCGTGAAAGTCAGAATTTTTTCCGTAATCTTCTTTATTTTTATGAATATCCAACAAAAATTGGTATATGTATATAGATGGTAGCGTCATGATTTTTAGGGATTTAAAGAATGGTTTACATGAATCAGCGTAGCCAGCACCAGCGATAATTCTTATTGCTTTCTTTTGAAGAATAAATATTTCAATGGCTTTTGTGCTATTGCCCCATAAAATTGTTCCATATGAAATTTGGGAGTGGAAGAATGCATAATATGCTGATAGCAGTGCCTGAACGCCAATAATATTCTTCAGTTTTCGGAGAAGGAATATATATTTGTAGATTTTGTTACTAAGCTGCTCTATGTGAACTGACCAGTTCAGTGTGTCATCTAGAAAAATGCCCAACAATTTGACTGAGTTCTTGTTAGAGACAATTGGAGAAAAATAGATTTGTTGAGTTTTATTCGAATTCAACATCAAATTGTTTCTTCTAAACCATGATGCCGCTTTTCCTTGGGCCAGATTAATTTCATTTAAAAGCATTTGTCTATCCTTACCAGACGTGGTAAGGGTGGTGTCATCAGCAAAAGCAATACAGCCATAGGGAGACATGTAAGTGAAGAGGTCATTGATATAAATTTTAAAAAGGAGAGGGCCCAAAACAGATCCCTGTGGTACTCCACATTTGATGAGTTCCAACTCAGAAACATTATTCGAATCAAGTGCAACACATTGCTGTCTATTTGATAGATATGATTTAAATAGAGCAAGAGCTATCCCTCTTATACCATATACTTCAAGTTCACTGACAAGAATTGAATGAGATACACAATCAAACGCCTTGGTCAGGTCACAAAGAGCAGCCACAGTGTGCTCTCCTTTTTCGAAGCCATCGATTATAGTGTCAATAACTTTATTCAGTGCATGTATAGTTGATGTCGATTTTATGAATCCAAACTGATTTGGATTGAATAAATTATGTTTAATGTAGTAACTATAAACTAATGTTCATAGTGAAGAATCAAATGGATATTATTATTATTGAAAAAAGTTTAATTTTCAAGGTGACAAATGGAAACAACGTAGGCGCCTACTTGCACCGTGTTTTGGAAGCCTGGAACTCATGAAAGGATTCATCAGTGTTTTCGAAACGCTAGGAGTTGAGCTGATAGCGAAACTTCAGAATGAAGATGGCAATACAAACTTGGATTTGATACCATTCATGAAGAGATACACGTTGGATGTTCTTTGTGGTAAGAAGAAGAATCATAATGAAGTTGATTTATTATGCAAGATAGGGCATAATAAATAGAAAGCAGCCACCATCTTATGTATTTGTTTCTTTTTTAATATGGAATTTATGTGGATTAGATGGAAATGGCCTAATGAGAATTCAAAAGTTGCAAGAGATTATGATATGCCTTTTCCATCCGTATTCGAGTTTAAAATATCTATAGGTATACATGAAAAATAACAGTTCAGCTCCATACGAAAAAAATATTAATTGGTGATATACAGTGTGTCCACCTTAAGGACTTACCACCCCTGTAAAATTGTTATTATCTGACCGATTTCAAAAAACTTTTTTTTGTTGGATAGGTATTCGAAATGTCCATCCAACAAGAGAGTGATTTTACTCATGAACTGTAATCGTGGCCAACTGCGACCAACTTTATTGACCCATATTTGGGAAAGTACTATTAGGAATTTTTTTTCAAAAAAATCAATGATGGATTCTGAATCACAATCACTTGAAAAACACCTTTACTGATTTTTATCATCATAAAACACAGGGTGTCCGAAAAAACGAATTATGTTTTTTTTTTAATAGGTGATCAGAAAATGTAGTATTGTGGTATTTTTGAGAAGAATTGATGACACATTATTATTGAGAATCACCTATTTTCATCATTCAAAAATACGATGTGTATGAGAAAACAGTTAAAAAGAAAAAGTAGGCAATATTTTTTCATCAATTCAAAAAAATTAATGATTAGATTTTTCGAACACCCTGTGTTTGATGATGATGAAAATCGGTACAGGTATGTTCCAAGTGATCCTGATTCATCTTTTTATTTCGAGTGAAGAATTATCAGGATGAAAAATGTTGCTTTCCTATCCTTTTTAATTTTTTTCTCAGACACATTGTATATTCAAAAGACGAAAATTGATACAGGTATATTTGAAGTAATCCCCAATGATAATTTGTGATTATTTATTTCTAGAAAAACCACAGAACTACATTTGCTGATCACCTATTTGAAGAAAATGATGATTCGTTTTTTCGGACACGTGTTTTATGATGATGAAAATCGGTACAGGTATATTTCAAGTGGTACTGATTCAGAATCCATCATCAAGTTTCGTGGAAAAAAATCCCTAATAGTACTTTCTGGAATATGGGTCATTGAAATTTGTCGCAGTTGGCCACGATAACAGTCCAAGAATTAGATCACTCTCTCGTTGGATGGGCATTTCAAATACCTATACAACAAAAAAAGTTTTTTTGAAATTGGTCGGATATTAACGATTTTACAGGGGTGGTAAGTCCTTAAGGTGGACACACTGTATATTATTTTTTTAGAACAACAATATATAGGCTTGCTAGTGGGTATTGCAGCATAGTAAAGTTGAACTCATTACAGTTTGTCCAAGCTTTTGTAAATGTATATTTCCATCATCAGGGCCACTACTATAAAAATTGAATGTGTACATATGTCACATATATGTCACTTTCCGGTCATTTCTTGTTTCACCAGGAATGGCTCCAGTATTGCATTTTTGAATGGAACACCCTGTATATTGTAACATTTTCGGATTCCTGAGATAATTCTGGATCAGAATGTGAACTTTTCAAGAGCTTCTACGCCTATTCCATTTTTTAGAGAACCTTTCAATAATCCTATGACGTAATATCATTCATAACCGCCATCTCGTGCGCACCTGACTCAACGTGAACGCATCCCAGGGGACAGCCCTGCACTGATGAGAGTCAAAAGCTCGAAACCGGTCTTCAGGTAGTCAAGCGTTCCTGAACCACTTAAGTGCAGCTCGGCGTTTGGGAAGGAAACGATTTTATTCGTCTATAATAATTATTGCATAGATTTCGGAAGGATGTAATTCAAAGTTCTGCGTGGTTTCTGTTTGTTGACTCCGTAGATTTGTTGTTTCGTCTTCCACCATGTGTTGCCTATGTTTTGCACTCCTTTCATCGTACAAACAGTTCCCTCAATATTCCTTCCATCCATAGATTTATTGACAAACGGTCTGTTAAAATGTTTGTACTAGTATTCCTGATTCAGAAATCGAAAATCACTCTATTTAAATTTCATATTTCCATATAAAATATTTGTTTCTGCTTTCAGGCTAATTATAATTTTGCTTTCAGAAACTTCGATGGGAGTTCCATTGACTTCAGATGGTGAATCATACAGGGAGAGTTTGGAAAACCTATGTGGGGTGCTGGTGAACAGATTGAAAGTTCCGTACAAAAGAATAGACTCTTTATTCCGCCTGACAGAAGACTATCACATCCAAAAACGATCAATCAAAGTTATAGATTCTTTTTTTGACGAAATATTCGAGAAAAAGTTGAAGCTACTGAATGAAGGTAGAACCAATAATGGAAAGAGGCTTGCTTTCCTAGATTTACTGATGGAGTTCTACAAAACTGGAGAACTTACTAAGGAAGATATACGAGCTGAAGTGAACACTATAATGTTTGGGGTAAGTTGTCAACCTTGCTCTCGTTGATACATTCTTGAATTTGATGTTTTTCAGGGTCACGATACAACAGCTGCTGGTTTGGCATTCACCCTGTATACATTGGCTAATAATTCACACGTACAGGTAATTTTGATAGCAAATTATTGCTTATTAGGACCAAATTCAATGCGCGAGCAGAAATTATTCCTGTAAAATTGTCTATCTCTTGTGATATTATGAATGAGGCATTTGATAATTTTAACAAATCGGTGTCCGCTCTTCTTGGCATGAATGTTCAAAATATTTGACGCCTTATCATTATTTGTTATCCATATAAAATATCTGTACCCATATAGAAATATCTGATAATTCGGGAAATAGCCAGGAACAATAAACAAACCTGCACAACTTTTAATTTTTCCATTTCATTTTGAAAATACAATAATAATATGCAGGGTTACTGGTAATTCGGTGAGGAGCAAATTAAACCGCGAGATGCATCATTCAAAAGTTAATTGTTTTTGAGATATTTAATTCTTTTTGTTTTTCTCCAAGAGGTACACTTCAAAGGTTTGACCTACAGACAGTGTTTAAAAGTTAGTTTCCCGAAAATCTGCATAACAGTTTTTCAAACTTCCAACTAGAATACATGATCAATATGGTCTTATGTTTGGAATAACAAAAGTACAGAAGTTCTTCCATTTGTAGGAGAAAGTAGTTGAAGAACAACTCAGTATTTTTGGTACTTTAAAAAATGTGCCGCAACAAACGTTCGAGGATATACAACAAATGAAATATTTGGAAATGGTTATATACGAGGCACTAAGACTGTATCCTCCTATTCCTGTTATAGCAAGGCAGTTGCCTAATGATATAGATTTAGGTAAGTTGCAAACAGCTACTTCTCTATTCTTTTATTCAAAAACAGTTCCCTTATCGAATATGAACAAAGTACATGTACATTTTTGTTGTTGTTCTTTATATTACCCCAAGAAACATATTTGTTTATAATAAGGATATATAAACATATGATATATATATAACAATAAAAAAACAACTAATTAACGAGTTATGTCAATATAACATGATAATTAAAATAAAATCATTCCAATAAGTATTCAAATGAAAATAAATGGCTCCGTTTATAGTGTCATGAGCATATATTTTTTCATATTGACTTTGAATCTTGTTTCATCATCAATATGTTTCAAATCATAATGTTATGAATTATATAAAATGATTCCGATGTAAAATACTGATTGTTTGCCAATAATGGAGTCATATGGGTTTGCTATTATTGAATTTATAACTGTCTCGTTTCCTGAGTATGAATTGTATTTACTTCAAAAGTTATAAATGTTTTCTCATTTCTATAAAAGGAATTAATTACAAGAAAACAATGTCACAATTATGATTTTTTTTTTCTAAAAATTTCATCCACATGGATGCACCTTTCCCTAGAAATAATTTTATGACACGTATTACTTCTTATCAATTATCTGAGAAAAATACTGTTTCTGTGTTTGGGAAAAAGAATTATGGATTCGGAATCAGGATCATTTGAAACATACCTATGCCGATTGTGATCTTTAAGATGACCAATAATGAATAGTTTCGACAAAAAAAATTCCTAAAGTTGAAAAATGTCGATTTTTCACGCCCTATATCTCTGTAATCATTTCCGCTAGACCCCAAGTGTGATGCATCGATGAAATCAGCTCTTCAGAGAAAATCTGAAAATGCAATAAAATACAGGGTGTTCTATTTAAAATAACAAAGTTGTTGCTACTTTTCGATAGAAGCGGCAACGCTGCAGAGCTGAAAATATTTTAGATCGATAGACCAAGAGCAACTACGTGAGTAACCAAAAGTTCAGAATGATCCTATGTCAAGTTCTTCATAAACGTCTAACGTACCATCGACCGTGAGTTACCCTGTATATGGAGACAAATGAAACGATTGGTCTATCAGACTTGATGTCACCACCAGAAAGGAACATTATTCGAAAAAACCATAAGAGATCTTCTAAAGAGGAGGAGGATATTTTGAGAATCTTCGTTGCAAAATATCAGGATACAAATAAGAATCTTTTTCGAAAATTAAGTTTTTTAATTCTTTCCAAAAACCAAGTCCGGTCCCGATTTTTTTTTAATAATGCCTCTCCTCAACTCTGCTGCTTTATCATATGCAAAAAAACTGATTGGAATACCTCAAGTCGAATGTAGTGAGTAATGGCCCGGACGAAATCGAAGAAATATCCAACTGAATTTTGTGTTTTTCCTGATCTTTCTGATTCTGAAAAGAGTTCTTGAAAAATAAGATTCAGAGAGTCGAAATTTTGACATTTGAAAAGAAAATGAGTTTTCTAGGTCCGGCTCTGGTATTTTTCTTCCATAGTAGTTCATCGTGGGTGGTGTTAGTAGAGGTATATATGAATTGCTAGTGAATTTCGAGCGAAAACATCGAGATGTTCCTAAAATATCATTCATCAAAGTTTATATATCAACTCACCTTGACTACCTCTATCCACCATTGGGCTATGGCTGGTGAGGCATCACTCACCCTGTATGTATATCTATAATTCTTTGCAGGAGATATGGTATTGCCCAAGGATCTGAATGTCATTGTATTCATATACGGAGCACACCACGATCCAGTATATTTTCCTGACCCAGAAAAATTCATACCGGAAAGATTCGAAAACGGAGAAGTACTGCCTTTTACTCATTTTCCATACAGTATAGGTCAGAGGAGTTGTATAGGTTAGTATAAAGTGTGAAGATTTTTCTGCTGAAATTGGAATTGAAAATAACTTGCAGGAAAAAAGTTTGGTTTGATAGAAATGAAAAGCTGTCTTTCAAAGATAGTGAGGAATTTCAAGTTGCTGCCGTCAGTGCCACTGTCTGAACCAATGTTAGTCCATGAATTAACGTTGACATCTTTAAATGGAGTGAAGATATCGGTAGAGAGGAGGGAGTGAAAATTATACTGTGTCCAAAGCTGTTGGTAAAACTGTGATATAGTTATAAAATGTCCCAGCATTTATTATGTCTGATAGTGAATTTATTTCCTATATATAGGTGTATATTATATATGTATATATATAGATTCTATAACTTCCTCACGAAGGAATATATATAGGTACCTATAGTATATATACAGGGTGATTCATTAAGAATGGGAAATCTCTGAACTACAGAGATAGTAAACACCAAAATATGAAGATTCAACCCAACAACGCTTCATAGAAATGTTGCAGTTACAGAGAGTGTTCAAGCAGAGATTATTGATAATCTCTGGTTCAAGGGAGAATTTTATTTCAAAAATGTCCTCAGCTTATTTGGTTGAACATTTTACTTTCAAATTCTATTTGTTGTTGGCGTTGTCAGTTATATTTTCATCATTGATTATACTGTCTTTCAGAAGACCTGAAACTACAAGATTTATTCATGTTGATGATGCTGTTGAAACTTGCAAAGTTAATGAGAAATTCTGAAATGGAATAACCCCCTGGAACATCCTGTATCTCCTAAACCAGCAACATTTTTGGCAGGCATGTGCTGAATCTCAATATTTAGTGTTTACTATCTGTATAGTTCAGAGATTTTCCATTCTTATAGTTAATCACCCTGTATATATGCAGATATAAATTGTCAAGATCGAGCGACTATGTCATCAAAAATAATGTGTATTATTATTTCTATTATTAATATAATAATTAATTATGATTAAAAAACAATTCTATTTTGTATATTTTCGATTTTTATTTACAAATTGACCCTGAACATCACGAAAATCTAGTTAGTAACTTACGATCATCGGATATTACGAAGTGTACGAACGAATATTCGACATGTGTCGAAACCATCAGAGAAGAAAATATAGAAATTTCGACACCAAACCATATAATATTTTCGAAAATTGTAGTTTTAATACCTGCTCCTTCAGATAGTTTTTTCAATAAAGTTAATCATTGTTGTTATTTATTTATACGTTGTCGTTGATTTATCATGCCAAAAAACACTCGAACTTTTTTTTAATGGATAAATTCCTTTCCTAACGAAAACATTTGCCAATCAGTAATTTTTCGAGAAAAACTGACATGAAAAAATTGCGGGACCGATGAAAAAAAGCTCTTGTGTTTTTACTGTTGATAAAATCTTTCATGTAAAAGTTGTATATCGCTACTTCAAAGTTTGGGAACCAACTCCCCAGAAGTCGAAACTTGTGCGGGGTTAGGAAGAGCGGGACCTACAGCTGATAGTAGAATCCGAACCACTTCTAGGGCATCGAGGTTCTGCCAGGATTACAACCATGAATCCCACATTTTAAAGAACAAACTGTATATTATACACCCTAGAATGGAATTTTGGAATGATTTTATTTGCACTGCATTGGGCATGGAAAGTTTAGTTCCTGTATCGAATTTGCATCATTTTATCACGTATCGTTTCGGAAATATTCAAGAAATATCATCTTCAAGAGCCCCCTAGCTCTTTCATTGGGCAGTAGCCTGTAGCTCCCTTAGGAGACATTTAACGATAATCATGTTCAATGATCTATCTAACAAATACTTATCCCACTAATGTACCATCGAGTGACTAGTTCATTGAAACTTTTCTTCCTATTTTTGGTCGTAGAGGCCGTTGGTGGAGTTTGGTAGGATAATTTCGGGACGTATAATATGTTATCTTAGACCTCTTATATAGGAACCATTCTCTTTTTATTTATTACGAAAATGTTTACTGTACCTTAGTGTATGATTATTTACATTAATAAGGTCGATAGACACTGAGAAATAGGTACTGTTATTTGGCATACCATTTCAGTTTGCACGCGATATGAAAAGGCAGTGATTCGAATTCATCCCCAACGCGCGTGATTTGAAACTACCGCCAATACTAAAGTTGATTTGCCCTTAGAGTTCATTGCCTAGATTTGCCTATGATGATGCCTTAGATTAAGGGACCATGACAACTATGGACCTAACTAACTGGTTCCTGTCCTTCGATTGATATACTGTCAATGTCACTCTTCTTCTTATCTCCTGTCATCCTGTCAAATGACAAAAACAAAAATTTCTCAAATTTCCATCTTTCGATTTGTATGTGTGGATTTCTGTCTGAAGTCTGAAGAGATATTCCAGATTGTTACGAAATATACTTTTAGAACAAACTATTTACTTATGATAATATTTACAACGTTTATACACAGCTACAGCAACCTCAAAATAGACGAAAAATGGGAAAATCCAAGAAAATTCGTAAAGGAAAAGGCGATGACAGGTTAGTAAAATCATCAATCTGTTGTCAGGAATGCCGGACAATTTTATTATCTTTTCAGCAATTCCGAAAACGAGTTGGACGCACAGGAGGAGCTAATAGATACAGCTAACCCTAAAAAATCAAAATCGGCCAAGTAAGTTTTTTTTCAGGCTGAATTTGGGCCTTTAGAAAAAGTAGGGTTATGTACACAGTATGTCCAAATAATATCCAGCCAAATATTAACACTTCTGACCATTGTGGATCTAAATGGAAAAGCTAGTCAGTAGGTGAGAGGTATACTTGCCTACTAACTAGCCAACTAGCTTTTTCATTCAGATCAACAATGCTTTTAATAGGAAGGATTGTTATTCAAAATTCAATGTAATAAATATTTTGAGGACATGTTGGGATTGAAATAACATTTAACATGATGTGTCCTTAAGTACATACCCTCAGAGCTACTACAGCCTCTGTAATTTGATGGAAAAAACTGGGTTTACATAATTTTTGAAAAAAGAAAATAAAGTGTCTGAAGAGACAGGAACATGCCAATTTTCAGAAGGTTTTATCTGTTATTTTAGTCACAAGGGGTGTATTTTTTTCTAGAAATACAGCTAAAAATGATGATGATCTTGAAGGTGATGATTCCAAAAAACCGGAACAGAAGAAACCCAAGGGCAAAAAGGAGAGAAAAAATATAGAATCTGATGAATCAGAGACAGAGGTGATTGTTTCCAAAGTTAAAAAGTCATTTGCTGTTCTACAAATTGATGATGATGATTCTGAAAATGATACTAGACCTCAATCAGATGTAGAGAGTGAAAATGAATCAAAACCTGTGAAAAAAGACAATAAAAAGAAACCCAATGATGAAAAGACTAGTAAAGATCAAGGTGGCAAAAAAGGAAAGAAAAATAGGAAGAAACATAATGAAAGTGATGAAGACATCGAAAAAGTGCTAGCAGAACTAGAAATGGAGTACGCAGGAGTGAAAAAAGATTCAGTACCTGAACCATCCAATGAAGATAAACCACAGGAAGAAAAAGAAAAGAAATCCAAGAAGAAGAATAAGGAAAAAGAACCAAACATTGAAACTACAGAATCAAAAGAAACTCTTGAGGAATCAGGTACAGTGAAAACAGCAGCTCAGAAGAAAAAGGAGAAGAAGGAGAGGGAAAAACAAAAGAAACTGGCTTCAAAAAAGCAGGAACCGGGAAAACAAGAGAGTGTAGAAGAATCTTCAACTGAAGTAAAGGCTGCTGAAATCTCAGATGAAAAAACTAAAGGAGAAATGGGTGAACAATCTGAAGATCAGGATGCTGATAAGAAGAAGAAAAAGAAAAAAGGAAAAGAAGAAGAAGATAAAGATGCTAAGAAAGGTAAATAAGAAGTAGAACAGGGCAAATTTTGAAAATGGAAAATTTGATGGAAAAAGATCTGGAAGAAAATTATTCACTTCTTGCTGTTCTTTTCATTGCATTTCAAGTATTCTGAAATTTGATCTTATCTGAGTTCTAATGTTCTAATTGGTATTTCAGAGAATGAGTGTTCAGAAAAAACTCAATTCCACCTTTCAGATTATCTGAATTTCACTTCATAGGATTTTTAATAATATTGAGTACAATAATATGTATTTTTATTGATTTTTATTATTCAGTTTAGAAGAAGTTTTCAATGCGAAAACTTAATTCATGAAGAATGCAGGTATGAAAGAGAAAAGAGTTTTTGCACTTATCATGCAATGGGTTTTTTTTTGAAATTTTTTTTTGGTACTCATGTATTTTTGTCCGAAAAACACGAATTTGATATTGAAAATGTGAACAAACCACTATTTATCAAGATATTTCAAGAAAAAGTTTGAAATTTTGCCTTATTTTCCCCCTTGTGTTGGATGCATTTACAGGTACTTGCTCTTTTTATTTTGTCATTGGACACTTTAAATACTCATGATGTACTTCAATGACACATTTTAAGCTAGAAAATTCAACAGGAAATATGATTTTTATGGCGAGTTTTTCCTATTCAGTGAGCAAGCATACCAGATGACGGCCATTTAATGGATGGGTAATCCAAATAGGAGATGTCAAATGTCAATAGATTGCTTTGGAATGACATCACACACGCCATTATTTCAAATTATATTCTTCCTTTTTTTCACTAAACATGGATAAATCACAAGAAAATCATATTTCTAGTTGACTCATATAATAAAAAAAATGTGTCCAACATTGTGTGATATAATATAAATTGTCCAATGATGGAAAAAGAAGGGCAAATTGTTCTAAATGCGCCCCAAAGACAGGCGGAAAAGAAGGTGAAATTTGTAACTTTATAGTGAAATATCTTAATAAATTATGGTTTGTTCACATTTTCATTATCAAATTCGTGTTTTTCAGACAAGAATACTCAAGTACCAAACAAAATTTTCGAAAAAAAAAACATCCCATGATAAATGCAAAATTACAGAAAAGAGAAATACTATCCAGTAGAATATTTATTTTGAACAAAAGTTCCTCTTGTTCATTTTGTTGAAATAATTGACTATCAGTGGAGCTCTCAGTGAATGAAGTGGAGAGGTTTTATTCATCAAATTCTTAGTTGAATTCATCTCATTACCAAGCTTTTTATAATAATATTTATTTATTTATTTCATTCTTTGCTATAAATATCACATTGCATCTCAAATAAATATATTCATTAACATTTACAATGAAATAACATGAATAATCAGATAAATTCATATCTGGTATTAGATTATTCATGCTTTATTAAATTAAATCATACTTATTGAAATAAACAACCCATTCAAAAAAAAATAATATAACAAAAAGCTCATGAAAAGTACATTATGACATGATGAAATAAATTAATGAATGAGAAATCATTCACTCAGGTTTGATTTTTTCTTTGCAAGAGAATATGTTTCTTGACTTTAATTTTGAATTGGGTGATATTTGTACAACTTTTGATATCATCAGGTAATTTATTGAATTTTGAGATAGCTCCATGAGTGAACTTTTTTTGACCACATGTAGAATTAGCAGCATCAAGATGAAACAAGTCATATTGTCTAGTATGATGTTCATGGATTTGAGAATTCCTTACCAATATGAAGTTAGATTTGAGGTGTTTATTGATGATATCAAAAGAAATTTTGAGAGTATTTATCAGATAGTGCTCTTCCAAAGAATATGTATTTGTTTCTTCATAAAGTTGATTTGAAGGGGTGTCATATGGAAGACGATACAGTACTTTTAATGCTTTTTTATAAAGTATAGATATTTTGTTAAAATTATTCTCGGAACATGAACCCCAAATATCTATGAGATAGTTCATTTTTCTAAGGATGTGAGAGTATAGAATGGTATTTGCTATATTTGGGATAAGTTTTGGACATCTTCTTAGGGCACCAACTATGGGAGGAATTTTTTTTTTGAGCATGCCAATATGCTTGTCCCATGTTAACTTTTCATCAATCCAAATATCAAGGTATTTGGTATAGGCAGGTTGTTTCAATCTTTCATTTTTCATTGAGTTTTTCATTCTAATATTCAAATCAGTATGTTGTTTATTCATTTGTCTTATTATTTGGATAAAAATATCATGTTTCCCAATGTTTTTATGCTGCTATATTGCTCAATTCTTCAGGTCCTGGAAAGAAAACCATAGCGGCTATGCAAGAAGCCCTTAAAAAATTGAAGGAAGAAGAAGAACGCCTTAAACAGGAAGAAGAAGAAAGAATTCTCAGAGAGGAAGCGGCAGAAAAAGCAAGACTAGAAGCAATTCAATTAGAGCAAGAAAGGAAAGAGAGAAAAAAACAAAAAGAGAAGGTGTGTTCAGGTTAACAATTTAATTTTCAGATAATTATAAATTGATAAACTGGTAACTCATCCCTGCAGAAGATTTTATGAAAATCCTTCAAAATCCATCAAATAGGAATAATTTTCATTTGATTCAATTGGAGCCTCCATTAGTCCAATAAATGAAAGGAAAAAGTTAACATTAATTACGCACTATTTTCATCTTCCGGTTGGAAGTAGCTTTTGGTACCGCATTAAACATGAGACAAAGTTAGACTGGAAAACGCGTGCGATGGCGGAGAAAATGGCCCCAAAAGACCAGAAAAATAGGTTTTCAGCCAATATCTCCTAAAATATGGCAGTTATAGATTTTCGGTTCGGATAAAAATTGAAGTTCAGTTGATTTTCTACAAAAATGGTCCTCATCATTTTTCTCGAAAATTTGCCCGGTTTCGAGAAAAACGGCACGAAGCGCACCTCGAATAATGAGCTTCTGTTGTATGCCGGAGAGCACAGTCCGTGTATTTACACATCGGCGGGGGGACAAATTATTCAATAACTTTGTTAAAAATGCACATTTTCTCATGATTCAAAGTTCATGTGAAAGAGGAATTCTTTCAAATTGTCATGAGTAGTTGTAAGGGAATTGATGGATATTCTGAAATTATCATCATATAAAAGGTGTTCCATTTGAAATATTATAGTTGCTTCTACTTTTTAATAGAAGTGACAACACTGTATAAATAGCATTTGATTCTATCATTCATTATTCATAATCATCAAAAATACTTTTTTTCAAAATCAGCACTTTCGAAAAACGCCAGGTCTCGATGACGTCATGTGCCTTCTAGCACAGAGCATAACCAGATATTTCGACGTTGCCAAATTTATAACTAGTTATTACCTCAGGAGATTCAATATCACCAATGACAATAGTATTAACATTTTCAGAAGACAAAGTGGCCACCTGGGTCCTGATACTCACTCATTGAGTATATACCTCACAAGATGTGCTTCAGTGTCTATCATAATATCCCTCATCATGATTTTATTTTAAATCAAACTTTTTTGTGACTCTGGCAACTGCGTGATGCTGGATTTCAGAATTATTCTAACCTAACCTTCTGACGTCAGTCTCGTCTGTCACCATCATCTTCAAAATCAATCATCTAAACTACTCAACACTAATTTCGTCGCACCCCAAAATGTCGCCCCTGTTATAATGTGAATAACTTTTTTCAGTTTAGAACAATTTGAATTTGGTTCACACTGTTCGATAGCCCACTCCTTCAGCTATAATCTCGTACTTCGTTTAGACATAAGGGTATTCACATAAAATCTCTACATGGTGTTTTCCGACACTGTGCAAAATTTCGGAATATTCAAAAGGCTCTCAAATGGTGAAAAAAAAATTTTCCTCAACTTCGACAACAGAGGCATGAATATGATCGCATTACCTCGAGATATTTCGCGAATCAACTCCTTATCTCTCTTATTTACAGAGTGATCTCAAAAAATCAACTTTTTGGTTTTGCAGCCATAACTTTTTTCCACGTCAACCGATTTTGGAAATCTTAGGCTCATTTTGAAGATAAAACTTCAGATGAAGAGATCTGGATATCAGAATTGACTCAAGATGTCTATCAGAGATCTAGAGTTTTCTTGAAAGTGACCCAAATCCGGAACGCCTTCCGAATCTCGGTTGGAAGGAGGATTGAATGAAAATCAACTTGTTCTCGGAAGACCAATTCATTCTGGATGCGTCCATAATTTCCTCGCTCTCAGTATTCAAGAATGTGCGTGAGAAAACACAATTGAAACATGTTCTTGCAAAAACATCAGACCATTTCTCCTCTGTAATGCATGGCCCGTAACCAACGTTACAAGAATCACAGTAAGTGACTGACAAGTCAGGTTAGACGTCGTTTTCGATTCATGAACAGATTTTGATAGTTTCGATGCCGCATCTAACGCCCGACCAGTTGGAACTGATTCCACAAATGAGGGAACAAGGGTTATCTTCCCTCCAAATCGCGGATCTGCTAAACACGACAGTCCGATCCATTCAAAGTGCTTATCTCCGACACGAATTGTTTGTTTATTAGGTACTGTCGATTCGTTCGGCGCATTATTGCGACTGAAAACTTTACGTAATTGGCAAACTGTTTTCGTGAAACTTTCACCATTTTTTAAATGTGTTTTTACAATAAATAAACGTTGTTTGCTTGAATACTTCTCCATATTCTTAAATCGCATGTTATGTACGTGACAACTGTTAAAAAAATCACTTTATTGAAAAAATCAAAATCCGTTACTCTTGTTTGTACACCATTTATGATGAGTCTCAGCTGGTCGAGTTTGTGATTCTTGTAACGTTGGTTACGGCGGGCCATGCATTACAGAGCAGAAACGATCTAATGTTTTTGCAAGAACATGTTTCAATTGTGTTTTCTCACGCACAATTCTTGACTACTGAGAGCAAGGAAAATATGGACGCATCCAGAATCAATTGTTTTTCCGAGAACAAGTTGATTTTCATTCAATTCTCCTCCCAACCAAGATTCGAAGGGCGTTCCAGATTTGGTTCACTTTCAAGAAAACTCTAGATCTTTGATAGCCATCTTGAGTCAATTCTGATATTCAGATCTCTTCACCTGAAGTTTTATCTTCAAAATGAGCCTAAGATTTCCAAAATCGGTTGACGTGAAAAAAAGTTATGGCTGCAAAACCAAAAAGTTGATTTTTTGAGATCACTCTGTAAATAAGAGAGATAGGAAGTTGATTCGCGAAATATCTTGAGGTAATGAGATCATCTTCATGCCTCTGTTGTCGAAGTTGAGAAAAAAAAATTTTTCACCATTTGAGAGCCTTTCGAATATTCCGAAATTTCGCACAGTGTCGGAAAACACCATGTAGGGATTTTATGTGAATACCATTATGTTTCAATGAAGTACCAGATTATAGCTGAAGGACTGGGCTATCGAACAGTGTGAACCAAATTCAAATTGTTTCAAACTGAAAAAAGTTATTCACATTATAACAGGGGTGACATTTTGGTGTGCGACGAAATTAGTGTTGAGTAGTTTAGTTAAATCCAGTCTGCCTGAGAGGTACTCTTTGAACAATTTCAAAACTACGCCTCTGATACCTGACCTTTCTAATTTGGAGAATAGAATATGGTGATCAACTGTGTCAAACACCTAACTCAGGTCGAGAGACACCAGGTCAGTTTTATCATGATTATTGGTGGTTTGTTGTATCTCAGTGACTAAATCTATCGCTGCCGACCCTGTGTCACTCAACAAGCGGAAGCCAAATGGATGCTCATAAAAGAACTTTTTTTGTTCAAGAGGCGATTATTAATTACCTTCTCCATTATCTTAGAGAACACCGGCAAAATTGATACAGGTCTATAGATAGAGGCTGTGTCAAGTCAGTCGTTCAACCACATTGGTGATACCAGAACATTACCAGAATGGTCAATGTTTGACTCGACTCCCATCAAAAGTTAACATGTTAAGTGTGTGGGCAAGTTTCAAACGTGACCGATATGCCCAAACAGCTGATTGGTCAGACTGATGGTCAGACTTCAAACTCAACATATGTGCCCGGGCAAACCATAGACTTGACACAGCCAGAGTTATCTTTGTTGAAAAAGTAGTCCTTCTGGGTCAAAAATGGCGAAATCTGAGAAAATCCCAAATTTGTAGCCGTTTAATCGTTATATGACGGTGATCCGGAAGGTCGCCGAAGTCTAAAAATTGGATTCGGCATCTCTGTACTATCCCGAACAATATAAAAAAAGAATAAACCTACCCCAAACCATGTAAGGTGGACCCCTTTTTGATGACAAGGTTACTGGATTATTGGGGTAATAAAAACAATAATTCAATCAATTCCTAAACTTTTTTCATAAATAAGTTGAAACAAAACTGAAAAAGTTGGTTGAGAACACAAAAAATCCTGTAAAGTGCATATCCTTCTTTGACATTGTTGAAAAAGCCAGTACCGAAATTTATATTGTGGAGATACTGAATGGAAATGTGTTTAAGGAACGCAAAGAGAGGTTGAAGGCTGAAGGAAAATTGCTGACGGCTAAGCAGAAAGCGGACAGGGCTAGAGCCCAGGCTATGATAGACAGCTTGAAGGCACAGGGTGTGGAATTACCCGACGTAGGGGAGAGGAAACCTAGGCCTGGCACCAGGGTGCGAATGGGCAAACAGAAAAAAGAACAACCACCTGGTAAGTCGAGTTTAGAGTTGTATAATCTTATTCATAACATTATTGATCATTTTCTCCTCTCATACATTTCTCGCTGTGAATCTGTTTAAGAAGCAATAAAATATTAAAAATTATTATTTTTATTATGAATATTATTATTATTATTGTTATTGTTATTATGATTATTATTCAAATTCATATTATATATGATATAGTTATTATGCATTCAAAGAACAATTTCCGGAAATCTGTGTGAATGTGGATTTTCAGAAAGTATGTCATAGGAATGGTGGAGGAGCCAAGTTCCTCTTTTATTTATTTTTTTCTGAAGTGAAATTTGATCTTACGAAAAAAAAAAAGAAAAAATATGTTTATTCTGTGACGGGAAAAAAGTTTGGCATTTCATCTCTGTTGGCAGGTTATAAAATGTCACTTTTCATAAATTACTTTTTTCCCCGTGGGAAAAAAGTGAGTACTTTTTTCCCGGATATATATAACATATATATACTCTGTTAATGGCTTCTGTTGTGCTATAGTTCCGAAAAATGAGTCAATAATACCGGCTCCGAGAAAGAACTGCAAGTCCTTTTATCTTCCATTAGACTTCGCGGTTTCGTATATTACTAAACAACAACTGAATTCACAATTCTTCAAAATCAAATCACAGAATTGAACTGACAGAAGTGACATCAGATATTTGATTACTTCAAAAGAATGATAAAGATGTCTATAAAACGCAGGTGTCCCTACTGTTAAAAACTTGAAATTTCACGTCGATAATCTTCAGATTTCGAAATAATGTAATATCTTCTCAATATTGATTCGTCCTTCCTTCTGTCACAGAAAAAAATAGTGTATTATACACGGGAAAAATATTAGATTTTAGCTCACGGTTTTTTGTCTCCTTCCGCTACGCGTCGGGAGACAACACATCCTGGAGCTAAAATCTACTACTTTTTTCCCTTGTATAATAAATAACTATTATATTAGTTTTTTTTACAAACTTCACAGTGAGATGAGAACCTCAATATTCGCGGGAATCAATGTTACCAGGTGGCGCTCGTATTTCATCGTTCCATGTCAAAGCCACGTCAAAACTGGGGGAAAACAAACTCAATCCCCACTCAATTCCATTAGTGCCATTTGCTTGTGTACTGTGTACTGATAAGAGTGATAAGTTTTTGAAGTTTTTGACATTAATTGTCAATATTCCATCGAAAACGCTGATAATGCCTTTTGTAGATGTTCTTTTGGCAGATATTTTGCTCTATTCAGTTAGATGGAAAAAGGCGTCCAGTAGTGGAAGGAGAAGCAGTTCTCCGTGCTAATCATGTGATTTTGTGTGAGGCAGAAGACTTCAACAAAAGGCACATTTTTGCACTTTGTCTAAAAACTTGGGCGATGAAATCTTCTCCACATGAAGTAAAATTGAAGTTGGGGTCCAGAGGGACTCCTGTAGAACAATGGATTTGTATTTGTTCATGCAAAGCAGGACAATCTGGGTTTTGTAAACATGTTGTAGCTTTTCTTTTATATGTCAATTGATTTGCTCGTCATAATCAGTTTGAATTGTTTGAAATATCTCCAATTCTTCACCCGTTCACTGTTCACTAAAGTAATAAAAATGTAATAATGTGATAAAAATTACCCAACTCAACCATCATCGCTACCAACAGTGCCAACACTTTATGTCATTGACAAGTTTGACTACAGCTACAGCAAGCTGAATGCAATGTAGTCTATACACACTATCCATAGACAACGGTTTGTTTTCCCCCAGTTTGAAGTTCGTATTATGTAACCTAGATGTCGTCCACTTCGTGAATCTCGCGAATAATGTCTTATGCATAGATAAATAGTAAATACTACTGACTACCCCGTCAACACTCATATCCGCTCAGGAGCTTCACTTACAGGGAGTTTCTAGCTACCATATGAATAGTGACTCTCTAACATATGCGTAGTTGAAAATACAAAGTTATATGCTTCGGTAAAATGACAAATCGTTTGCGCATGTCTAAGTACACCTTAACTGTTTGGCTTATAACCGGCTGATAAGTGGCTAATAGAATTAGACTGAATTAAATAAAGACCCATAAACGAAAAACTGTATTGCAGAAGAAAATATTACAATTCATCTTATCAATGACATTCATTACTGTCTCTCTCGTCACTAAACTTCTTGATCCCAAAGCAAAAACAAAATACAATATTTAAAAAATAGCTCACTATCGATTCTCATTTTGGCGTCAAAACCGTGACAGGGACAGGAGAATAGGCGTACTGACATCTTTTTTATTTCAATAGAATCATCACACAAATACCTTTCAATTTTATATTTTTTTACAAAAAAAAAATAAAAAAAAAGATGAGCCTCGCACGGATTCGAACCCCGGCCCGCCGGCTTGGCATGCCGATGCTCTGCTTACTGAGCCAACCAGTTGCTTACGAGACGAAGTATGATGAAGTCATTCAGTCGGCGCCGCATAACGCCAGTCGCATCTACTGCCCACTATAACGTTCTCCCACCACGGAGTTATTACTTGCGGCCGTCCGCAGACTCTAATCTACGTATAATGGCAAAGTACCTCTCACGCATTATACGACCAAAATCATGACAAGATACTGCAGTCGTGTTCGGTCGCATGACTTTTATTTCTATAGACAATAATTGGCCATTGACCATGAGCGTGATCATCTAGTGTGTGAAGTTGCTTCGACCAACTATTTTCAAAATATTCACACTTCTGTTGTTATTTTTGAAAAATATGGGAGGCATATAATACAAGTGGAAAATTTTTGTAACTGATTAATAATTCAAGTCCTATATCGAAGACTGGAACCTTTGGCACGATAATACACTACACTGTTTTACCACTAACCAAACCGATTTTTTAACGCCTCGACACGTGTTTCGCTAACTATGTTAGCATCTTCATCCTATTCTAGTGTGCTGCTTATATACTAGGTATATGTTCACCCAACTGTGAAAACTACTAACCGTCAAGTTAATGTTTGTCATGGTTGAGTTCACATGTTAATCTTAATTTTTATTACACTAAACTATATAGAGGGCTATATGGAATAGGCCCATTATCCTTATTCATTACTCTATAACTAGAGAGAGAGAAAATCCCAAAAAAAAAATTATCAAAAAAAAAATAAAACAAAAATATCCAAGAAAAAATCCAAAAAAAAAAGGGAATAATGAATCTAAGATATGTTACCAGATCTAGTAACCTAACCTGAGATATGTTACCAGATCTAGTAACCTAACCTGAGATATGTTACCAGATCTAGTAACCTAACCTGAGATATGTTACCAGATCTAGTAACCTAACCTGAGATATGTTACCAGATCTAGTAACCTAACCTGAGATATGTTACCAGATCTAGTAACCTAACCTGAGATATGTTACCAGATCTAGTAACCTAACCTGAGATATGTTACCAGACCTAGTAACCCAACCTAAGATATGTTACCAGATCTAGTAACCCAACCTGAGATATGTTACCAGATCTAGTAACCTAACCTGAGATATGTTACCAGATCTAGTAACCTAACCTGAGAAATGTTACCAAATCTAGTAACCCAACCTAAGATATGTTACCAGATCTAGTAACCTAACCTGAAATACCTGAGATTACTAACTAGAGAGAGAGTTATAGAGTAATGAATAAGGATAATGGACCTATTCCATATAGCCCTCTATATAGTTCAGTAAAATAAAAATTAAGATTAACATGTGAACTCAACCATGACAAACATTAACTTGACGGTTAGTATTTTTCACAGTTGGGTGAACATATACCTAGTATATAAGCAGCACACTAGAATAGGATATTTAGTTTTAATCTTCTCCTGAAGATGCTAACATAGTTAGCGAATAGGTCGATTTTTAGGTGCTAAAATTGAATTGGATTGTATAAGTATAACCTGACGACACGATTTCGTAAATAGGGGCACACCATAGCACAGTTGCCATATTTTGAAATTTAAACATTTATAAATTCTCAATTCTGTATTGGTAATATTCCTATTTAGCAATACAAAATCTATTGCCTCGAAATGTTCCCTTTTATTTTGTGTCTCATTGCTTTTAATCCATTTGTGTAAATAGTAGTTAAATATGAGTTAAATTAATTCACACTAGAGGACATTTGAATCGGTGAACGTGACAACACGGCACGCACGACTTGTGGGCGTGGTCTTATCCCTACTTAGCATCTAGCACGATGTTGTCAAGTCTCCAACATTTACATGATATTTTATTATGGAGTATAAGACATATTTGGACATGCTGGTTGCTCGAAAAAAATCAAGCATGAATTATAATATCATAGTTTGCTAGTTCGATAACTTGATTATTGATTGATTGATTGTCTTTATTATCCCAAGAAACATAGTTGTTTATAATAGGGATACATAAACAATATACATAATGTTATACATACAATTATGAAATTATAAGCTGATATAACAAGTAAAATTGAAAAAAAAAAAAATGCAAATAATCATGCAATATCAACCTTGTCTTTTATCTGTCTCTGAAGCAGATATTTTTTCAATTTAATTTTGAATCTAGTTGCTTCCTATATATTCCTCAATTGACTTGGTAATGCGTTGTTTAGAACGATTCCTGTGTGAAAAATGGATTGTTTGCCGATATTTGACTTGAACGTATTTGCTTTTAGTAAATTTGATTGTCTTGTTCCATGATTATGTAATGAATTGATTTCATTGAAATTTAAATTCGAAATTTTCAATTTATATAGGACAAATTGAATAAAACAACATATTTTGAGTTTATATAGTGAAGTCAGATCTAATAAATCTCTAGGTTTGTATAAATTCATGGTTGATTCGAGAAAATTTAAATTGAAAATACACTTCAATGTTTTATTTTGTAATTTCATTAGTGGACTCAAACGTGAAATATTGGTACTTCCCCATATGGATATTAGGTATTGAAATTTTGAGTAAATAAGAGAAATAAATACTCTTCAAGTATCTAGTAGAAATGAAATTTCGTATTTTGAATAAAATGGCTGTAATAGGATTAAGTTTGTTTCTATATGTTTATTCCACAATAGTCGTTCATCAATATAAAGACCTAAAAATTTTGTAACATCTGTATATTTGATGAGTTTATTGTTGAAGGATAGTGTTCTATTTGAAATGTTCAATGTTCTTTTTGCTATGTACATATATGAGGATTTGTTATAATTGAGAGATAGTTTATGAACTTGTAACCAAGAGGATATTTTCTCTAAATCACTTTTCATGTCCATGATGATATTGTTTGAATCTTTAGAGAAATAAATCAATGTCGTGTCATCTGCAAATAATTTAAGTTTTCCTCTCAATTCCAAGTTTGATATTGAATTTATGTAGATCAAAAATAAAACTGGTCCCAAGACTGACCCTTGCGGTACACCGCATGAGATGTTCATTAAGGAGCTACAAGTACCACTCACTTCAACATATTGTTTTCTATTCGATAGATAATTTTTGAACCAATCATGAATTCTTCCTCTGACACCAATTGCAAATAATTTATTTAATAAAATGTTATGGTTGACAGTATCAAAAGCTTTGCATAGATCTAATGACAATAAACCGCATTGATCATTTTTATCTATTCTTAATTGGTGACTTGGCAACCTTGCTTCATGAGTGGGAATGGAAGATTATCTGACCAATAATGAAACAGCATTCATTCGTCGTATCGCCGAATGGTGGTCATGACGGTACGTTTGAAATGAGCTCCGAATTTCAAACAACGCATGCACTCATTATTCACATAAAAAAGGTGTGTATCCCTAACGATACAGTGGAGTAATTGTAAATGTGTCACTATCTGCCAGTCTATAAACTGCGGAAAACCATGTGAAGGCAGATATTCAAACTCTCCACTTCCAGTACCACAACCGGAAGAAGAAACCAAACAGGAAGAACCCATCACGGTTAACCTAGAAGTAGTAGAACCGCCTGCGGCAGACCAAATAGAAGAAAAACCAGAGTCAGAAGAAGATGTCAAAGACGCCTGGGACGCATCTTCATCCTCGGAAGACGAATCCGAAGAGACTGTTCCTGATACCAAGAAAGCCGAGACGAAATCTCGAAGTGCCGATGATAAGGGAGACGAGGATGATGAGGAGGATGAAAGCAGTAGTGAGGAGGACGATAGCGAATCTGAGGAGGAAGATAGCGATTCGGAGTCTGAGGAGGAGGAAGATGGCAGGAGTCAGGCTGAGAAGGCAAGGGACAGGGCTGTACAAAGGATAAAGGTGAGAAAAATAGGGCAGTGTATTGAAGAATTTGTTTTTACTGAACGTCAGTTGATATGCAGAGTTGCCACTAGATAAATATCTATATTTAGGCACACAGGAGAGAGAAAAATTCGATTGTAAACTATGGAAGACAAGAAGGCTAGCCTGGAGGGAGAGTACCATGGTTATTCATAATGCCTTGAAACACTTTTTCATAAATGTGATTTCATCATCAGAGCTTTCAAACGACTCACGGTAATAGTGAAGACGTCTATGTCAAGCTCATTCGAATACTTGTTCAGGAGAGAGCAACAATTGTCAATTATGTTTGGCCTTCTAGGGACCGAGAATAATATTCTTTTTGGTCTCAAGTTTTGAGATGTGACCATGAATTTGATTTGAGAAAGGAGAAATGGACTGTTTATGGAATTGGCAATCAATTTGCGAACAAACGTCGATTTTTGATCAGTCCAAACTCTTTTCTATGATGAGGTTCATAAGAGACGTAACCTGGATTCGTGTGATGTTTTTTATAATATAGGTATGATATGAATTTGTTTTGTGTTGTTTCCACTGCTTTTTTCATAGCAAGGGTCGATGGTGCCCAAATTATGGACCCAAATTCAAGCCGACTGCGGATTAGGGAAATGTAGAGGGACTTTAACGTTGCTTCATTTATGAAATCTCTCGTTGCCCTCTTGGCATGAGCAAATTAATGAATAGCCGAAAAATACGATTCAAAATACGATGCCAAAATAATTGTGAAAAACTATTTCAATCACTTGTAAACAAATAAGACAAGTGAGGTTGTGTTACATTTTTCCACCTCCAGGGTCGGTCATCTGACAGTTCTTGCACGCAACCCATATGAGAAATGAGATATCAGAAGCATGAAATTGTCTTAATTTATGAGTGTTTTAATTCAGTGACATTTGCAAATTCGAAAAAATCTTCACTGTTTGTTGGACTTGATTTCAGGCTAGAAAAGAGGAGGCCGAAAAGAACAGAGACCCTGAAAATTTAAGGGCAGCTATTGTATGTGTATTAGGACACGTCGATACAGGGAAAACCAAGATTCTGGACAAATTGAGAAGGACCAATGTGCAAGATGGTGAAGCTGGTGGAATAACTCAACAAATTGGTGCTACAAACGTCCCTATTGACGCTATCAGAGAACAGATCAAAATTGTCAGAGAGGTTAGTTTTCATGCTCAACATAGACCCATGATATAAATTCTTCAATCTAAAATTACATGAAACTACATGACATGAAATATAAAACAAATATACAGGGTTTTTGGTGTTTGTATAATTCTATTCGAATATTTTCTTGACAATATGAGGATTGACCAAATAGGACCTCAGTAAAATCTTGATAGTTAACAATTTACAGTGTTGATGGAATCTTTTAAGATACTTCTATTCTATTATCCAGATACACTATAACAGGATGGGACTGCACCGTATTTTTTTAGTATGGATTGAATCAGAAATTATATTCTAACCCCAAAACCAAACCATTACTAGTGGCTTAAAATTTCAAATTTTTCGGTAATATACCGGCGACTTCACCAAAAACGCGGGTTCTCGGGTGACTACAGCGACAAATCCCTACTTTTTGCTTCATCCCACTATTTGATTTCAATTGTTCTTGTATCTCATTTCAAAATAATGAAATTCCTGAAAAAAATATTGAGAGTTAAGTAAAATACAAAATTTCACTCTTTTGGTTTCAAGACATGAATTCTGTTCCTACTTGCAAAAGAAATGTATATATTGAAGTCTATTTCCTAGTCTCCTCATGGCAGGGTGGCTTGAAAATGACACTATTATGTATATTTTTTCAAGCTTCAGAGAGACACATCTTTTTAGAATGGTGATAAATTGAACTGAAATACTTTTGTTTGAACAAAAAAGGCGTAGTTGAATTTGCATAGTGTTCGATTTCCGAAAACTACGAAGTCAACTTGTTTTCCGGTACTACTCCACAAGGCAAGCTCTCCCTAAAGTTAATGAAGTCCACAAAACAATAGCTTGTGAAATACACTGTGAATTCCAGAGAGTTACAAATTAATATCAAATAAGGTTATGCAATAACTTTTTTCGAGTTGAAAGAACACCTTTTATTATTACTTTATGCGGAAATTGAGTTGAAATAATTCATTGAATTTTGGAATAGCTCCGTGAGTGAACATTTTTGGCCAAGTGTAGAATTAGTAGCATCAAGATTTGAGAATTCCTTACTAATATGAAGTTAGATTTGAGGTGTTTGTAGATAATATCAAAATTAATTTTGAGAGTGTTTATCAGATAGTGCTCTTCAAAGAAAATGTATTTGTTTCTTCATAAAGTTGATTTCATTGGGTGTCATATGGAAGACGATACAGTACTTTTATTATTCTTGGAACATGAACCCCAAATATTTATGAGATAGTTCATTTTACTATGGATGTGAGAGTATAGAACGGTATTTGCTATATTTGGGATAAGTTTTGGACATCTTCTTAGGGCACCAACTATGGGAGACATTTTTTCTTTGAGCATGCCAATATGCTTGTCTCATGTTAACTTTTCATCAATCCAAATACTAAGGTATTTGGTATAGGCAGTTTGTTTCAATCTTTCATTTTTCATTCTAATATTCAAATCAATAGTTTGTTTATTTCTTTGGTGGAAAGTTATATATTGTGTCTTATTAGAATTAAGGAAAAGAAGATTGGAGTATAGCCAATCTTCCTTTTTCTTCAAATCCTCATCAATGTTGTTTTCTAAAATTACAGGGTCTTTGTTTTCAAATAAAAGTACTGTGTCATCTGCATATATGGCATAGTTTCCTATCTAATTCATTTTTGTAATGTTTTGAATGTATAAAAGATACAGAATTGGGCCCAACACTGATCCTTGGGGAACTCCTTTGTTTATATATAGTAGTTTAGATTCACAATTTTTTATTTCAATACTGATAGTGCATTTTTCCACATGTTTTCAAGAGATTATTTCCAATACCTCTGATTGCCCATTGAATTAAGGTTTTTCAGGAGAATATTGTGGTCAACTGTATCAAATGCATTTTTTAGATCCATAAAAATAGCTACTGCTAGCGATTCGACAGCCTTAATGTGGTTCGAATTACATGGATGTTATCCTGACACATATGATGCAATAGATCTAAATGCGATAATTACACCAAATGAAGAAGTAATGACTTGAAGGGTTATTCGGTTGCACTACAACGACTTACCACTCTTAGAATCGGCAGGAGCACCATAAACCATATCCTCTTCACAAAGGGCCCTTTTGGATGTCGTACTAGTGTGACATTAATATACGCGGGTTACGAAAAGATTAAAAAAATTATAGAATAAACAGATTATTATGAAGAGCTTATTACATTATGGCTTTCCGTAACAGCTACTACATAATTTCCTTTGTCAAGCCTGTCTTATATAAAATTGATTACTTGTGAAATTGCTGACTGTGTACCACTTTTCTCTTGAAAACCAAATTGATTCAAGTCAAACCCATATTTTTCATTAATGAAGTCAACAATTCTCTCTTTCATAACTTTCTCAAGTATTTTGATTGTTTCACCGAATTCAAAACAAATTTCCGAGTGGCTAATCTTTTCTTATTGATGTAATCTTTTTGTGGTCTGCAGTTTTCGCAAATGGAAACCAAACTACCGGGTCTCCTCATCATCGACACCCCTGGGCACGAATCATTTTCTAATCTCCGAAACAGGGGTTCCTCCCTATGTGATATCGCCATTTTGGTTGTCGACATTATGCACGGCTTAGAGCCCCAAACCATAGAGTCCATCGACATACTCAAGAGCAGGAAAACGCCATTTTTAGTAGCTTTAAACAAAATTGACAGGTAAAGTTTCGTAACCTTGTTTTGTGAATTTTTTATTCGTGTATTATTTCATTATCTGTAGATTGTATGATTGGCAGACCATGAGCAGAAAAGATGTGCGGGACATCTTGAAAGCCCAAGCGAGGAATACGCAATTGGAATTTGAGAAGAGGACCAAGGAGGTTATTGTGCAATTTGCTGAACAAGGTTTTTTTTTTTCTTTCATGACAAAAGCTTTATTTTATAATATTTTCACAGGTTTGGGGTAAGATAGTTATAAAACTTTTCGGAAATTAAACAAAAATTACTATAGATTTTGGGTGTGCATTCCAGTTGAAATTAAAAGAGATATCTAGTGATAAACTGAGGTATTTAATGTACTATAAAAATAATTTTATATTTGATGACGAAAGTTTTGTAAAATTCACTTCATTCATTGTGTTGGGGGAAATAGTTCCATAGTGAAGACAATATTTCATCAGCTGTTAAATATCTTTGATGATCCCAAAAATATTCTCGAAATTGCCGGAAACATACCCAAAGCTCTAAAAATTTTCATTTTAATTAAAGTTTTTTTGTTTAGTTGAAGTTATTTGTTCATTTATTCATTTATTTATTCATTGAAAATATAAATTTCAGTCAAGAGCATGTTCTGATAAGGAATAGTAATAATAATAGTCCAATAATCACAAATTTTTGAAGATAAGTTGATCATTCCCCATTGAAATGGGGTTTGTTATACAGGGTAACTCACGGTCGATGGTACGTTAGACGTTTATGGAGAACGGGACATGGGATCATTCTGAAGTTTTGGTTACCCACGTAGTTGCTCTTGGTCTATCGATCTAAAATATTTTCAGCTCTGCGGCGTTGCCGCTTCTATCGAAAAGTAGCAACAACTTTGTTATTTTAAACGGAACACCCTGTATTTTATTGCATTTTCAGATTCTCTCTGAAGAGCTGATTTCATCGATGTATCACACTTGGGGTCTAGCGGAAATGATTACAGAGATATAGGGTGTGAAAAATCGTCATTTTTCAACTTAAGGAATTTTTTTGTCGAAACTATTCATTATTGGTCAAAACGGCTCACATGTCCCTATCTCAACTTTTGATTAACTATCTACTGATATTTAATTGGGACATATACCGGGTGATCAAGATTCTGAATTCTGCACCACCCTGTATTTGTTTCAATTAAATGTCAGTAGATAGTTGATCAAAAGTTGGGATAGGGACATGTGAGCCGTTTTAAGCAATAATGAATAGTTTCGACAAAAAAAATTCCGAAAGTTGAATAATGTCGATTTTTCACACCCTATATCTCTGTAATCATTTCCGCTAGACCCCAAGTGTGATACATCGATGAAATCAGCTCTTTCGAGAGAATCTGAAACTGCAATAAAATACAGGGTGTACCATTTGAAATAACAAAGTTGTTGCTACTTTTCGATAGAAGCGGCAACGCCGCAGAGCTGAAAATATTTTAGATCGATATACCAAGAGCAACTACGTGAGTAACCAAAATTTCAGAATGATCTTATGTCCCGTTCTCCGTCAACGTCTAACGTACCATGGACCGTGAGTTACCCTGTATATTCTATGACTGAGGAATCTGTACTTTTCTAGATTTTTTGAAATCTTCTCGCCTTATTGTTATTATAATATACACAGTAAATCACTGTTTATCATTCTTAAAATATCTGACAGAGAACACTTACTTTCCTGGCTAATACCATTGAATTATATTTGTCATAGATCTATGTATTTGTCAAATATCGTGAATACCTAATTGCAGAAACTATTTTTAAATATTTATAATGTTTTGATGCCTGCTGGAAGAACAGATGATTTGGCAACAAAAAAATTGAAGAAATACAAAAAAATTATTATTAGAGAATATTCCAAGAGAAAAATATAGATATATTGATACATTTTGAATTCCTACTCATCTTTGCTAGACGTTTCAGGAACTAATCTACTCCCATTTTCTGTCTGGTTTCGCCATTTTGTTTTGTAATTTGTAAATATTCATAAGCTAAACTCTTTTTGCAATGAAATTAGTTTCATTGCTCTGAAGTATACCGATATACAGGGTGTCCCGAAATTACATAGAAAGATTTCAACTGCAGATTCTATGATCGGAAATAGTAACAAAAGTTGATATAAACGTTTTTTATCGAATATTTTCTGAACCCTTTACGATGAAATAATCAAATTACAAATTACCCAATTCAAAAACGTTGAGAATATTTTGAAATTTTAATGAGGGGCGTGTGAAATGGGAAGGGCAAGGGACGCTTTTTCCTCCCCAACATCTTTGTTTATGCAATTTTCGGCAGTTTGACTAGGAATTATAGAAATCTCAACATTTTAACTTGAAAATCTCACTCCTATTTAGTTTCGATAACATTCATCGTTTTCCAGATGAATCCATTTCAAAATTCAGCTGTGTAACTCTTTAATCACAAAAGTTTTCGAGAATATTCACAAAACACTCTCATCTTGGGCTCGCCTTTAGATGGCTTTAATCCCTTGAGGGGTCATTTCTGGGCCAATGCTAATACCGGGTGATTTTTCAAAGTGGCTCACCCCTATAACTTTTTGATTATTGAAGATGGAATGATTATAGTTCAATTTACATTTTTTGACATATTCCCTTCACTTATTTTGCGGTACATCCGGTTTGACCAGAAATCAGCCAACTTTCGATTTTTAAATGGGACACCCTATATATTTCAACTTATTCCGATCAAGAATGACATTCCAAATCCAACAATACCTCACTTGTCAATATTTGACAAATGAAGTCATTTTTATTTCAGTTTTTTCTTTTGAATCTAGAATGCCATGGATTGTGTAAATCGTTTCACTCTTCATCAAATAACATGGGAAAAATATGACTTTGACTCTAATGACTTCACAGTCGTTTTAAGAATTGTTTAAGAGCCTCAAATATGAATTTTTGCAGTTAACTGGATATTTTTCATTTTCTTAAGAATAATTTGATACCACACACTGTCACTTTATTTTCAGTATATTTTTGAATAATTTCAAAAAGCGATCATACCTACTAACAAACAATACGTATTCGGTATTCTTATCTTGTTATTCTTGTTATCCCTGAGAAACAATTGAAGCTATTGCTTTCGAAAACTTATATTATAATTATCAAATATTGAGAAGTGAGGCATTGTTGGATTTAGAAGGGCATTCTTGATCGGAATAAGTAAAAAAATACAAGGTGTCCCATTTGAAAATCTAAAGTTGGTCTGATTTCCGTGGATACGTCAAAAAATTCAAATTGAATTATAATACACGACCCTCAAATTTCGGTTTTTCATCTTCAATCATAAAAAAGTTATAGGAGTGAACGATCTTGAGAAATCACCCGGTATAAACTTTATTCACTACAACTTTTTTCATTTCCATGTGAGTACTAAGTAATTCTTGCATCTATATCCTAAGTCAACACTGATTTTTTTAGAACTGATATTTTCTATTGGCTGATGATGGGCTTAAAAGTTGTTTTATTTATTTATTCATCTATTTCAGTTATTGCATTACATTCTTTTCTTCATTGATACATTGTATACAAATAATATATAAAGTACTATTAATTTTCTAGTAGGAATGTCATGAATGATCAGACAGTAATTCCTGGTATAAGATCATTCATGAAGTATTATCGACTGTTGTATAATAATTGAAATTACGAATAGTGAACAAAACTTACATATCATTAAGATATCTCAAAATAAAAGTACTCGTATTATAGTGAACAAGAAGGGAAAAAAAAAGAAACAGTGAAAAAAAAAGGAAATTCATAGCTACCATGGACTTCTTCCAAAGAGTTTCATCGATATCTGTCCATGTAATTTCGGGACATCCCGTATAATTTCGTCGCGCAATCGATCGTTCCCTGTTGAAACGAGCCCTGTCGCATCTGTAGGTCTGAACGCCGCCCTGTTCTACGAGAACCCCGACCACCGGTCGTACGTCTCTTTGGTGCCGACCAGCGCCATCACGGGCGAGGGTATGGGCAACCTGCTCGCCCTGATCGTCGACTACTGCCAAACGAAGCTGCCCAAGCGGCTAATGTACTCCGACGAGCTGCAGGCCACCGTCCTCGAGGTAATGCGAGGAATAGTTATTTAACCAACTAGTGTATTGATCGCCTTTCAATATACGAGTTGGTTACAAAATTTTTCCGTCGACCTAATTCCGGAACCATTAGTAACCTCTTAACATATCAGAACTTCCTGTTGAACGCCTTTGAGAATAAAACCCAAGTTGATAGTATCTATACCGATTTTTCAAAGGCGTTTGACAGGGTGAGTCATACTTTATTAATAGCAAAACTTAGTGATATGGGTATAAATCTTGGTTTGGTAGCATGGATTGAAAGTTTCTTAGTTGGTCGTCAACAGCAGGTGAGGATCAAAAGTTTTTTATCTAACGTAATTCCAGTACTGTCAGGAGTTCCTCAAGGCTCTCATTGTGGACCGTTACTTTTCAATTTGTTTGTCAACGATATTAGCAAATATATTTTTCACTCTGTTTTTTCATTATATGCTGATTGACTTCAAAATATATAAAGAAATTCAGCATCATATGGATATTGATCTGCTGCAATCTGATTTGAATAACTTCCATGTCTGGTCTAGAGTTAATTACTTGGACCTCAATATTTCAAAGTGTTTTTTTATCACTTTCTCAATGGGTCATAATTATATTGAAAACGCTTATAGAATAAATAACTCTGTATTGAAGAGAGTCAATGAGATAAAGGACTTAGGCATAATATTCGATGTTGAACTAACTTTTAGAAGTCATATTACTAAGGTAGTGAACACTGCATCAAGGAACTTAGGTTTTATTACTAGGAACAGTAAACAATTCTCTCCTGAAACACTTAGTTCACTTTATTGCCATCTGGTTAGACCTTCACTTGAGTATGGTTCCATCATTTGGAGGCCTTTTTATCAAATACATATTGATAGTTTAGAGCGAATTCAGAAAAGGTTCCTGAGAACATATTCATATCGCAAGAGTTATCATGTTGCTCATATAAACTGCCCAGATATCTTAATGGAGCTTAATCTACTAACTTTAGAAAATCGTAGATTAGTGTTGGATATGTGTTTCCTATATAAATTGGTCAATGGCCTCATTAATTCTCCAGATCTGCTTAGTTTGATTAGATTTAATACATTGACTAGAACAAGAAATCCTCCTTTATTTTCCTTGACTTTTCACTCAACGAATTATGGCAACAATAACCCTATTTCAAGGCTACAAAGGAATTATGTTGTTCTTCAAAATCATTGTGACCTATTCTGTGGCAGTCTAGGTAAATTCAAAACTAATGTTGTGAAAACAATTAGGAATACCTGATTAATATAATATGTGCTACATTTCTATGAGTGTAATTTTCATTGCTCCTACTATTATTATTCATATTTTTGTTGTAATTTTTTTTATAAAAATGGTGTAACCGTTGAAATAAATAAATAATTAATTACATAACAACAGTATACAAATTATGTTAAACATCAATGATCATTATTTGATTCATGTTTGGATGCATTTATATTGAGATTTGTTATAGTACAGGGTGATCAGTTATGGGTAGCGAGCGGCCATATCTCCTGAGATATTGGTCGTATAGATTTGAGAAAAAACAAATCATGATAAAAGTCGCCAAGAGAAATTGATGGAAATTATTTTCGAGTTTGTCAAACGTCCGCTAGTGGGCGTAATATCCAACACATGGGGCGCCCATATCTAAAATAATTTTGAAACAGTATGTAAACATGCTACATCTGGGGGTGTCAAAGTAAAATTTTCGTCCATATCCATTTTTCTTTAACTACCTACTCAATAATATTATACTGACAGCGCGAAATGCCTCCGGAAATCATTTGAATTCGTGTAATCGTGTATGCTTAGTTGTCACTAATAATAGACAAATCGTTCATTAATAGGGATCATAAATGAACGATTTCATATACATTAAACTTAGTCGTTAATACAAGGTCGACGGAAATAGTATATTATACACAGAGGGTGAGAAGTGAGCTATCATATAGCAACGGTTTTTTATTTCAAGAGGCGCGAAGCGCCGAAGGATATAATGTGCGAACTATATGATAGCATTCTCACCCGAGGTATATATAACATTTTTTCCACTAATAACACCCAAAAATCAACATCTTTTATCAATTCAATAATAATTGTTATGTCAAAATAAACTGCCCCACATTTGAAGTGAGACAAGGACAAATTTCTATCATTTTCAAACCGTCATAACTTTGGATTGCATCAACCAATTTTCAATTTCTTTCAAGATTCTGATAGCTCATTCCATTGAGTAAAACGTCAGTTCTTTTTTGTTATTCCACCTTTCCGACATGAAGACTTACAGGGTGATATCTGAAAATGTGAAAATTTTCGAAAAGTTTGGGATCACCCCGTTTCACCGGGATTTATTTTTATGTCTTATTGAGGGCGATAAAATGAAGGACAATGAGTTTTCCCGAAATGGTTCTGAATTCAAGAGGATTCATAAAGGATGTTTCGATGTATGGAATTTTTCACATTATATTGCAATTTACGGCAAATTTGAAATCGCCCCGTTTGGCAGGGATTTTCATTGTTTCATTGAAGGCGATATAAGATGAAGCATAATGAGTTTTCTCGAAATGCTTTCCGATTCAAGAAGATCCATACAGGAAGTTGTGATATATAATAATTTTTCACAATATATTGCATTCTGATGTTCAACGTTCAACCCACATAAACTCAACTTCAACAGAACTTCAGATTAGCTTATCCTGCTCAACGCTATCACTATACAATGTGTTGTACATTTTCAAACATACGCGTATCATCGAATTTGTCAGACAAACCATGGTTTCCAGATTACGATTACGAAGATATTCTCGTTCGAAATTTCAATATGCTCAATAAGACGTGTGACAAAAAATGTTTTTTTTTAGGCAATATTATGTTGTCTCCAAACTTCAGCGACAATTCTCGCACGATGTGGTAGTTCATTATTATTGTCATCAACCAGTATGAAATTGTCACCAACAGTTTTGGGCAACTGGAACGACAACTTCCCTAACACAATGAATGTCTTATTGATACTGAAGAGTATTCATACTCTTTCTCAAGATAACCATCAACGTGGGGCAACGATTTATCATGATACCGCCCCATGTTAATTTTATATACTTATCATTTTCTCATTATAAATATTGTGTTGATGATAATTATTAACGGCATTTTTTTCGTAATATTTCAATTTATTTCTACATCCCCTATATTCGAAAATGTACAACACATTGTGTAGTATTGGCGTTGATGTATGCCAATGTAAAATTCTGTTGAAGTTGAGTTTATGGTGGTTGAACATATCAGAATGCAATATGTTGTGAAAAATTCCATACATTCAAACATCCTGTATGAATCCTCTTGAATTCAAAACCATTTCGAAACAACTTATTGTTCGTCATTTTATTGCCCTCAATGAAGCATAAAAAAAATTCCCGATGAAACGGGGTGATCCCAAACTCTTTGAAAATTATCACATTTTCAGGTATCACTCAGTAGGTCTCCATGTCGAAAAGGTGGAATAATAAAAAAGTACTGACGTTGTACCCAATGGAATGAGCTATCAGAATGTTGGAAGGAATTGAAAATTGGTTGATCCACTCCAAAGTTATGACGGTTAGAAAATGATAGAAGTTTTTGCTTGTCTCACTTCAAATGTGGAGCAGTTTAGTTGACCTTTCTGATCATTGTCGTGAAGAATTGTGAACAGACATTTCAATAACACCCCGTTCACTTTCAGGTGAAGGCGATTCCTGGTTTGGGTACCACCATCGACGTCATCTTGGTGAACGGGACACTCAGAGAGGGAGAGACTATGCTGTGTGCAGGTACAGACGGCCCTATAGTCACTCAAATACGGTCGCTGCTCATGCCTCAGCCCATGAAGGAACTGAGAGTCAAGGTAGGAGAAACATAAGATGGATAGGGTAGAGTTTCTAAATGTACTTGACACTGCTGTTTTGACGTTTTTTGTATATCAGAGTACGGACACTATGACAAGCACTGACAATCAGACATAACCACAAATGAATTGATGGATAAAGCGGGAACTGACAGTACATCGACGTACATGACATAAATTTCAAAGGTTTGACAAATTGAGAGAATTAGGAGGAAGATGCAAGTTTGTGCAGTTTCCAACTGTGAGAACACGGGAAATCAGTTCACTCTATTCGAATTTCCATCGGATAACGTAATTCTACGAAGATGGAAACAGAATATGATGCGGCCGGCATGGAATACAGGTTCAGGCCACAAAATTCGTGAGGTAATCAAATTTCTTGGTAGGATATAGAACATTTTTTCATATGCAATATACAATGGGTATAATGATTTTCAGCCTTAGTAAACTCATTGCATTACCTCGGTATGAACGACAACTTCGATAGTATACCAGGGACACCTGTTCTCAGTTTCGCTTGACTGGCTGCAGTATGTTTGTGTACAAAACTACTGTAATAAACTGTGAAAAAACTAGCCTTAGTAAATTCAGAGAATCTTTTTGGAGCTGGCTCTCCGTCTAATAGTTGAATAGAGAATTTCGAGGCGAATAAGATAGGCTACAAAAATATACAGGATGCCATTCGAAAAAAAAAGTTGGGTCTACTTCAAATCAAACAGGTGGTTGCGGCGAAACTCTTTTATATCAGGGTTTTTGGGTTAGGATTCACACTGTATATATTTGCGACAGAGAAACGAGCCGAGTCAGACAAACCAGTTTTATTTTTCCCAAACTTGCTAGGAATCTGCAAACTGACAGATATAACTTTAAATTTTGCCGCGTGACTGATTCACAATTAAATGAAAGAAAAATAGGAACTTAGCGGAGAGCCCAGTACTTAATTGTTATGAAGATGTTATTAGCATCAACTCACCTGACAGATTAGGCACACTGCTACTCAAATAAACGTATTTCAGCGCAGTTGAAAACCACAAAATTCTATTCAATATCAGACACTTTGCTTGGTATAAAAGGAATTAATAATCGTAGGTGACACTGATACGCAATGAATCGAAATTCACTAGGACCACGAAGAACGACAATTTCGTGAAAAAGTGAACAGACTTTTTCGACTCTCTACATAAAAACTGACGTTCGTACCATACGGCAAATAGTAATCCGAAATATTTAGCCCCAGTGGAAATTGGAAGGTTGTATACTACTCTATATCAGTTTCGCTACATGGTTGATTGATTGTCATTGGGTTCAAGGAATGCGCCATCATCAATAATATAACCCTTGTAGATTTCAAATGTTTATCTCTACGAATAAAAAAACTGCAGGCTGTTTCATGTCTCCTGTGTCACCTGGTATATTATTCTTGTGTGTTTCTGTTTGCTCTTCCCCAGAACGCCTACATCGAGTACAAGGAGATCAAGGCGGCGCAAGGCGTCAAGATAGCCGCCAAAGAACTGGAGAAGGCGATCGCCGGGCTGAATCTGTTCGTCGCCCGCAAACCGGACGAGGTGGACCTGCTGAAGGAGGACGTGGCCAGAGAGCTGAGGTCGGCGCTGTCCAACATCAAGTTGGCCGAGCGCGGCGTGTTCGTGCAAGCGTCGACGCTGGGCTCGCTCGAGGCGCTGCTGGAGTTCTTGAAGACCAGCAAGATACCGGTGAGAGAGAATTTTCATTCTTCTTCTTATAGTAGTTGAAGTCGGAATAGACCATTTGACGCTGAGCGCTGCTTTCGGCATATTGGATATCATTATTTTGTTTTTCTACAAGCGTGCGTGATTCACCCTATACCCGCACGCAATTTAGTTTGGGAAGTGTCATTTTCCAGCAACAGTGCGGAAAAAAAAAGATGATAATATCGCAAAATATAAGTGGTAGGTGATGGAATATATACCTAACCCACCATGCGCCGACCTCCTTTGCAGAGAGGGTTTATAAACGCCGAGTTGATACTCTCCCCTCGTAAGGGTACCTGTCGTGTTTCCATAGAGACATAAAGGTGAATATCTGTCTATCTGTTTGCTTGAGAATCTGGAAATGAATTCAATATATCGCCTTCCGTACGCATATAAGGATCAGAATTCCGAAAAGTATACTCTGGTCAGTTCTCTCTGCGGATTTTCTGTTCGGTCCGTCTTGACTGGATAGTTTTCTCCGACTTAGTGGCAAGTATCAAACACTCTGCTTTTCGGATCTGCAACTAAACATCACATATCAGAAAGTCCATGAGAATTAAAACTGATGTTGAATCTGAAACATACCTGAATAATATTTCCAACAACCGTACCTGAATTGCTTCATATTCGCTCTCCTTCCGAATAGTGGTCTTCCCAGTAGACATCTGCTACATTTTGAATTTCGTGGGTTATAATGAGGACCATGAATGCCAAACAGTGTGCTGCTCGGATCTAAAACTAAGCATCAATTTGAAATTTGAATCGTGAGACGTACATAGAATATAAATCTATAAAGTCTGAATATTGTTTTCAACTTTCGTAACTGGAATGCGATATATTTTTATGATTATTCATCAATTCATCAACTCTCTCAATGCAGACGAGGTAGGCAGATAAACAACGATTTTCTCTGCAATGAAAAACACTGTATATACCTAACCCACCATGCGCCGACCTCCTTTGCAGAGAGGGTTTATAAACGCCGAGTTGATACTCTCCCCTCGTAAGGGTACCTGTCGTGTTTCCATAGAGACATAAAGGTGAATATCTGTCTATCTGTTTGCTTGAGAATCTGGAAATGAATTCAATATATCGCCTTCCGTACGCATATAAGGATCAGAATTCCGAAAAGTATACTCTGGTCAGTTCTCTCTGCGGATTTTCTGTTCGGCCCGTCTTGACTGGATTGTTTTCTCCAATTTATTAACAAGTATCAAACACATTGCTTTTCGGATCTGCAACTAAATATCACATATCAGAAAGTCCATGAGAATTGAAACTGATGTTGAATCTGAAACATACCTGAATAATATTTCCAACAACCGTAACTGAATTGCTTCATATTCGCTCTCCTTCCGAATAGTGGTCTTCCCAGTAGACATCTGCTATATTTTGAATCTCGTGAAATATAATTAGGACCATGAATGCCAAACAGTGTGCTGCTCGGATCTAAAACTAAGCATCAATTTGAAATTTGAATCGTGAGACGTACATAGAATATAAATCTATAAAGTCTGAATATTGTTTTCAACATTCGTAACTGAAATGCGATATATTTTTGTGACTATTCATCAAATCATCAACTCTCTCAATGCAGACGAGGTAGGCAGATAAACAACGATTTTCTCTGCAATGAAAAACACTGTATATACCTAACCCACCATGCGCCGACCTCCTTTGCAGAGAGGGTTTATAAACGCCGAGTTGATACTCTCCCCTCGTAAGGGTACCTGTCGTGTTTCCATAGAGACATAAAGGTGAATATCTGTCTATCTGTTTGCTTGAGAATCTGAAATGAATACAATATATCGCCTTCCGTACGAATATAAGGATCAGAATTCTGAAAAGTATACTCTGGTCAGTTCTCTTTGCGGATTTTCTGTTCGGTCCGTCTTGACTGGATAGTTTTCTCCAATTTATCAACAAGTATCAAACACTTCGCTTTTCGGATCTGCAACTAAACATCACATATCAGAAAGTCCATGAGAATTAAAACTGATGTTGAATCTGAAACATACCTGAATAATATTTCCAACAACCGTAACTGAATTGCTTCATATTCGCTCTCCTTCCGATTAGTGGTCTTTCCAGTAGACATCTGCTACATTTTGAATTTCGTGGGTTATAATAAGGACCATGAATGCCAAACAGTGTGCTGCTCGGATCTAAAACTAAGCATCAATTTGAAATTTGAATCGTGAGACGTACATATAATACAATAAATCTATAAAGTCTGAATATTGTTTTCAACATTCGTAACTGAAATGCGATATATTTTTATGATTATTCATCAATTCATCAACTCTCTCAATGCAGACGAGGTAGGCAGTTAAACAACGATTTTCTCTGCAATGAAAAACACTGTATATACCTAACCCACCATGCGCCGACCTCCTTTGCAGAGAGGGTTTATAAACGCCGAGTTGATACTCTCCCCTCGTAAGGGTACCTGTCGTGTTTCCATAGAGACATAAAGTTGAATATCTGTCTACCTGTTTGCTTGAGAATCTGGAAATGAATACAATATATCGCCTTCCGTACGAATATAAGGATCAGAATTCCGAAAAGTATACTCTGGTCAGTTCTCTCTGCCGATTTTCTGTTCGGTCCGTCTTGACTGGATAGTTTTCTCCGACTTAGTGGCAAGTATCAAACACTCTGCTTTTCGAATCTGCAACTAAACATCACATATCAGAAAGTCCATGAGAATTAAAACTGATGTTGAATCTGAAACATACCTGAATAATATTTCCAACAACCGTAACTGAATTGCTTCATATTCGCTCTCCTTCCGAATAGTGGTCTTCCCAGTAGACATCTGCTACATTTTGAATTTCGTGGGTTATAATAAGGACCATGAATGCCAAACAGTGTGCTGCTCGGATCTAAAACTAAGCATCAATTTGAAATTTGAAATATAAATCTATAAAGTCTGAATATTGTTTTCAACATTCGTAACTGAAATGCGATATATTTTCGTGACTATTCATCAAATCATCAACTCTCTCAATGCAGACGAGGTAGGCAGATAAACAACGATTTTCTCTGCAATGAAAAACACTGTATATACCTAACCCACCATGCGCCGACCTCCTTTGCAGAGAGGGTTTATAAACGCCGAGTTGATACTCTCCCCTCGTAAGGGTACCTGTCGTGTTTCCATAGAGACATAAAGTTGAATATCTGTCTACCTGTTTGCTTGCGAATCTGGAAATGAATACAATATATCGCCTTCCGTACGAATATAAGGATCAGAATTCCGAAAAGTATACTCTGGTCAGTTCTCTCTGCCGATTTTCTGTTCGGTCCGTCTTGACTGGATAGTTTTCTCCGACTTAGTGGCAAGTATCAAACACTTCGCTTTCTGTCTGTTTGCTTGTTAATCTGGAAAAGAAATCCGATTGAGACTAAATTATTGCTGCATTACCGAAGTTTCCGCTATATTTTCATCATATAATAATTATACAATTTCGTATTTTTCCACTGCTGAATAACCCATTTTAATTGACCGACAGAGATTTCAAAAAATGTCTGTTGTGTCCACAGCTATCTAAATGTTATTGGCAACTTAGATTCAATCCCAAATGAGTGAAAAATGGTTTTAGGAAAAATTTGCAAACTATACAGGATGTTCGGAAAGGTAATATTGTAAATGATAGGACTGGTACAGAGAGCCAAAATAATGTTGGTACTTCATTTAAAAAAAAAAAGTATATCGCGCTTCGTTTCGGAGATATTGACCTTGAAAGTAAGATTTTAAAAAAGGATTTCATGTATATAATTTTCAAACTATCATTATTTTTTGAAATACTGAAAATGTAACAAGCACTTGAAAATATCTAATTAACAATTATTCTATGGAATGAAAACTATCGATAGTTCACCTAATTTGACTCTAATGAAGTTGAACTTTGGAACTGATCATTTTTTTATGATTAAATTGGATTTTGAATTAGGAGTTCAACAAAAAGAAAAATGATGATGAAAAAAAAGTCAAATTGGAATATTCACCCTGTTGAAAAGTCGTTGAATATACCTATCGAGTATGAATCGATTATACACCATGGTTCAGAAGTTATGAGCTGACCAGATAAAGATTTTGCCAAAATCAAGATTAGGTACGTTCTGTATGTATCACAGTTATAAAATATGGTAGACACATCGATGTTTGTACATTTAAATCTGAAACACCCTGTATAGTCAAAAAATATGTTTTCATGAAATAATCTTGAATTGTCTTATTATCTTCTGGTTTGCTCTTCTCGTATTATTTTCTTCTGAAAAAATACCGTTCTGAACGGAAAGTACGAAAATCAGAAGAAAGTATATCTTCATCGGGAAATATTCAACAAACGGTACCTTTGTGATTTTGAAAACATATAAGGTAATGAAGTTAAGAGTAAAGAGGGAAATATGAGGAAAACTTGAGAGAATTTCTCTCTACTCACCAGGGTGAAAAATGCGAAGCTTTGATGAAACAACACGAAGTGACACGAAACACCAGAACAGCACACGATCGCGATAATATAATCACTGAATTGTATGAGGAACACAAAATCACAATACTTGCAGTCATTTTCAAGTGAACACTCCGTTTGGAACGATAAATAATTCCTTTCGCGTATTTTTCAATTGCGATCAGAAAAGTCGACCGTACGTGGTGACATCTAATATAAGACTGTCTTGATTCACCACCTGGTCTCGAATGAATGACTAATAGATTGAATCATGCTGCTAACAGATTAATCTCCGAACAAATGATTTATCTATGACTAATGACGATAATGAAATTATACAGGGGGAACAGATATATAGTATACAAGATATAAGATGAAGAATTGAACACGGATATACTGGCACTATCATTCTCGAAAGTCTAACGATTTTAATAAATTAAACACAGGCTAAAAATATAATTTTCACGGAAATCTCTAGTGATTTGAAAGAGTTTAACAGCCAGAAGTAGTGAAAAAATCTATCAA